CTGTAATAACATCATTTCACTGGTATTTATTTCTTTATTTTATTTTTCTCTTTTTGATTTTTCTTTTTCTTTCTTTTCTCTATTACTTATTTATTCTTTTCTATTTTATTTACCCTACTTTTTGGATATTATATCAATCATGTTAGAGGATCTAGTATTGGTAGGTATTCCTTTATGATGTAAGAAGTGTCTAGTAGGTGCATTCAAGTGGTGTATCGATTTGAGTTTCCAGTTGATCCCTGGTTTGTGCTTATGATGATGACATGCCTACTTAGCTTTTTGGTACATAGGTAGCCGCCACCTTTAGGACCAGCATAGGCACTCAACAACCGATACAGCAATGACATTTTTCACTAACTTTTGATAAAATCTATTTGTAGGTTATGAAGTTTGCTTATACTTACTCTGAAGGGATGTTGGTACGGATACCTTGACTGGTCTAGGCGTTTAAATTGTTACGTATCCGATTGTGGCCGTGCCTCTAGGGATTGATCCATTACTGTGATGATAATAATTTTGGTTGTTCATGTGGCCATGTGCATGATTCTGTTAAGTTGATCCATCAATGTCATAGGTCAATTAATTTGGTGTACATATAATAGGTATGATAGTTGTAATTATTTAAAGAGGGTTTTAAATCGGGTTCGGGATCATGTAGTTGATTTTGTTAACTATTATGATAATGGAATGTATTAGTATTAGGATTATAGTTTGGTAAATTTTCATAATGCTGGTTGAATTTGAGGTAAAAGAGGAATATTGTATTTGCAACATTATTATTAAAAAAAAAGAATCAATTGTATAAAATAGTATGAAAATCACAGTTCTATATTTTGACTCTTCTAATATATCTAATAGAATAGACATATATTTTAGTTTACAAGATAAACAATTTTTTGTAAAGATTTTGAAATGTAGATAACACTAAAAAAAGAAATTAATAAATTTTTAAATAGAATAAATGAAAGAATTTAACAAAAAAAAAAAAGCTTAAAAAAAAATCTTTTGAAAATTCTGATTTAAAAGCTAAATATGCAAAATAATCAAATTACGCTTTACAGAAATATCTTTGAAATGGAGGAACCTCTATTATTTTATCTGAGGTAAACCGAACAATAATTAATTAAACATAAACGTTATGTAGATACAATTATTGTTAATGTCAAAAAATTGCACATCTCAGATGTAGGAAATAGATGTTGACAAGATCTGAATTTTCTGAGTTAATATTTGCTGAAAGGTGAGCTTGAAGGTGTTTTACTGAAAATGACATAAAACCTTGGGGGCAATATATTGATACCTATCCGCCTATTAAGTAGTTAGATATGAGTTTCATAAATCTTCAAAAGAGTACATTCGTATTATCATACAATTGCGTCTACTTGTGGGCATTGATGTTTTACCTCTTTAACATCCTAGTTTAATAATGCATTAACCTTATTAAAAAAAGATAAAAAAAAAAAAGTTTTTTAGCGACCACTTTTTTAAGGTTTGTCCGCAATGAATTTGTTTACCGAAATAAAATCAATTTATTTTTCCTTTTAAACGGCTCACGCCCTCGATAGACAGAAATCATCCGTTAACTCCACTATTTCGATATCTTATTTCATTTGTTTATTAATAATTATTCACAAATTAATTTTTTTTAGCATAGTATCCGTCCAAAAAATTTTAAAAGGTTCGTATCACATTAAAATCTTGTTTGAAACCGTTTTCTTATTTTATTCGTGATTTTGCCGAAGAGTTTTTTCTTTTTTGCACTTTCGATAAAGGAGAAATGCAAGTGGAAAGCGTACAAAATTATCAAAACGAACGATGTACATAAAAATGGATATTAATTTGAATACGGAAAAAACAGTTCGTTCTGATAAGCAACTTATAAGTAGACGAAGTAAAAGATTTGTTTTTAACTGATTAACTAAAATATTACTGTATAATAAATAATTTTCTTTGTCTTAGGCTCATTATTATTTAGACAATCCTGCTAATTTGTCTCAAAGAAAAAATGGCTAGAAAATATTACGGCTAATTTTATTGAGAAAAATGGTCTGTTAAATAGAAGAATATGAACACCACCAGGACAATGAAAGGATAAGACTAGAAATACATTTTATTGAGAATAATAAAAAGTGTGTACAATGAGATTTAAAAGTTTTTAATAAAGTCCAATTAATTTTTAAATATATTCTTTAATAAACAAGATAATAAAAAATTATATTTATAAATTATTATACGTAATACTTTCATAACGATGTAAACCAAAACATCACATGATTTAAACATTATCATGTGATTTACGTGACAGATCTACTAGAGGGGCTTCACATAATACGAGCCCCTAAATTATATTGATGTGTAATTTAATATACCCCCATGTCATTACACAAATACCAAAAAAGTAACGTCCGAAGAACTTACGGTTTCGTATCCGATTCATCAGTTATGGAAACAAGGTATCCTCTGGAAAAAAATAATAATGGTTTCGGGATTCTGTGCATCACGCTTATCCAAACTACAAAAGGTTGAAATGAAGATAAAAAGCGTGATATGGAGGAAGATTTTAAGGGGGAAAAAATAGAAAGAATAAAAAGAAAGAGAAGGCGATACCTTGGAAATATATATAATATATATAATAGATAGTTTTTACAAATAAATCGAAAAAATTTTTTAGATAGATGTATTTTATATGCGTAACAAATGATGCGTGGTGTATTGAATTTATATACTAATTACTTAACCGTGTTGATATTTAATTATATCTTATTCAAATTCTTTATATTTAATAAATTACTGAAAAATATAATTTTATACCACATGATATTTTGTTTATTAAATATTACTAATAATTCATGTGAATCTTCCCTGGAAAATGTTAAAATGAACTGTTTACTTTTTAATGATAATTAAAAGTTAAAAGAATCTATTGGGTACATAACGAATTTAATCAAAAAAGTTTGTATTACGTATGATATATTTGTATTAGCGATCACTTTGCCTGAAATGGAATTGTTGAAAAATAGTCAAAAATCTAATAAAATACAATTTATTTTTTAAAAAGTTTATCCTTTTAAACGGCTCACGCCCTCGGTGGATAGAAAATTTTGGTATAACGTTATTTCATTTGTTTATTAATTATTCACGAATTAGTTTTTTTTAGCTTAGTATCCTTCCACAAAATTTAAAATGTTTCGTATCACATTAAACTTGTTTGAAAATCGTTATTTTTTCTTTAAATTCGCGATTTTCATTACCAAAGAGTTTCTCACTTTTTGTACTTTCGGATAAAAAAAAATGTATTTCCCAAAATATGATGGAAATATACATCCAGACGAATGGATAAACGACATTCAAAAATTTCGACATATTCATAATTTGAATGATTTTAATATATTAAAAACTGCTATATTATTAATAGACCCCACTATCAAACTCCCAGCAAAAATTAGTAATATTGAAGAACTTCGTAATGCATTAAAAGGAAACATTTCTTTTGCGGTGTTTAGGAATACAAATAAAAGAAAATTGCAATTATTAAAATATATTCCTGAAAGTAGAGGTGGTGATACTTCAAAATTTATTTCAAAATTTTTCAAATTATGTTATAATGCAGAAATTGATGATGTAGAAGAACAAAAAAAATATCTTTGTAAATCACTTCCAATGAGTTATTATTTTTCAACCGAATTTTATAAAAAAATGAAAGATGTGAATTCAAAAAATGAATTAATTAAAGAATTTGAAAAGATTGTTGTTGAAGAATCAAATTTAATTAAAAATGGATCTATTGTAGCAATAAAACATGTTGCTACAGGAAAATATTTAATTTCGGCTGAAAATTTAATGTATACAACTGGGAGTTATAATCAATTGGTATTATGATTTTTTTTTACGAATATCTAAATTATATTTTAATAGAACTAACATATAATATATTGTTTCTTAGATTTTTGTAGGAAGTCAAGTACCTGGACCAAATTCTTTATGGAAAATTGTATTTGATAAAGAATTAGCTACTTACAACAATACTTCAATAAAGTTTCAGCACATCAAATCTGGTAATAAATTTCTTGGAATACATTATGATCGTTATATCTTACTTGATTATTATAAATCTCCTTCAACTAATCTTACAGAAGGTAATAATTAAAAATATATATTACTTTATTTTATTAAATCTTTAATTAAAATAATATTAATTTTCATTTTTTAGTGGGTTGTTGCGATTATTCTAGCGATAATTGTTGGGATGACAGTTGGAAATTTAATGATAGTGAATTAGAAGATCATCAAGGATATTTAAAATCAAATGATATTATTAATCTTAGTATTGAGAAACGTTATGATAATAACAAAGTTGAATTTTTACGTAGTCATGATATTCCATTTACTGTTGGGAATGATACCTTTCAAGAAGTTATTTGTCATAATGAAAGTTTAGAAGAAAACGATGAAGTAAGTAAATTGGTTTTATATAGTCTTTGTTTCTTTCGTTTAATACACAATAAATAATTAATCCTTTCTTTTTCTTTTAGTGGTGTATTGAGCTTATTAAACAACATAATTGGACCATAGATAATTTACAGTCTTAAACAATTTTGAGTATTAATTCATTGGTTGGTTATATTTTTAGTTATAATTAGTAAATATGTCTCATTTTCAAATTCTTCAATTTGTAATAAATTATTAAAATTTAAAATTTAAACATTTAAAATATATATTCACGCAATATTATTTTGCAATAAAATAAACTTATTCAACTTTTAAAAATTATTTTTAATTATTAAGCGCAGCAGGTGCATAAAAATTGGCAAGCGAAATGTTGAAAATTGATAATGTTTTTTGGCCGTTGAATATAAATTTAAATTCCGAGTGTAATTTTACGTTCCGGCTCCCAAAAACTTGCAACTGGAATTAGGTGTAGTTGGCCGAAAAAATAATTAGCTACAACGTGATCCGGACCCGGCTCAGGCGTAGATCGTCGTGGAATTCCAAGGGACTTTTTGCGATTAAACCGGGTCCGGAATCAGCAATCAGGAATTCGGCTTCGTTTTTCTCTAACTACACCATTATGTATGGGAGATACTTCAAATTATGTTACCATCACCTTAGATGAATAGTTATTTATCAAAAGAAATTTATAAAAAACGAAAATTTGATTCAATATTTCCACAAAATTTAATTCAATTAAAATTTATGTTATTTAACCGTTTATTTTATTTTGTCTTTTTTTTTTATTTTATTTGTTTATTTTTATTTTTATTTTTATTTTTTTGATTAACTTTTATTATCGAATATTATTATTTAGCAGTTAGTCTCTTTTAGAAGTTTCACGACAGCCTAACCATTTAACGGAATAATGACTGAGTAGGACTCGTCCGTTAATTCGGTAATTGCTCAAAAATTCGGTACTATATCGATATATCGAATAATCAATTTTAGGTCAAATTCCAGCTATATTTTTCCAGTTTATTGAAGATTGCAAAAAAAATTTTTTTAATTTTATTCAGTTCGTCCATCATATCACTATAAGTTAAGTAAACGAACATGCAACTTCTGAATTTGGTAAGATCAAATTTTGTGTGAGGATCGGTATCTTTTTCGGCTAGCTGGTTTAAATATAAATAAATATTGGGATTTCGGAAAAATTATTACCGGAGTGCTTCTACCCAGCCACAGCATTATTTTTATAAAAAAAAAAAAAAAATGGATATTCCAAAATATGATGGAAATATACATCCAGATGAATGGATAAATGATATTCGAAAATATCATTACATTTGGAAAGTTGAATATGAAGAATTTTTGAATATTGTCATATCTTTAATAGATCCCACTATCAAACTTCCAACTGAAATTAGCGATATTGAAGAACTTCGTAATGCATTAAAAGAAAATATTTCTTTTACGGTATTTAAGAATACAAATAAAAGAAAATTACAATTATTAAAGTATATACCTGAAAGTAGAGGTGGAGATACTTCAAAGTTTATTTCAAATTTTCTCAAATTATGTTATAACGCTGAAATTAATGATATAGAAGAACAAAAAATTTATTTTTATAAATCGCTTCCAATGAACCATTTTGATTCTATTTCAAATGAATTTCACCAGAAAATGAAAAATATAAATTCGTTAAACGAATTAATTAAAGAATTTGAAGATTTTGTTGTTTATGAATCAAATTTAATTACAAATGATTCTATTGTAGCTTTAAGACATGTTGCTACAGGAAAATATTTAAGTTCAGTTGAAAATTTATGTTATAAAACTGGAAGCAAACTTCAATTGGTATTATGATTTTTTTATATATATACGAATATTTGGTCATATTTTACAGAACTAATGACAAACCATTTTTTTTAGGTTTTTGTAAGAGGTTCGGATCCTGGACCAAATTCTTTATGGAAAATTCAATTTAATAAAGAATTGGCTACTTACACTGATACTTCTATAACTTTACAACACACAAAATCAAATAAGTTACTTGGAATAAGTTGGTATGGATCTGGAAATTCGTATTCTTATCAAAAATCTCCAACATTTGGCTCTACGGAAGGTAATAATCATTAAAATATACTTCACGAAGTAACAAAATAATTAATATTTTCATTTATTATTATTTTTAGTAAATTGTGGTGGAAATGCAAGTGAATGGAAATTTAATTATAGTAAATCAGAAGAAAATCATGAAAGTTATTTAAAATCAAATGATATTATTTATCTTAGCATTAAGAAATCAGTTGACCGTAGTGGTCGTACTACTCATATTGGTAGTGTGGAATTTTTGCGTTGTCATGATGTTCGATTTACTATTGGGAATGATAATTTTCAAGAAATTGTTTGCCATAATGAAAGACTAGGAGCAAATGATGATGTAAGTAAATAAATTTTATTTATCTTATTTGATTTATTTCTTATCATTTATAATTATTAACTGTCTTTTATTATTTTTAGTGGTGTATTGAACTTATTGAACAATGTGCTTGAACAATTTGAACAATGCATTTGGGTCATACTGATTAATCAATTAGTTATTTTTTATTAGTTTAGTATTTATAAGTTCTTCATTATTTATTTATTAAACTAAAATGCTTACAAATTCCTTATTAAATAAAATAATAAAATTGCAGTATGTAACTCTTTGAAAACAATAGTTTAAATATTTTCCTTTTATGCAAGAAAATAGGAATTGTGAAATAATGGATTCTTTAAGTCATACAGTGTGTAATAAAAAAAACTTGAATATCATTCATGTAATAAAAATGCATATATATTATACGCTCAAAATAAATCTGATTTTCTTTGCGTAAATTGAATAATAAACCTATAACCAAGATCTATATTATGGTATAGTTACTTCAATTTCGGTATATAGTAAAAAAGCGAAAAAAATTATTCAAATTACAAAAATATGTGTAGTTCGCTCAAAATAAGTCCAATTCTTATCATTTAAAATGCAAAATAAACTCGAATATCAGGGCTACATTGTGACATCTTTCATGGTCATAATTCTTTTTTACTTCTTGAAAAAATTAACTACAAGTGTTGATTTTTGAAGAAAAAATATAAAGTGAAATTTGTGAATTTAGAATGGATACAAAGTCATTGAAAATTTCTCAAATGTTATCAAGACCAATAGAAAAGTATAAATTAAAAAAATTTTTTTTGACTATCTATTGCACTTTATGCAAAGAAATACATATTAATTCTAATTAGCTACAAAAAGTTTTAATCTAAAAAAATTATTATTATAAGCTTAATTATAAAAAAATTAATTTACCATTCGAATAAGCTATTTTACTTGGGCTATATAACAAATATTTGAATTATATTTTTGTAATTTGGTGCGATCATCATGGCGTTACGGACAAATTTTTTTTTTTGTTACACGCGGGGTTACTCCGTACCTTAATAAACGCTATTCTGCTAAAGTATTTATGAAAAAAAATTAAAATTGTATCACGTAATTTATAAATCTATATTAGTATCACATAACCAAATTGAGTAAATCCTTTTATATAATTTGTAATTATGTAATATCAAATATTTAATCTTACAAATAAAAAAAAATGTAAAAAAAATTTTATGAAAAAAATTTTCGTCTAACACTTTTTTAATTGATTATCACAAGATCTGCATAATCATCTACACGTTTTTTAATTTTTTAACGAAAAAGAAATATATTTGAAACTTTATTTCTTCAATAAAGATCAATAAAATTAAATACATGTAGTAAAAGTGGCACAAAAACGAATATTTTGTAATTTTATTCTAATGATATCAAAATAAGCAATATTGCAATAACAACATCTATAACTATAGCTATAGCTATAGCTATAGCAATAGCTAAAAGCTAAATAGCTATAGTATAATAATATTAATAATATTAAACTACGAAGTTCACATGGTGCATTCCCAAAAAGAAGAAAATATGCGAAAGAGTGAATAAATAAGGAAGGTCATGCAGAATGATCACCACTTCAAAAAACATACTATCGCTAAATAGGTTTATTTTCATTTGTGGTAAGATGTACCTTCCATTATGTAAAAAAAGTCGATCCGTTTTTTATATTCCATCTTTTTTTCGTAAAAGACTCATACTTCCGGAATTAATAATAACCTTACAGAATTTATCGAATTATTTATTTACATTTTCCGTGAATGGATCCGCGAAAAGGCTCATTTTTATGGAGTTATTAGTTATTGTTATTTAATTGAGATATACCATTTTCACACTAAGAATGAAGCAAAGATTCATGCATCTTTCAATTCTTCATTTTCAATAGATTTAGTATGAAAATGAAAAAAGTATATCTATGATTTCTTTTTCACTAAAAAATTGTATATATATACACATACCTTTCTCAATGGGGCTTGAGATAAATTGTTATTACATCTTGAAGACATCATTAATATATCAATAGCAATTTCCATCATGCAACATCTAACTTTTTTCATTCTTACCATTATCTTTTGTCTAATGGGTATCACACCTTTTGTACCAGGCACTGAAGGTAATGTTTTTTAAATATATATTAAATCGATTCATTATAACAATTTAATTTATTTATTTGATATATAATAGCATACGAGGTTCTAATCTTGCCACTCTTCGGAAATAGTAAGAAAGTCTTAAATTTAATTATTAAATTTATAAAAAAATGTATATTAATTGATCTTTTTTTTTTTACAGACTATGATATTTGTAGTCTTTGGATGGAAGATTTGAATCAACATTTCATAACCCTTATACCTAATGGTCTAAATGATCCTAATGGATATATTAATTTCTATTGTGGAGGTCATATGCCCCAAAATGGCGATTCAGGAGTAGTTCCGAAAAATGACGTTATAACTTTGCAAACTTTAGATAGTACTACACCATATCGAATTAATTTTCGTGCCCGACAAGATACTTATTATTATTATACTATTGATAAAGATTATACAAGTGATACGTGTATAGTATTTTTGGGTTCCGACCACAATTCTTGGGAAGTTGAAGAATTAGGTTACGGAGAATGTAAATTCCTAAGAGATGGACCTGGTCAAAATGCTGATACAAGTGTTTCAAAAAGTGCTGTAACTAATGTTGCTATAAAAAGGGTTGGAAAAAATGATTAGTTTTTACCCCAATAACAATTGCAGCTGAGATAATATACCATTCATTAGATAGTATACTACCTTTTCATATAAATAATCATTAATAAATCATAATAAGCATCGTTATTACAAAATACTAAAAAAAAAAAGATCAAACTTTTGTAATGCTGTAATTTTTTCTTTGCATAATTAATTAATTATTGCATTATTCTCAAATAAAGCGCGTAAGTTTATTTTTAAAATAGAATAATTCCGAATTCTTTCCTTAATGTTGCAGAAATTAACTAATAATGAAAAAGGTATGAAAGTATTAATTGTTTTCTTATTTTATAGAAAGTACTGGTAATACTATTACTGATAATTCTACAAATGTTAAGGATAATAAAAATAATAGTTTTGATAAAGATAAACAGTAATGATATAAATAATGAAGATAAAAAAAAGAAAAATATAGAAAATAAATATTAACAATATTAACTTATATAGATAAATTTATAAATTTTAAAACAGTTCGTATTGTGTAATTGTTGATTTATAATGCCATTGATGCCATTGATATCATGGCGAAGCCACCGTGATAATGAGGTTGCCGATAAGATACTGTTTACATTCAATTGACTAAATTGAAGATAGAAAATTTCCTAAAAGCAGTGATAACTTCAAAAATTAATTTCAGACTTTTTCAAGTTATGTCATAGCGCCAAAATTAATAAAATAAAGAATAAAAGAAATATCTTTATAAATCAATTGATGAAACAAATTCAAATTCGAAATTTACTAATATAGATGATCATACCATTGCGTTTTGAAAAATTTGTAAGTCAACTAGCTTATATATATATATGGACTAATATATACAGTATACTGAATATAATAATATTATCTTTTACTAATCAGCGGCGGCGGAGTCGCAGCGGGCGTTTCATTACTAAAAATCGCATGTACATATGATCACATTTTTTACGTTAATCATATAAATTCTTATCAAAGAACGCGTGTACTTTATTGATAATAATTACATATACAATATTATTTACCTTATCTTTTACTAATTTTAAAATAATCCTATAGCCTTCCTTTTTGGGTAAGTAATTCAAGAGCTTCAGCTTCACAAGAGCTTTTCTGGTTTCATCCATTTCAAAGTTAAAATTCTCAGTATACCTATTTTCGATTTTAAGATTTTGCTTCAAGAAGATTGTGCTTTTCTTTGTAATTTTTTGTATTCGTTAGATTAATAAAAATTTCCTTGATTTTACCATTTAGTGTCCCTAATAGTAAATAAGATTAGTGTTAACAAAACAATATATAGATTAATTTCTTTGCATTTCTCCATTATCATGTCGTGAATAAGATACTCCAAATATATTTTCAGTATCCATAACTTCCATGCTTATTCATCAATTTTACGTCCTCTAAATTATATTTACGAATGATTATGAACTAGGAAACTACCGGGAACCAAAAACTCAGGTAACACACATTATTATATAAACTATATAAGCTTAAATAACATTAACATACGCGTAATGGATATGGCGCGTAAACAATCTTACATCATAGTAATCACAATGACTCACAGTAAAATTATCTATAAAAACGCTTTTTTCAGACTTTTTAGTTTTTCGAAAGTTTATTTCTCAGTTTTCGAAACTCGAAAACTTATTTCTCCTTCTAATATTTAGTTTTCGAAACTCGAAGGCTTATTTCTCCTTTTAATATTTAGTTTTCGAAAGTCTATTTCTCCTTTTAATATTTAGTTTTCGAAAGTTTTTTCTCCTTTTAATATTTATTATTATCTTTAAATATTATCTTTAACATTTATCTTTTTCTTTAATATCCAAACATCAACATTTTTCTAGCATCTTTAAACAACCGCCCTCCACCAACGCTTATTACAACATAACTCTCGTAATTAAATATTTTCGCGTTACTTTGTCACCTATCGCGTGTTTTTTTTATTTTACAACTACTGTCCGATATATTTAATCATCTATCATTTTCTTTTAATAGTTATTATAACTGTTTTGAACTTATATTTAATACATATGATATAAGACTTTTGTTCTTATCTTTTCTGCAAAAGTCTTGGAAGATTTCTACTGACTTAAATGTATTTTGGTAAGTGGAAATGACTAAGCTGGGATGTATAAGGGATTTGTGCACCTAGAGTGCTTCGGTTATCCTCCTCTTCTAGAAGTTTGGTTACCTTAAATGAGAAAATAATTTCTCAAGCTATGTCGCAGACTTCTGTATGTGGGGCCCTTCCCTTTGGTGGTGGGTCTCATGTCTTATTATCAATGTGACAGTACCTCTGCACGAGTTTGATCACTCACGATATATCGTTAATGTCAGTTGATAGTAGGCATGGGGGCTTGAATCTGTCTTTTCTACAAAGCTTGCTTAGAGTACTCGAGTCTTCTAATGTATTTTTAAATTTTTGGGTTTAATCTAACAAGAAAGTTTGGAAATCTTAAAATCTGAGAATTTTTTTTTTTTATAAAAAAAATAAATTCTGGATGAGATTTTTTTGCACAATATTTTAAAGGCCTTTGTTTAAATTATGCTACAAAGTATTAAATCAAGAAAAATATAAAGATTTAATCAGTAAAATAAAGTATGAATTATATTTTTACTTTTATCTTTAACAATTTTTTGAATTTATTAAATCGAACTTATCCTGCTATACAAAACTTATAATAATAAAATTTTTTGTTTACTGTCAATTTATAATTAATTACTATAAAAATATAAATCACGCACACCATCATTTTTATATTTATTGATAAGATTTGTATATTATTCCCATAAGTAAGATCAGAAGCGGGCCAACCCAAAAAATATTTTCAAATTTTCTAAAGAAAATTTAATAGTATCAAAAAATCTAATCCTCTTAAATTTGTTGAAGATAATATTTATTTCCCATTTTCCAATATTTTCTCATATTCTCCTTTTATATATTGATGTATTTGACAAAGTATTAATATTCAATGAAACGATTGAAATGTTCCTTTGATGACGAAAATAAAATTGTTTAAATTAATATTTAATTAAAGGACAATTTCCATAAATTGAATAAATAAGAACTCTTTAAATTATCAACTTACTTCATAACAATAAAATTTTAATAATAAGTAAGATTCATAACAATAAAAATTTTCCCGTCAAGGTCATATATAAATTCATCGTCATCTATATTATTCTTCCATCCAAAATATTTTAATTCTCCTGAATTTCAATAAATTGGGCAATTCCATGATTAGCATTTGAGTTCGTGATTTTTTGTATATTTTGGTATATTTTGGTGAATCAGTTGATGTATCACACATTTTAAGATACTTCCAGAAAATAAAATATTTGTTGTTTAATTGATACTATAATCAAAATTTTCAACCTCATCAAAAGGCTATAAAATTCTTGTTGTAAAAAGAAATTGATTATAAGCCGAAAAAGTTCCAGTAAAAATTATATTATAAGTACTGAAAAATTGTAAACTCTTTAATTAAAAAAAAAATAAAATTAATATTATACACAGAATATCATAGCGGTAAAGGATCTCATCTAAATCATGGCAGCTCTTATCAAAGCTACTACCAAAGTTTTAAAAGTTTTGCCAAAGCCTATACGTAAAATAATAACAGCAAAAAAAAAAATTCGTTTCTGACACGGAAAATTCTTCAAATGTCCAATATTCAAGAAAAGAATATTTATATCGAGATCTGGACAAAAGCAGAAACACATGGCGAAAAGAAATTTTCAATAGCCATATTATTTAAATGCTTTATAATAAACACGAGCTTCTTTATTTGAAACTACTAAAGTATTTCTGGTTTAATTTGTTAATTCTTGCGGATTAGATGATGATCACGAACGAAAAATGACCATCATAGATTTTTAGATTTTTTTAAATTTACTCATACGTTTATTCGAGCTTTCACTAATATGTAGCAGAATGCGTTTAAATGGGTAAGCATACTTTTAGAATGAAATTAATGAAATTGGGAGTCCATTTTATTATTAGTCACGATGTATTCAAAAAAAAAATTTTGTCACGCTTTTTAACAGCTAATACATCTTTTCTTAATTAATAATAATTTTTTTTATTAGGTTTAGCTAGTTCTTACAGCACTTGTTTTTAATGATAAAAGAGAGAGAGAGAGAGAGAAGTTTCTAATTTTAGAATCTTGTCATTTAAAATAAATAATACATGATTTAAAAATATAAGTTAGATGAGTTTCCCAATCCATATCTGAGATTTACTGTACAAAAAAATCCCTAATCCTTTTGCCTGTGCAGCATCTAAATCTCCATGATACACCTAAACCTTCTTCATCTATGTGTTTAAATTTAACTGATTGCCCTGTTAAACATTGACAAAAAGTTTGTAGCTGTAGTAACATTGGTATATACTCGTACATAATGTAGAACTATATAATTGTTATAAATATTACTATAAAAATAAGATTTTGTAATTAAAAAAATAAAAATAAAAAATAAGAACTTAATTTATGCTTAGGACTATAAGAATTGACTTCAAATTCATTTATATTGCCTTTAACTCTTTTGAATGATAAATCAATTTGGATTGGCTCGAGTTCATGAATTAATTTTGAGATCATGGTTTGTTTGAACACAATGAATAACACCTAAGTATTCCTTGGCCAAGTGGATAAATATTCTCATTTTTCCAACAAGATATCGTAATCGACCAATATTGTTTACTGACATATGAATATCTGATAAAATCTCTGTGGCTTTCAATAATTTTCCTAAATTTGATTGTCTTTTAGAACTAAAAATTAAATAAATGCATTTGAAAAATTTTTACCAGAAGTAATAGATCCAGCTTGCACAGAATTATCTTGTTCAATTTCATTTTTTTATTAAGCGTCTGAAGATCCATTAGCAGTTCTTTCAGGAGGAGGTGGTGAATGGTTATACACACCCTTGCAAATAATTACTATTGTTGTAATAATGTGGAACTAAAGGTGTAAAAAGTACACCGCATTTTTTCACTAATTTGTCGAACAATATGACCATCATTGTATATATATATATTTATATATTTAATACGTGTTTTTCTAAAAAAAAAAAATAATAATTTTTAAAAAAAATTAATTAAAATAAAATAATTGAAATAAATAGTAAATAATCTCAAACGATAAACATATTAACATATTTACACATAATTTCTAGTGAGAACTTCGTGAAGCAATTATTGTACAATGTTTTAATGAGTTTTGTTCTCCTATTATATTGAAGAATACGGTTATTATCCCTTTAAACTTTAAGCTTGTTTATTTAAAAAATTAAAATTTACCATTATAGCACTGCCATGAATATCTTAAGCCATGATCAGTTTAGGTTTTCCAGAACATGGAATCCATTTCTATGAGATTCTATGCTTCACAGGATAAAGTCTAAATACAAATAAATCAGTTAAAGTAATTTATTTTTAAAAAAGGATTATAAATTTATACATACGTATAGTTCTTTGACTTTCTGCTGTTTCGGCCTGTTCATTATTACAAATTTCTTTCCAGTATTCAGAATCTGCACTATGGCTTAGTCGCTTAGATTATATTTTTGGTTCAACAAATTCGCAATGTTTACGTGGTCGATCTGGACTACTTTGAGTTGAACTTTGGTCTCCACTCCTAAAGAATATTGAATCTAAAATAATTGCAAAAAAAAAAAAAAATTTTTTATAATAATTATTTTTTATAAAATTTATTAATAAATTCTCACATTCTTCCGGCAGCCTCTTATATAATACAATACAATTTTACGCGTCTATAGTATTGTATGTAATATTTAAGCCACAACCCATTATGTCACTATATTACGTTAGTATGATAGCGATAAGTATGGTAATTATGCCGATCATATTTAGACAATCATACTACGCTGATTTACTATTTACCCAAAAAATTCTAATAAAGAACTAGCTACCAATATCTCCAATATCTTATACCTTATAACTTATTGCGGGTCTTGATTGATCTAATTGACCGAAAGTATATCAACGAGATATCAACAAAGTATAAACCAGCGCAGAGAATTGCAAATCACCTTTCCATATTTTTACTATTTATAGTAGTAAGTTTAATTTCTATCATATCCTTTATATAATAGAGAATGTAGATCCTTCCTTTTTGGGTAGTTACATTAAGTATTATGTAATTCCGAATCGTAAATGAGTGGTTAATCTGGTCTTGATTTAAGCATGACGAAGATCAGAAAAATAAATTTAATAATTAATAATATAAATCGTGTAACCACCAAGTTTGCTTTTTATATTTTCTTTCTAATTTTTACATTATCTTAAAAAATGGATTTTCCAAAGTATGATGGAAATGTTAATCCAAATGAATGGATAAACGATATTCAAAAATATTTGAGACTTAAGAATATTAGTAATAAATATAATGAACATTTAGAGATTGCTATATTATTAATAGATTCTTCAATATCACTTCCACCAGGAATCGATAGTTTTGGTAAACTACGTAAAGCACTTAGAGAAGATATTTCTTTTACAATATTTAAGAATACCAATAAAAGAAAGTTACAATCATTAAAATATATACCTGAAAGTAGTTCTGGCGATACTTCAAAATTCATTTCTACTTTTCGTAAATTATGTTATAATGCAGAAATTAATGATATAGAAGAACAAAAGAAATATCTTAATAAATCACTTCCAATGAATGAATATTTTTCAGAAGAATTTTATGAAAGAGTGAAATATGTAAATTCAACTAATGAATTAATTGGAGAATTTGAAAATATTGTTGCAGAAGAATCAATAATGATTAAAAGTGAATCTATTGTAGCATTAAAACATGTTTCTACAGGAAATTATTTAAGTTCAATTAATGATTTACGTTATACAACTGGAAGCACAAGTCAATTGGTATAATTTTTTATATTATAATTTTTTAAATAATATACTTTTAATTAATTATTTAGAACTTTTATTAGACTTTTGCAGGAAGTCCAGTACCTAATCCAAATTCATTATGGAAAATTAAATTTGACAAAGAATTAGCCTCTTATGCTGATACTCCTATAAAGTTACAACACGTCAAATCCAATAAATTTCTTGGAATATATTATTATGAATATGATAATAATGGTAGATATGTTGATGATTATCATTTATCTCCCTCAACAAATCATACAGAAGGTAATAAATTAAGTTATATTTTGCTTCATCTTGTTTATTAATTCTATAATTAATTATTATATTTATTAATTTCAGTGAGTTGTAATAATCCTAAGGATGATAAATATTGGTTTGAGGATTGGAAATTATATCATAGTAAATTAGAACAAGGTTATTTAATGTCAAATGATATTATTAATCTTAGCGTTAAAAAATCTACTCAAAGTAGTTTAGTTGAATTCCTACGTAGTCGTGATGTTCAATTTACTATTGGAGATGATACTTTTCAAGAAGTTATTTGCCATAATGAAAGATTAGGAAATGATGATGACGTAAGTAAACTTATTTTATATAACTTTATTATTTAAATTATTAAATTTTTCTTTTCTTTTCCAGTGGTGTATTGAACTTATTAAACAACATGTTTGGACTGTAGATATGTGATTAAATTATTTTATAATCAATTAACTGTTAAGAAAATTGATTCATTTATAAATTTGGTAACTGGATTATATAATAGATTAATGGATGGATCAAAGATTTCAACTTTATGTGATATCATATTATTATCAGAAATGATAATTATCTTTAATTTATTTCTCAAACTTTTAAACACCGTGACTTAATAAGTTAATTATTGAACAGACTAATAGTATGTAACGCTTATCATGACATAATAAACTTGTTATTTAGCAGTGATGGTAGATAATTCTTGTACTTTTTTTTTAATTTCAATTTTATATTCTTTTCTAACTTTCACATAATTTTATAAAAAAAATAGATTTTTCAAAAATATTAATGGATAATCTTGGAAGCTTAAAATTTTTGGTGGTGAACATAGTACGATTGTACGAATGAATCTTTGGAATGAATCTTTGCTTTATTAGTATTTTACTCCCAATCGATAGTTTTTAAAATCTTTGCAAAGCACTTAAAGAGCATATTTCTTTCAAGAGTATTTAAATACCACAATTACATTTAAAATGTCCCAACGACAAGCCTCTCTTGTACATCGCAACATTGTTATGGTGGATGTAAAAATTGAAGTGGTGAAAGGGAGTGATTACAGTTAAAGGAAAAGGAAATACAAAATTTGTATTAGTTAAGTTGTGCAATCTGTTCAATCACTAATAGAACATCCCCATCATTGCTCAATTTTCTTATATCGATTATTTTATAATGCAAAAAAAAGAACAAATGAAATGTCTTAGTAAATCATTTCTAATGAATTATACAATAGTGAAAAATGTAAACTCAACTAATGAATCAAATTTGACTACAAATGAATCTATTGTGGCCTTCAACCATTTTTCTATAGGAAAATATTTTAAGCTCAGTTGAAAATTTATGTTATACCACCGGGAACACTATATAATCTTTTATATTGTAACTTTTTAATAATATGAACGTATAATTAATATTTTAAAAAATTTCGAATTTTTGCATTTATGTCCAGTACCCGATCCAAATTTTTTTTATGGAAAATTAAGAATTATCTACTTACACAGTTTCTATCAAATCTAAAAAGTTTCTTGAAGTATATTATGGCAATTGTAACTATTATAAGACTCCTTCAACTAATTATACATTAGGTAATAAATTATAATTAAGTACAGTTGAATTTTTACGCAGTCATGACGTTCAAGGAATGTTATATTTTTTAAAAAACTGTCCGATCCAATCAATAAATCACTTAATATAACTTCATAATTCTATTAAGTAATTTCATTTTTGGTGAAAACATTCAATTAATATTATATTTAGATTCAATTGTTTAAATCATGCATAAAACTTTCGGAAGATTGATGAGATGAGATGGTATCAAGATTCTGATAATATTATAGGTCCAAATAACTATTGGACATTAATATCCAAATATTAAATGAACATGCTATTTAGGCTCAAGAATTTTGTCTAAAAATAATGATAAAATGAAACACGATATTAAATTTAAGTCAGATTTTGATTCTACATTCATTTAAAACTTTTTCTAGAGCAATAATGGTTACATATTTTTGGATTAGTGATAATTGGGGTTCAGAAGGGATGAATTTGATTTTTGGGCTGTTGATTTATATACTGTTATTGCTAGTATATTCCTTGTAATCGTTTTACAAAATATGTTGATTGCTTATATGAGGTAAGCTTTTCTGTTTTGACAATTTGGTATTTAATATTCTCTTTAACTTGATTGCTTATCTTTTTAGTGGATTATATGAAGAATTATTAAAATATCGAGCAAATTTCATAGTGAAGCATTACATCACATTCATTTTTCGAATCCTGAAGCTGAACCAATATATATTTATCATCTTGGCCAACCTAAAAATTTTGAAGAATGGTATATAGCATAAAAAACGCTTTTAATACGTAATACATGTAATACATAAAAGTTGTTAACGGACAAAATTTTTTTTTTTTTATAAAAAAATTTGTCAGTCATGTCTATAAACCTTGGAGGTTTATTTTCTAAAAATGATAAGAATATAACATTAAAAATTATAAACTCACAAAAATCTGAATAAAAAAAAAGAGATGAAGGTGCTATTTACGATGATTGAGTATTTATGCAACGTATTTTTAGGGAAAGAAATTATGATGAATTTTCAATTTGGAAATATGATGATGATAATATTAAAGCGAGAATTGAAAATTTTAAAAATATAGGTAATGATGTGTGAAGATAAAACTTCAATAGAAAAAATTAAAGATATTGAAAACATGAAAATTGATTTAAAATCAATTAACAAATGACATCTGACCTCTTCTTTATTTCTATTTATAGATCATTATCGATTATTTAATTATCTCCAAGTTATTGTCATCAAGACCTATGAAATATTGTTTTTGTTTTTAATGCGTCTGCTTAGACCGAAATCTGATATTCTTATGAATCTTGATGTACGAGTGAAATATTTATTTTCTGAAGTATGCTAACGGGTTGTATAACAATATGACAATTGACAAGTTTGTGAAACTTTATGGTACGGTTGAAAAATTGCATCATGAATTAGAGGAATTAGAAATTCTGTGAATTTTTTTTATTTTTTTATTTATTTATTTAGGCCCCTCTATGTATAAAAGGCTAATTTCACAGTGCAACAAATAACTGTTTTATTAATATTTGCGTTTATTATAAATTTTCACTAAGTTTTGGATCAGTTCATACGATTGCTGATTCTTATTCTTAGAACATGGATTACTCAACGAAGCCTACATATTTTTGAAAAATAATCTTTTTTTTGTATACATGTTTCACGTTTTTCGTATATCTCAAATTTCAAATAAGGATCATGAAAATTAATTAAAATGTAAATAGTATGTAAATGATTAATTATGATAAAGAAACTGAATTGCCATAATTTTTAAAAATTGTAATGAAAAACAAAAATAAAAATTAAAAATTACTAAAAAACAAATAATTCTATGGCATCCTTATAAGGGAACAATTATCTAAGTTGCGCAGTTGAAAACTTTACCATAATAAAGAAAAATATTACCGCACATTTATGGATTACCACATCCGCTTCACGTTTATAAGTTCCTGCATCCGCATTACGTTTCTTGCATCTGCGACACATTTCCACCTTTCCTGCATCCACTTCACGTTCACAAACTGGCGCACTTGCATCACGTTTAAATATTCCTGCAGCATCTGCATCTCCTTTCCACTTATATACTCTTGAAGAAGCAGAATAGAAATTTTCAACCAAAAATTATGGTAAGAGCCAGAAGATTTTGCGGCACCCTCATTATAATTTAACCATTAAATTATAATGATTCGGTATCCTGAGATGACGCGTGTGTTATCAGTAAGGAACAGGTCTCTTACCTTGTTCTACTTTCACCTTTATCACTTTAAATACAGGAGAAGTGGTAGAAGCACGAAAAATTTGCTGTAGAAATAAAAGTAAAAGAGAGTTAGCTTTTGCTAAATACTCTACTTCAGAATTTCGTACTGCCATCTGGTAAGGTGACGTGAGGCAGTATCCTTCTAAAGTATCAGGTAACATAACGAAGCAGTACGAATCTTCTTCCTATATATTAGTGTCGATATTTTCACCGTCCGTTCCTGAAAACTGCACAATAAAAGGTATAGCTACGAGTATCTGTTTGAAAGAACTTACAAAAACACAGCTTTAGGTTATTGTGTTCTTTCACTGACATCTCTCCTGGACACACAGATGATATGTTATCATCCAGAAATTCTGAAAACAGAGAAGGACGTTCACAGTAAAACTGTGGCCACGAAGCGCTTCCAGTTCTCTGAATCCAAAAGTCCTCAATGAGAACAAATCAATTGCATGATGTCAAAGTTGAGGAAGATGCATAACTATTCCTCATTGCGGAATAGTAGACCTCAACACTGAGAAGATCTTATTCGTATCTCAGCCAGGTCCGTCAGTTAACAGAGTCATCATAGTTAGACCTGCCAGCTCACAAGGTTGCCGTAACTTCCTTGATCATTGCATCCACTTGTTCACCTTCACCAGAAACGAGGGTAACGCATTGCCACTCTTTAGCTTTACGAAAACGGTTCAACGTACCTCTCACTTCTCGTCTCTCACTTTTTTCTTCGTGTGGGTTGAGTGGGAGTGGGAGTGTGGGAGTAGCCGGGGGTAATTATTGTGAAAGTTTAGAGAAGGGATAAAAAATACGAAAGGGATAAAAAAATTATTGCGAAAGGGATAAAAAAAATACGAAAGGGATAAAAAAATTATTGCGAAAGGGATAAAAAAAATACGAAAGGGATAAAAAAATTATTGCGAAAGGGATAAAAAAATATTATTGCGATTTTATCTTATGATCTTATGATGTATGATATAAAAGTTTGTGCAAAAATTTTCGCGTAAAAGGTAAAAGTAGCGAAAGGGATAAAAAAATTATTGCGAAAGTTTAATAAAGAATGGGTCTTTTTATAATATTTTTAGTTGTACAAGATAACAATATAGACTTTTCTCTTATTGTTATTAGTAACTGTGACTGAGTTTGTATCTTATGATCTTATGATGTAAAAGTTTGTGCAAAAATTTTCGCGTAAAAGGTAAAAGTAGCGAAAGGGATAAAAAAATTAGCGAAAGGGATAAAAAAATTATTGCGAAAGTTTAATAAAGAATGGGTCTTTTTATAATATTTTTAGTTGTACAAGATAACAATATAGACTTTTCTCTTATTGTTATTAGTAACTGTGACTGAGTTTGTATCTTATGATCTTATGATGTAAAAGTTTGTGCAAAAATTTTCGCGTAAAAGTAAAAATTGTTACGCGACGCGACAACAATTATTGAAAAAGCTTGCTGTGAGTCATGAATATTGATATATTTAATCAGAACTATATTGGTAGTGTGGTAGTGTAATGAGTCATTGTAAATTTTCTAGAATAAATATAAGTTATGACTCATGAAAAAGCTTGCTATGAGTCATGATTTTTACGGCGCAGCCTATAATTAATTATACTGTTATTATATAATAATAGTTCAAATATATTAAGTATGCTTATACAAATAAGCCATGTTATTGTTCGGAATAAAAATATTGTTCATTTAGTAGCATCAATTTCTATTGGTCACCGCAGTATTCCTAATGACCGAAATCACCGAACCGAAACCTTTTATCATTCTTTTTCGATTTTTAAACCGAAATTTTTTTAGATACCTTTCTTTTTTGTAGGACGCCGGACTTGGACTTTATCATGTCGAGGTAAAGTGGAGTGTTATTTTTTTTTTAATTTATTTTTAAGAAACGTTTTCTAACATTTCTATTTTCTTTTATTATAGGGACACCAACTTCTTGGAGTTGAAAGGGTTACCGTATAGTTGAATGGTAAACTATTACTTATTTATTTATTAAGGCAAGCAGCGTGAATCAGCTAACCAGGACAGCATCTCCGATACTGCTTATGTATCAGAAACTGTTAACATCCTAACAATGGATAACAGGTTTTCCGAAAATTTGGAATCATCATATGAGAGAGAAACCATTGCCAATACTCCGACCATCTTTTGTCCGGAGATAGAGACAAACGTAGAGACCACCCCACCAACTATAAATGATGCGAACGAACGAGCTTTAGCTACCGAATTCGTACAAGATTTGTTGTCACCAGACAGTCAAATTCCATCACCACTGGTGATGTTTAGCAATACCTAATGAATATTGTATTTTTATTATTTTTATTTACAATAAGAAATATAATTTTCAATTTATTTTTATTTAATTTTATTCTCATTAATTAAGATTCTGTATAAAATAAATAATTTTTATCTTAAAGCAAATTAGTAACTAAAAGAACAGTATGTGCTAATGGATCATAAATACTTCACATGATTAATATGATTAATTAATTAGTTTGTCAGCGTTAAGAGGAAAATTCATTAATTTTGCAATTAAATAACGAAAAGTCCGGATATCTACAAAAACAATTGGATCAAAATCTAATTATCTAAAATCTGTTATATTATCAGTCTTTCCATTGTAATTCTGGCTGAAATTGTAATTGTATTTTCTCTTAAAGATTCTAAAGTTCGACCCGCTCATCTGCACAATAGGATCATCTTGTCAAAGTATTTATGAAGTATAGTTCAAATTCATGGTATCCGAACTTTTCGCCGAAGTCCGTTTCACCGAAACGTCCTCTCGATGAAACGTCCCTTCGGTGAAACACCCCTTCGGCGAAATGGCTTCGGCGAAATGAGTTTCGGTGAAATGGATCTCGATTGAAATGTATCATAACCCTAAATTGGAAATCTTAAACATCTTCCAAGCATCATGAGAGAAATTTGGCGCAAAGGTATAAAAAATCAATCAAATTTAATCATACAGTATGGATAGTTTAACTCACATGCATGCTTATGATATTAAAGCGTTGACTGAAGATTCGCCTTTGATTTTGAACATGTATCACATGCAAATACAATTATTTCCGTCAACGTTAATATAAAATAAACGAGTAACACTTTAGACTTATCACTTAAAATCAAGATTTAAGTTTTTCAGTTTGAACTTTAAATTTAAAATTCTATTCTTGCATCTTTATCTTAGATTAAATAATTTATGGGAACAAGTTAACCCTTAATTTACTTTTAAAGCAATATAACCTTTTTAAATTACATCCATATCAGATATATTTTTTATCGGTGGAGTTCCAATATAGGATTATTAAACCTTTTTAATTTGAACTGATTTAATTAAGCTGTATGCTGTGGTTCAAAATATTGCATCGGTAGATTTAAACCAAACCATACAGATTTGTATTATGTAAAAAACGTTAAAATATTAGATAATACTTATACAAATTTTTTTGGATTTACAATAATATAATGCAATCACAACACTAAAAATGATTAAAGTTAAATCGACATTATTTGCTGGTTAGAAGGGCGTTTTTTCAACGTTTTCTACGTTTTCTGCTGATTGTACACGTTAAGTAATATTAGCAATGTAGTATTTTTTAATGTCACTATAATCATATGAAAATAGCTTGAAAATCTTTTATGATAAGAAAGAAAGAAAACTTATTATAATTTATCGAAATTCATAATATGAATCTTCCATTAAAAGAAACATTTTAGAAAAAAGGGGGGTTAGAAGTTAGAACTTAGTATTACGTCATTCAAATTCTAAATTTATTTCATTATTATTAAAAAAAACAAATTTCTGACCATAATTTTTTTTTACTAAATTGAGTTATCATACAAAATAAACATTCATATAAAAAAAAATTACCACATTGTTGTACATTATGATCAACAAACATTAAAAAGATAAATAAATAAATATAAAATTTGTGTACAAATTTAATTCTAAAAAGAAATTTTTTATTTTTTATTTATTTATTATAAGAAATTCATTTGTAATGTTACAATAATTTTTAAGAAATCATTGAATTCTTCCAAATTTACATTTTATAAAAGAAATTGTCAGATCCAATAAGAAGCCTGAATATAGAATAGAATTGGAAATTTTTTTTTTTCTCTAAAAAAAAAATAATAATAATAAATCATTTAGATAGGAATGTTCAGCCCCTTAACATTTACGTCAATTCTTTCAAAGAAACTCATTTTTTTCATTGATAAGTAATTCCACCCCCAAAAAATTATTCCGTTCTCAAAGTATAATAAGTATAATATAACTACGCCTTATAAGAGCTTAGGGTTACATAATGTGACACAAGTAACATAAACGCCGTGTAATATAACTTATTAGGGTTACTACTTAAGCTTTATCTATATGATGAACACTGCATGTCCTAGTGGTAAGCGACGTAAATTACTACTTAAGCTACTTAAGCTTTATCAAAGATGTAATATCTAACTTAAGCTTTATCTAGATGTAATAATATTTTTGCATAAATTAATATATCCTTTGTCATTTTATCTTATTTGAAGGTAAATTAAAATATCCTCGGTTAATTATAAAAAGTTGATCTGTTCGTCCGGCAAATAGTTATTACTAGATTTAGATATATTACTTAGTTTATCAATCATGTGATTTAATAAAGAAAAAAAAAGATTATACGATTTGACCATGCTACTCGCGAGTTGCCGTGTAGGTCAATACTTTATCTAGAAAATAATTTTTTTTAAAAAAAAATTTTTAAAAAAAAATTTTATATGGCTTGTTTATACTAACCCGATTTATTAACTTTTTATAAATCATATGAAATCTATCAAATATGATTTGATCGTTAATATAGTATCAATAAAATCGGTCCGAACATCTTACGACGGCTAATTCAAAATGCCACGTAACACGGCATGTATTATTTCATCATCTGATTAATCGGAATTTATACTCAAACCCTCACATTCAAAAATATATAACCAAAAATTTTTTTTACTTTGTGTGGACAATAAAACCAGATTTTTTTCGGATTTGAAAGATTTGAAAGATGCTTTTTTACTAAAACATGTTTTAAAATCACTTTTAAAATTTCTTTGTGTAAGAAAAAAAAATAAAGAATTAAACCAAAAAGGGACAAATTTAATGTTACACAATTTGTTGTACGAATTAACAAGAGTAAACTGCATGAACTAAGATATAAATAAAAGTAATACTAACAACAAAAAGGTTATCTAGACTAATAAATATCGATAATAATTAACTTTGTACTTGCATACAAATGAGCAATCGGACTTTGTGATTCGGAAAATTCAATGTAATTAGAAGCAATGTTTAATTTAAAAAATTATTTGTTGGTTTTACGCAGTTAATTCTTTATCTAAACTTACAATAAATACACTAAATTATTGATTTGGAAAACAACATGGTTTGATTGATTCCACTGAAACATGAGCTTACATATTTTTTAAAATTATCTGTTTATTTGTTCATTAAAAATAAAAATATTATTTAACAAATCATTTTCTTTTATCTTTATTTAGATTAAATGAATGACGTTGTTATTTTAATATATATATAATATATATATTCGAAAATTTTAACGGGTTTCAAATTGCATTTTCTTCTTTGACTAAATATGTAATTTTTAATTGCGTTACATATTCTTTTACTGTTTATAGTATAGTATTTTACACGCACCATTATTGTGTACGAATCAAAAAACAATCATTTATAAAAAATAAAAAAAAATATAAATACACCTCAAGTCAGCAAAATATGATCCAAGTTTTGGAGCTATATTGGCCGTATTGTACCCTCCTAAACTTACAAAGAAAGCTCTTAAGAAAAAATAAAACTATCCTTAACTGGATTCAGTTTACTTATTACTTGCGGCTATTTCTAGTTCCAGAATTTCGATTTTTTTAAAGAAGAAAATTTATTCGTTTTAAATCAATTTTATCAAATTATTCGAAGAAATATATATATTTTAATCGTTAACGTAATTTATTATTATTTTAAAAAAAAAAAAATCTTTTAAGTAAACGTACGAAACAAAGATAAGAACGTATATTAAACAAAAAATTAGAAAATCTGTATCTAATAATAAAATGACGAGTTTTATATTAAAAAAACCAACATCACTGTTTTTGAGACTATTTCAAATATTATTGCTAACAGCAATTTTTAGTTTAGGTAAGTAATGAAGGGTGAAAAGTTAATAGTATATTAATCAATTTATATAACAGATAATTTATATTAAATTGTTAAAATTTTTATTTTTAGAATTTGCACAAATACAAGGTTTTAAACCATGGTACTATGAAGAACCGTAAGTATTTTAATATTTTAATTCGTAAATATATTTTAATTTTTATAAGAAAGTTGTTAATCACGTGGTTGTCATTTTTTTTTTTAGATCACATGGAAACGCGTCATATTATTGGCTAATAATTTTTATTACTTATATATTGTTGTTATATTATTTAACGAGTTTCTCATATCGATGGATAACCGGACCATACTTGAGTGAAATTTATAGCGATTTGTATGTTAAAACTTAAAAGTTTCATAAATTTCTTATAAATTATATTATTTTTTTTTTTTTTACTAAAATTGTTTAATTTAAATTATTTTTCATTTTATAGATTTTTAGCGCACTTATGGTTTATTATATGTAAGTCCTTTAAAATAATTTTTTTTTAAAAAAAAAAAGAAATCATGTATAATTAATTTATTAAACTAACTTTTTCTTCCTTTTCTTTTTCAGCATTAATAAATATTTCATCAGAATTTACCGGAACAAAAATAGTATGTGATTATCCACAAGATATAAATTATTACGCTCGCACAACACGTTGTCAATTATTCATTTCAAGTATGTCATTAAGTTGGATAGTTGCAGCTACTTATGTAATTTCTTCATATGTATCAATAATGAAATGGCGTAAACGTCCAATTGAAGCCAAATCAACTAAATTCGTTGAGCCTCCAATCGTAATACATAAACCTGAAACTTATGTTGTGCAAAAGGGTGTCTTGGCAGATGGTCAACCAGCTTTATTCTTTACGGCTCAAAAAAATAATTCTACAACAAATGTATCTAGAGGTGGTGCAAGTGGAAATGTTTCACCTACTAGTTCTCATAATGCTTCATCAAATAATTTACATGGTTTTACACATCACGCTAACACTTCTAAAACTAGTATTTACCTTCATGATAAAGATGTATCTGAGGTTTAAAATATTTATGATGGTTTTTTTTTTATTATTATTTTTAATATGTGTATAATTAATTAATTAATTGAATAGATTATATAATAACCTCATATATATACCTCATATACAGTATATTTTAGCTGTGAAAAAGTGTGCAAACGAACATTTTATTATTTAACAATAACTTTAGTAAATTAGTAAATATATTAATCAATCAACCAATCAATTGCAATCAATAGTATTTTCATAAAAAGTGATTCTTCTTTTTAATTTACTATTATTATCACTTTCAATATTATTTTTATAACCATTTTGAATTTATTTTTTTTATTTTTCTTGTTTGGAATTTTATATTATTTCATGTGCACATTTCATAAATTTCAATTTTATTTCTTTAAATAAAAATGCATATTCTTTTCGATTTGTTTAAAAAGATATTTAAAATCAAGAAAGATTTCATGAATTACTTTTCACCGAGTTATCTGTAGTACATTACTTTTAAACGCGCCACATAATCGTTATGTGTGACGACTGTTTATCTAAATCTTTATATTTACTGGTTTGATTTTTAATTAATATAAATAACATATAAAAACTATGTAACTGTATTCTCTGTGACAGGTCAAAAAGAACCAAATTTAAAAATTAATTTAAAATATTGAATTCATTTTTAATTCACATTTATAGAAATTATTTAAAATTTTTTGTTTGGCCAAATAAGTAATTTTCAATGAAATAATGAAAATTTGTTACGTAGTATTATAATTTAAATATTTAAATATTAACTAGGTAAATTAGGTAAAAAAGTAATAAAATAATTAAACATGAATCAAAAAACTAAAATGTTATTATTTTATTTAATAAAGGAAAAGTTTTTGATTTCTTTGATTCATAATTTTTCATAATTTTTCATTTTTTTCTCGATTTTCTTAAAAAAAAAAGAATGAAAAAATTCATAAAATTCATAAAATTCATAAAAATTTTTCATATTAATCACCTTTTTATGGAATATTATCTATTTATTTAATTCATTTTAATGAAAAAATAATAATAAATGAAATAAATTCAAAATCTTTAAAATTAATTGATAATGAAATCAATCAAAAAATATTGTGGAATTAATAATAATACATCTAAGTGGAGGTTTAACGGCCGCTTTAATAATGAAGAATGTAAATTCTTATTCGCTTATCATGTACCAGAACAAGAAACTTTCAGCAAATTTTCATTTTTATTCATTTTATACAATTAGCTGAAAATTATTAAATCGTACCATAATTTTGGTTAACGTACAACATTCTAGATTAAGTTCTTGTAAATAAATTTTCCTTTCAATCTTTTATTATAATGTTAATGAAATTAAAAAAAAATGTTTCCAAATGTTAATTACACAACAAGATTTTCTTAATTGGACTAAAGAACGTTATAATAAACCAATTACAATTCATAAATATATAAAACAAGTAGGAAATCCTTTAATACTTAATACCAATCATTTAGAATTAAAAAAAAGAATGTTTAGATCAATTTAATAATAATGATGATTTTATAATTAATAATAAGACAACAATTAATTTAGGTCCAAAAGATGTTTGGAGAAAATATTCTAATAATATTTTAATGATTGATAATTTAATGAAATTATTAAATGTTAAAGAAGAAGTTTTATTAATTAGACATTTACTTCCAGTACCTTTATTTCCATCAAAAGGAAGTGCTAAAAAAATTACCTTATGCAAATCATCAACGAATCATGCTTCAGATCAATTAAGACCTTTTATCGCAATTCATTGGAGAATGGAAATCACAAAACCAAAAATGCCCATGAATTAAAAATGGATTTTGATTCATTTAATATTTATTTAGCGACAGATTATCCTTTAATAAATGTAGGTGAGAATAAAGCACAATCAACAACATTTCATATAATAACAAATTATCATCATGATGCTATTAAATTATTAAATGGAACTTTTAATTTAAATACTTGGGTATCAATGAAAACATTAAATTATCTTTTTAATGAATTTCCACTTCAAGGTTCTGGTATACAAGGAATTTTTGATGAATTAATTTTAACAAATTCTAATTCTGGACTCTGAAGGCTGCGCTCATGTAAAATCAAAATTTTCAAGAAAAATTGGTGAAGAAAGAAGAAGATTAATAGAAGTTAGAAATATTAATATTTTGACGTTGGCCTTTATATTAATTTTATGAAAACTTCCATATTAATAATTAGATTCAATATATAGATTATTATTACAAGTGCTCATTGGTGGGAATGATCGTATTTTCTTTATATTATCATATTATATCAGATATGTAATGTAGGTCTTATCTTGAGTATTAGTTTAGTTTTTCTTTTTTGTTTTTTTTTTCTGAGTGAAGATTCGTGTAAGATATTTATTTGACTTTTCTACAGTTTGTATTGTTTAGTAGCGTAGTTTTTAAACCTTTGTGCGAATACTTTAGTTATAGAGGGCAGATTATTTTTAATCTGTTTTCTAAGTGTTTTGAGATTTATGGGATTCTCTCTTGATGAAGAAGGATTCCTGAATAAATAAACGCGTTACTAATTTTTTTTAAAAAAAATTTCATATTTACGTTTTATTTTAACTAATAGAAATTATCAAGATTATGGATTCAAAAATCTACTATACTCACATAAGAGTATATGCAAGTTTAATGAAAAATAAAGCTTTATTTTTATTCTACAATTTTAAAATAATTTTAGCAAATTAAGAAATGAAAAAATTTTGTTGAATTTTAACGTTTCTTGCGCATATTTGCGCATATTAGAAGGTACGTTCAATTTTATCCCTTATTTTTTTTTTCGACTGGTCTGCTTTCGTTTATTTCTGAAATTTTTAAGAAAAACTTTTAATATAACTGATGAATTTAGAGATCTACTTTTAATATACCTTCTCTTCGAGTTTAGAGATCTTTTCATCAAGTTCTTCAAGTTTCTAGTTTAAATGAAAATGCTTAAATTTAGTAATTCTGCATTTAATTAGGTAAATAATCATTAAATATTCTTTCTTATACCTCATGAATTGGTCTGTTTGAAGTATAGTCTGCCTGCCATGTACTGAGCCCATAAAGAACACCAACACCTATAAATAAAAAATTTCGAAATGTTTCATTCGAGTTTATATCTAATTTTTATTTTATTAAAAAAAATTTATGTTATTTATATCCTTAATAAAAATTTACTATAACACTATTATCCCTTACTACTACTAATTGTAGAACATTTTCTAATCGATTGTCTAACCGTGGGTAAAATTCTTTGTGTGTGTCTAAGCATGATTCTTTTTAATGATAAAAAATCGAAACTGAAGAGTTATATATACTTACTTATACCGTGACTAAGTATATTATTAGTCATTTTTGATGCTATTCTCGTGATTTTTTCATAATATGACTCACTTAACATATCATAGTATCATAGTATGAAGAAATGTTGGCGAAAATATTTAATATTAGAGTCGAAGATTCCGAATAAGACATTCTCATTACGCAAATAAGAGATTTTTTTTCAGTCAATGACCATTTTTAGTACAGATTTTTTGAGGACCTTACTAGCATAAATTTTCTGCGGGGCTTTACTAAGGTAACTGTGGGATAAATGAAACCGGATCGGAGATAATGTGTACAAACGAAAAACTGCAGACATTATTATAGAAAATGCAATTTCAATCTGTGTCGTCGAACTTTTGAATTGTCTCCATTCTTGTATAAAATTATTATACTAATATGCAATCCGAGATTGTTGAGAATATGAAACTTAGCAGGAGTCAGCATCGAATCTAGGAGTTGGATCAGATACTGCTGCTGAGAATTCCCGAGCTTAAAACCAAAGTATCACGACATTGAGGAGAAATTCAAGTTATTACTCCTAAGGAGGCTGTTGATATGCTTAGCTCCAATTATAGAGCAGTGTGATAACCCTAACATAAAGTTATTGTTCCTCGAGCGTCTTGATTTTGACCTGTATTTTCTTCAACAACTTCAAGTTGAGGAAATATTGTAAGCGTAAAAATATTTTATTTCGCGAAAATACTGTAATAAGAGATCTGTCAGTTCTGATAGCTTGTTCCTAATTTTCAGGTGTAACTTTGTAATCAAAAAATGCGATCACTAGAGGATCTAAACTCTCTACTAAATTTGCTTAATTTTTTTTTAAGTCTAACGTAATTTAGCAGAGATTCAAGTCTTTGACCGTTCCATTATCACATCATGGAATAATAAATATACAAATTATTTTTAGTCGCGCTAAAACATGGTTAATATTATGGAATGATATATTTTACAATAACAATAATACAATCTTTATACTCAAAAATCTTTATACTCAAAACAACAAAGTATTTTTATTTAAATATTAATATTAATTACTAAAAACATACAAATTCACAAGAAATTTAATTTTGACTTAAACAATGATTAAACTAGTTCTCTTTTCAAGTTCGTATTTTATTTTTTTTTTCAAAACAGGAATCATTATATCTCATACTTATCGATACAAAATCACTCTTCTTTCCAGCTAATATTACTGGAGATGCCCAAGGACTCTACAATTTCCTTATTTTTCCCATATAATTTCCTTAATACTAAATTAGTTATCTTTTCAACGGGATATACATTTTTCGTTGTAATTAACAAGAATTCTTAATATTCAAGACCTGTGATTTACCAAGTTTTGAATCATGCGATATTAAGTTTTAATTATTAAAATAATATATATATAGGTTCTGCTATTCATGTGGCAAATAATTATTTATCACCATGCTCTTCGGGTTTAATTAACTAATCCATTAAAAAATAATCCTAACCCTAATCCTGATCCTAACCCTAACCCTAATAATACTAATCTAAGTTTACTATAGAATCTACAGTTTTTCCATGGTTTTATTAAATGATTGTTTTTGCATGAATTTGTTAAAGGCTACCCTAATAATAATTATATGAGCCAACAATAATTCAGGTTATATATTATAGCTTTTGTTTTTAACTCCTCGCATTCAGAACAAATATTTTCTACTAAAAAGTAAGAAATACTTTATACTGATAATCAACATTTACTGAAGTATCGTCGTCGTAAAATCGACAAATGCTTTGGCTCATAACAGACATCTCGTAAATTCTTGACTCTTGACTCTTGAGTATTTTGACGCCCATAATCTCCTATTATAAGTCAATATTTAATATAAACAATTTTAATATGAAAAATTTTACCGAAAAGGAACGCAATATCTTCAAATCAATAAAAAGATAAATTAATACCTCTTAGTTTGTCTTATATTTTCAAAATTTGAATTTTTGCATCTTATATATAATGAATCGTAAGAAATTGAAATATGTAGAAATCTAACCAGTTATTTGACTAAAGATTTGTTTCATTAGTTCCAATCTATAAATTATTATAAAAGATTTGGTCCTTTTATTTTAACATCAGAGTATAAAGAGCCCATTAACGGAACCTTCACCACGATGGCCGCATTCTCTCGCATTCCGACAAAGATGGTGACAGTCTTCATGGTCTTGAGATTCCACAATCGTATAGAAAGATCTTTACTCGCTGAGTACAACATCAAGAAATATTAACTTGCTCATATAGTCCACTTCATCTGTGATCGGAGAAAAGCTAATTGTAACAGATTCAAAAAAATAACCACTACCCAATCTGAACTGGAGAGTTGCTTCCAATTTTGATTAAGAAATGCACCTGCTCTACAGTACTCGAGTATTATACCCGGAAATATACCCGCTTGTATACTATAATAAATTATATATACTGTAAACAAACTGATATATTTAATATAAATTTTGATTAATGTATACATACTGTACGTAAATATACGCCTAAAAAGACGAAGATATCAAACTTATGCCTCTGAACCTAATTGCAAAATATTGAATCATCATGTTTAGAAAATCGCTTGCATATTGACATATATCAAATAACAAAATAATTTTAGTCAAGACACAAGATATAAGCCACTTACCCATGATAATAACGTAAGCGGGGTGTCTAACTATTATAAGAAAGATGGCTTTGTTTATTGGTAGTGACGGCTCGATTTTCTCTTCACTGCAGTTTGTCGAAAAGCGTCTTGAACAATTAAAGTTTTTTAACACGGATAGTAGAAACTAGAAACATTAGACGTTTCAGACCTATGTAAGCTATGCCCGCCAATGGTTAAGTTTTGATTAGCTACTAAATTCGAAACGTAAGGCTTTCTTTAATGACTATTCTACATAATGGCGGATTATTTCTAATTAACCAAAGTTTATTTTTATTTTTATTACTAAAGTGAAAACAGCATCAGCAAAGACTACATAGGAACTTTATACAAGAATCAAAAGTAGTACATAAAATAAACTGATAACTAAGTCGCCCTAAGATCACTTCACTTAAATGGAAAAATTAAAGCCAAGAAGTCCCACTAAGACTTCAAAGCTTCTAATTAACCAAAAGCTACTGTACCAGATACTGTACCTAACAAAATTTCTATAATTTTTAAAGATCACGTGCAAATCTTGTGCTGCCATAATAAGCGATTTTATTGCACATCAAATGTGCAATCTATTCATTTATCAACATTATACGGCTTGATGCTTTTTATTAATCAATCGAAAAACTTTCTCTTGGCGGTGGGTGAATTATGAAGTAATTTCGTTATTATTAAAATGAATCAATTATAAAATTTTGTTTATTAAATTAATTTGTCTAAATTAGCATTAAAAATGCACTATTACAAGTGAAAATTAAATGAATTAATCTTTTGTTTAAATTTGAATTACTCTGAAATTATTATACTGTACATAAAGGATGTAATAGTAATATTTGAATAAATTAGTTATGATTTGGATTTGTTAACAAATCATTTACCATACATTGATTCAAGTTTTGTTTTCTCTTTGTCCGACATTTGAAGTACCGTCGTTAAAACTGGAAGTAAAAATTTCTAATAATAATATAAATTTAATTAATTATAATGATAATATCATTAATTAAAAAATACATATAGTTCTTATAATAATACTTACTCTACGATCCTTATATTCCAAAAATTTCAATACAACATCTCTGATATAAAGTATTCTCGTATCATCATCCATTGGATTATTAATAATCGATGAAGTTGGAGTTAATGGATTTCGTGAATAACCAGGAGATATAGGTTGCGGTGAGTTTGGTGCACTTCGATCCACCATCTTTTGAAGTTTTCGAACTTCTTCCTGTAAAGTCTAATAGAAAATAAAATGGTAATATTTAGTATTAGAGAAAGAATTAATTTTAAGTAATTTTATTACATACCTTATTCATTGTTCTAAAAGTGCTTTCACGTAAACGAGATTCTTCTAACATTTTCTCGTATTCTTCTTTAATTCTTTCTTTTGAATGTTCTAATTCATGGTAATTGGCCTAAAAAAATAAATACTTAATATAACTGTTCTTATGAATCAGTTCAGTTTATAAATAAATTAAAGTTTTCCTTACAGATTTTTCGTCCGCATTTGCGACTTCAGCGTTTAGCTTATTCATCTTTGCTTCAATATCTAACATTTGTTGCTTAAGCGATTGATTTTCTTCTTTAACTAACTTAATAGAATTGTCTTTTTCCTCCAACTTTGTTTCAAGCCTTTTTACCTCTTGATCCTTTACACTTAATTTATTAACCATTTCTTGTATTCGATCATCAATTGTCCGTTTTACTTCTCTTAATTCAAATTCTGCCTTTTCTTTCACTTGCTTATGAGTTTCAACTTGCTTCCTCAAAGAGTCAACTCTTTCCGTGGTTCCTTTATCTAACTCCTCAACTCTAATGGTTAATGCTTCATTTTCACGACTCTTCTCTTTATAAAGTCGGTTTAATAAGGTTAATTCTTCTTCTAAAGCTAAAGATTTCTCTTCAATTTCTTTTAATTGATGAGTAAGTTCAGTAGAACGATGTTGTGAATTTTCCATTAAAGACTGTGAAGATTCAAATTCTGCTTCCTTCATTTGTAGTTGATCAAATAATCCTTCTTTTTCTGCAGTTAATTTTTCGTTAAGAGCTTCAAGTTGTGAAATTTGTGTTGATTTTGCAGTTAATTCTTTATTAGCACTTTGTTCAGCTGTTCGAGCAGTATCTTGAAGACGTTCAACCTCTTCACTTAGGTCTTTCTTCTCTTTTTCTAAAGTGTTGATTTTTTGTTGTGTCTTCTTAAGTAAATTTAAAGATTGTTTGCGCTTTTCTTCATCGTCTGCTTGCTGCTTTTTCAAATTATCAAGTTCATTATCACGTTTTTGAACCGTCGATTTCGCTTCATTGAATGATTCTTGAAGTTCTCGCTCACGTTGTGTTAAGGATTTTAACCTAGATTCAACGTCGGATAATTTTTCGAGAGCATCCGTTTTAGCTACATGAAGTCTAGAAACATCAGATTCAAGTAAAGCATAATTCTTTTCAGTAGCTGCTAGTTTATTTCTCAACGCTTCCATTTCATCATCCATTCTGGCGCGGGAATCATTTGCTTTCTTTTGAACAATTTCTAAATCTTTGATTAAATCTTTTTTAGATGAATTGAGATCATCACGTTCTTTCATTAATTCTCCAATTTGGTTCTCTAGTTCTGTGAGTTTTCCCCGAGTGCTAGTTAAATCAGATTTCAACGAATCATTTTGTTTGTTTATTTCAACGTGTGTCAATTTGAGCTCGTCCCGCTCCTTCAATAAATTATCTCGCTCTATAATTATAGAATCTAAATTTTTTTGTAAATTATCTTTAGCCTTTTCAATTTCGGAGACTTTATCACGATACTCATTTATCGTTTGTTCAAGTTTTACGATTGATTCCTTTGTTGAATCCAATTGTGATCGAACTGTGCTTAATTGTTCATCTTTTTCGCTAACATTATTTTTGAGCGTAGTGATTTGTTCTTCTGATTCTTGAATTTTTGTTTGCTGTTCATCAACTTGTTTCCTAACAGTATTTAATTCATTTTTCAATTCATGAATCTCTTCTGTCACAGAATCTGATTCTATAGGTGCTTTATCGGGTTGGTTCTCATCTACATTATTATTTTGTGTTAATGAGGAAAGAGCCGAACGCATCTCTTCAACTTGAATTTGTAAAGCATCACGTTCTTGAATAATTCCTGTTGGAGGAGAGGAAGGTTTACTTGAAGGGACATTTTCTTGTTTCAATTGTTCAATCTCTTGTTGCAATAATTTTATCTGTGCTTCCAATTGATGCCTTTCTGTTTCCCATGCTTCAATATCTAATGCTTCATTTTCGGCAATAGCATCATTAAGAGCCTTTTCTTTTGCAATTTTTGCATCATCTAATTTTTTATCAAATTGTTTTGTTATCAAATCTTTTTCTTCTTCGAATTCCTTAATTTTTGTATTTAACGCCATATGATGTTGTTCTAATTCTTTTCTAACATTTTCATTTTCTTTATTTAGTTCTTCAATCGTTTTTTCTAAACTTGATTTTTTAGCTGAAGAATTATTTTTAAGTTGAGTTATTTTTTGTTCAAATTCTATTCTTAAATTTTTTTCATTATTTATTTGAGTATTTGTTAAAGTTTCAATCTTTTCACATAATTGAGAAATTTCATTAGATAATTTTGTTTCATTTTCTTTTAATAGAGACTTATCAGATTCTAATTCCTGTATTTTTTGATTATACAAATCCAATTTTTTAATACTTTCATTTAAATTATTAGATGAATCTTCAAGTTTTCTTTTTAATTCTAAATTTGATGATTCAAGATTTTCTACTTTCTTATGAAAATTACTTAATTCATTATTTAATTCTTCAATTTTTAAATTTAACGAAGAATTTGTTGGTTTAATATCATCCAATTGTTTTTGTAAAGAAACTATTTTTGTTTCATACTGTGATCTTATGGAATTAATCTCTTCAACATTTTTTAATGTTTGTGAATCTATTGATGAAGGAGGTGACAATGCTTCTATAGCAACTTCATCTAAAGAATTTTCATTTTCATTTTCTGAAGGTTTATCTAAATTCGTTATATCATCTTTGTGATTATTAATTTCTTGTAATGTAGATGGTGGAGAAGATTTTTCTAATAATTGCTTACGCAACTCTACAACTTCCTATAAATTATAAATATCGGTAAAATAAAATATTGAAAATTAAAAATAAGTGAAGAATTTAAAAGCGAACCTTCTCTTGTTCTTTAAATTTCTCTTGTAAATTCTCAATTAAATCTGTCTGTGATTTAGATTGCATATTATGAGCTTCCTTAATTTCTTCAATTTGTTTTTTGGATTCTACAAAAAAAAAAAATTATTTGTATATAAGGAGTATTCATTAAGATCAAAAAAATTTTTTTTTTTTGCAATATTCCTTTCTTTAATATAATAAATACATCCTAGATCATTTTTATTTACCATCTTGAATTTGGGTTAATCTTTTAATTTCTTCCATAGACATCTAAGAAAAAAAAAAATTTATTAAATACCAAAAATTTCCAAAAATAATAATTAAAATAATGATATATACTTCATTCTTAATATTTAAGTTTCTTAAATGTGCTTCAAATGATTCCACATCGGAAAGTCCATCTAGATGTGTGTTCTCTCTTAATACAGTTTCAATTGCTTTTTTTTCATTTAAGAGTTTCTTATATAATCTTAAGATTTCTAAAAAAAACAATATTTTATTGTTAATGTTCAATCCTCTCATTTTCATCACCGGATAAAAGATTTAAAAATCCTCACCTGGAAATTTTGTCTCATATTTTTTTAGTTTTACTAATTTTTCTTTTATTTCTTCCGAAAGATTCTCCGTTTCTTCTTTTTCTTTCTCATTTGAAAAACCTTCAATTATTTCTGTGTCGTCTTCGCTCCCAAATAAAGTAACGTCCACTCTACTACTACTATCTTCACTTTTTATCGAAGAAGAAGAATTTTGTAGCCTAGTAGATTGTAAAGAACGACGTACTGAAGGAAAAAGTCCACCAATGGAGCTATTACTACTATTATTACTACTTGAAGGTATAACTTCTATATTTTCTTCATCTACATTATCGACACCATTATTAAGTTGTTTTTCTTTCATATTATGTAAACCGTTATTAATTCGATCCTTAAAATTAGAAAACATTATATTATCTAAACTATTATTTAAAGCAAAACGTGACAAAGAAACTATAATGGTATGTCTTAAATAAAAGTAATTAGGTTGAATAGTATGATTTGCAGTTGTAAAAAATATTCTTCGTTTGTTATAAATAAGGAATCGAGAATTTATAAATTTCCCGCGAGTCAGGCGGGTCAGAATATTTTCCATCAATCCATACTAGGATTATTTTTTGTGTTACTGAGTATAAATTTGAACCTGCTTTTTAATGTTACAATTCTTATTATAGGTAGAAATGATACGGTTCTTGGCATATGGCTTTGCGAATCATTTGATTTTAAGCCTCCAAATTTGATAATTAAGCCACATTAAATTTTTTTTCTTATTTAAACTTGCTACTGTCTAATTTTGACGCGTATTTGTATTTTTTTGGAGTTAAACTCGTGGAGGCTAGTTTTACAATCAACAATATGCTCTTAATATGTATGTTATTTTTTGTTGTTTTACGCTTATTCTTTTTCGGGTTTAAGTTTAAAATTGAGCAAAGAGAATTAATTGAACTTTTAAATTTTAAAGAACCTTCTTAAACACTTTTATCCTTGTTGTTTTGAAATAACCAAGGAACTAAATTATGGAAAATAATAGAATATACATAACATTGATAAGAGTAAACATTACCAAACCAATACTAAAAAGAAAATAAGCACCCATCCCATAACAGTCAGGTAAAAGCCATAGAAGGAACTACAATAATTATTCATGAAGTAAAAATTTTTATATAGTCATTCCTTCAAGAAATATTAGATTTGATTATTAAATACCACAGAGAATTTGAAATAATTGATTATTTCTCTCTTAAGGGGCTCCTATAATTAGAAATTTGGTTAAAAAAACAGTATTTGTTTGGTTTTCATTCGTTAAATAATTTCACACGAATTCACTACTGCGTCAATTGCGAGAATATTTGGGGATACTTGGAGAATACATTACTTGGGGATACAAATACTTGAGAATATAATACTGAATACAATAGGGTATATATATTTATAAACTAATTAGAGTAAAAAGAAATGAGAGTTAAAAATGGTATTCCAATACTTTGTATAATTACAAATTTATACATAAGATTATAGAGGGGACTGATAGTTTAGATTTTGGTTAGTGCACCAATACTTTTTGCTTAATGGAACTCGGTGAGCGAAAGCTGGTGGAATTTTTTAATGTTATTCAAATTATACTTTACAAAAACTGAGCATTAGCTTTTAATAAAATTTGATCTTCAGAATTAGTGGATCTTAAGTGGATCTCCATTGGTATGATCAATAATAAGAATTTTGGAAAAACTTTTTTATAATTCACGAAAAAATTTGACAATATCCTGCTTGTGATGGATAAGTTTTCATTCACAACTTTGAAACCGTTTATTACTAATGATTGACCTTTTTTTTTATTTAGACTTTTCTATCTTCATTATTTCCGTTTGATTTGAAGATTTTAGATATAAATACCAAATTGTACTTTGATTTCTAATTAGAAGTTTTTATTCCCAAAAATTTGAAAATTGATGACGGTTGTTACTACAAATTAATTATGCTGTATGTCTGTATCACTTTTTCGGTCGTATTTTTGTACGCAACTCCCTCTTTCAAGTGATGCTACGGAACCAATGTGTAGAATTAGGTAATTTAATTGAAAATTTACAATTTCCTTAGATTGAATATAATGCAAGAAGATGTTGTACTGGTATAAAAAGAATTTATTCTTTATATAAATTACAAACATCATATGATTTAAGTGATTTACGTCACAGCAAGGCTCATTGTTATAACTAATATAGCAAACGAAGAATATAAAAATAAACTCCAAAAGCAGATAATTTCCATATTAATAACAGTATGCAAGATTGTATTCTCAATTTCTCATTTGTTAACCAGGTAATCTAATCTTAATCAGGCGCCCAATTTGCCGAGATTTCTAACAATAAATGTTTGTTTAACCTTTCGATTTTTTTTAAATGAAAAAAAAATTTTGATTGGTTATCGGCTAAGAAAAAATTTTTTTTCCAGCAAAAAAGTCTGACCATATTTGGAAGAAAGAAGTTTTTTTTTTTTAATTAATGCAGTATAATGCATAACTCATTGTCGTCATCTACAAACATCTAATTCAGTAATTCATTTAAAGCGTTGCGTGTTACCTCAAAAATGATCATGACAAAGGATTTTTGTTCATTGAATTCCGATACTAAACATTCAAAGAATAATACTATTAAAGTAATTTATACGAATTATTCTGAAGTCGGAATTAGTTATCCAATCCAAATGTGGGCTCAGAAATTTTGAAACACTTATAACACCTATTGTAATTATTTTGGTTCTTTCATTTGTATATTATGTTGTCGTACACACTTCTACATAACTTTATTGCGTTAGAGTATGGGAGCATATGGACGTTTGGTAAATCACATGGTTGACTGCGAAAGTGTTTTTGATAAAATTATATAATACTTAAAAATGCTACAAAAAAATTTTTTTTGCTTTTTCATCTTAAAAAATTACCTCGATTATTTAAAGAAATTAAAATAAAATAAAAAATAAATCTTATATAAATTACTAAAATATACTGAGTACTACATATCACAAATAACACGGTAACGGTTACAACATTTTGGGCATAATTGTAAATAATAATAAAATTATTCTTGATTGAGAAGCTGAACATATTTTTCTCTTGTTTTCAAAAAAAAAAAAAAAAAATTTCATTTTTCATTTTTTTTTTTAAAACGTTTGCGATTATGACTATATCGACCATATCAGAATGGGCTAGAACAAAGGTATGCAATTGGCATACATATATACAGTACATATTTATTACATGTATATATTGCAAAGATTCCACGGAATTTAGACTCGGTTAAAAGTCGAGGTTTTTTTTTTGTTAACAAATCAAATTTTTTCTTTATTTTTCTTCCTCGATAAATGGATATAATATAGTTCAAGTCAAATTGGACAAGACTTTTCATTCTAACATCCATATTACAATTACTTGCGGTAGTTGCATTAGAAAGTCGAGTACTTGTTAGAAATACAAAATTTCGAGAAATAGTTAGTGGCATAGAAAATGACTGCGCTAGACCATCAAAAGATCGTATGTTACTTATCATACAAGAAAATGTTATTTTCATGATTTTTCAATTATTTCAACTTTGGTTTTGCCTCAATGCGGTAAATTTATTATTATTATTATCATTATATTATTTATTTATTTTATTTACTTTTAAATATTTAATAATTTTTAATGTTTTTAGGTTATCAAACAAAACACGATTCAAATTATTACACTTACCGTCATAAACTTCTTGTGTGCACTTTATGGCATTGTAAATTTTTCAATATTTTGTTTTATTTATTTTACTTTTTTTTTTTAAAAAAAAAAGAGAATTTTTTTAATAGTTATGATAATTTTTTAGGTTCAAATCGTTGAAATATATAAATGGGCAAATGATTTAAAAAGCGCATGTGGAGCCGTGGCTGAAATTCAAAAAGAATTTTTCAGAGTTGATTTTCCATTAGTAGTAACTTTAATTATATTTGCATTAATTATGTCTTTAATTAGTTTCAAATTATATCAACAATTTGGGTGGAATATTTATAAGAAAATTGGTGCAGATATTAAAATGCAAAAATTATACAAGACCATGCTTCTCTTTGTGATGTTATTGAAACTTGATTTATTCTTCTTATTACTCGTCTCCATTGAAGTATTCTTTGCCTTTAGTGAGGATAAAGGAATAGGAAAAATTCAATTTACTTTTACACTTTCAAGAAGTCTTTACTACTTTCATTTAGGTGTAACAATTATGATATTTTTCTTGGAAGTTCTCGCATATCGATCTGTAAGTTCTTTTTTTAAAAAAGTTTTTCTTCTAAGGAGAGAAAGAAAATAACAATGACCTATTTTCCTTAGTTACAAAAAGAATGGAAAACAGGAATGAAAATTTACATAATACTATCAACGGTTACTATTATCGACTTTATAATGATTTTAAAGAGTGCTACAAGTACAGTTAGTAATAGTTGGTATTTCTTTATCGTTTTCTGTAAGTAATATTAACATTCCTTTATAAAATTTTGAGTTTTAATACATTGAAAAATATCAATTAATTATTTTTTATTTTAACTTTTCAGTGAGCGTTTCTATTATATTATGCACGGTATTATTATTATTACTATTACAATCACTATTGTCTTTAAATTATTGTATATTTTATTTATAATATTTAATTTTAATACAGGCAACATGGGTATATGCCATACTTGTATACAGAAATTTTGATAAAGGCTTAAAAACAGTTCGTGAGTTGAATTCACTTTTGTTGAATGTTCACTTTAAAAACTTTAAAATTCTTTTTCATTAATACTTGTTCTTATAATTTTATAGTTAGCAAAAACAAAAAGGCAGTTAATACTAATAATGATCCTGAAATTGGTAGCAGTACTCAAGTAAGTGGTAATGGTGGAAAAAGATTTACAATTGAAGATTAAAAAAAAAAAACTCGAAGGTCGATATTTTTATTAAACCTCGTCAAATTTATCATCGTCACGTGTTAAATCTATCATCCACAACGTTGAGTTCTTAGAAGTTCTAAGAACCACTTTTGGATATATCTTTGAGAAATGCAAAGGACACGATCAAGATGTGCTACAAAATATATATTTCATATATATGTAATAATAATATAGACATTCTTTTTTAACTTATAATTTTCTATTTAATCGAAATACATATATAATTATAATTTGATGTTCGATGAAAAATTAATAAAATAAAAAAAATAAAAAATGTTTTTGGCGTTGATCACTTGATCAGAGGTGATATCGGTCTTCGATCAACTGATTTACTGTATGTATGTATATCACGAATTTCTTAATTTGTATTTCTAAATCTCTAATTAAGAAATATTGAATAAGTTTTATGCCATGAAAACCCAATGCCCGAAGAGTTTTCTGACTGTTTAGTAAATAAATCTTATTTTACCCAAAAAGATTATTTCCTTTTGTGCAACCACTTTTGGTAATCATTAAAAAACTTATTTTGTCAATCGATTTCCTTATTCATGAATACTTTTTCTCGGTTACTTGTATTATAATACACATTATTCTTTAATTGGAAATCGATCGTGTAAATCATTTTATATGAATTCAGAAATGAAGAAAAAACTATAAATACTTAATACTAGTTGAATGTCAAATATGACAAACTGTCGAATTTTTGTTTTGTAGTATAAAATATAAAAAAGGTTATGGCAACGACTTATTTACGTCCTTTGACAAACCCAAAACGGGTCAAACTAGTATCAACCTGTGACGTTTGTAAAAACCGTAAAGTTAAATGTGATAAAGAGCGACCAGAATGTGGAACTTGTAAAAAAACTAATCGAAAATGTAGTTATACTTATGCGGCTCTTACAGAGTCAATAAGAGAAAAACAGAGTGGTGGTTTTAGGTCACAATCTGATTTTAATTTTCTTCAAACCCAATTAAATAATTTACAAAATATACAATTTGGACAATTATATGAAGAATCGGGTTATTTATCGATGGCTTCAAGAGGTTTCGGTGAAATTAATGATAATAATATTACTGGAATATTATCGATGCCAATGACTTCAACAACGAATGCTAATGATTACAATAGTTTTGTATGTTATTCTGCTTTTTTATTTATTTATTTTTTTTAAAAAAAAAATAATAATTAATCTTTTTTTTTAAAAATAAATAGGATGCAACATCATTAATTACATCCGAAGTTTTGCAAAATTCTTCAAATGTTGCATCATCAATTCAGAGGAATGTTGAACAATGTCAAGTATGCGTTTAGTTATCTTTGCTCTACTTTAAAATAATAATCCATCATTAATTTAATATTTTTAAATTCGTCGATAGTACGATCCTACATATTTTTCAAATTATGTCGATTATTCCACATTTACACAGGAGCAACAACAAAATTTATATCAAAATCAATCAACTGAGCTAATTCAACCAATTCAATCGCAACAAACTCAACAAACCCAACAAAATCAACAATATCAACAAAATCAACAAAATCAACAACAAAATCAACAACAAAATCAACAACAAAATCAACAGATACAATACACAGATCAAGGAATGAGCTTTGATGATACAATTATGGATGAGCTTGCTTCTGACGTCGAGAATTTAAAACTTTATGAATCAACCAGATATATTGGAGAAGGTTCATTACTAATGTTTGAAGGAGGAAATGATGGAGAGTTGATCATACCTCAGATGCAACCGGATTTATCACAAGTCGATAATTCATTAAAAATTTTACCAAATGAAGATACTATTGAAGAGTTGATAGATTTATATTTTAAGGTATTTATTTAATTAAAATTAAAATTGAAATAAGTATTGAGTATTAACTTATGAATTTTTTTCTTTCTTCCTTTTTTAGCATGTTCATCGATATTTTCCCGCATTAAAACAACAGACTGTGTGGAATTCTGTTCGAGACTTTAATAAACCGCAACATTTGCTCTTGTTGAATTGTATTTTTTTTACGGCTTCACCTTTTCATGAAGATCCAAACAAGAGAGATGGAAGAATATATTTTCTTAGGGCCGAATGTAATTATTTTTTTTTTTTTTAAAAAAAAAAAATCGGCTTAGTTATTCCAAAATTAATATTTTTTATTGCTTCACAAGCTTTGCTTTACGAATATTGTACACAGCCACACGCTCTTACTGTGATGTCTATAATTATACTGGGACGTCACAATAAACAGGTATTTGATTTTTCATTATTTTTAAGGACGCACATGATGATCGTCCCGAATTATATACTCCGTATCCTTTCACAACAACCGTATTAAAATATAGATCGGAGCAAGTTGGATGTACAGCGGTATTGCAACAAAAATGTTATTTGAACTTGGTTTACATCGCAAGCTCAAGAATTCAAAGATTAAGATACATAAAGAAGTGTTACAATCAAGAAATGAAGCATTTTGGATGTGTTTTATTTCTGAAAAGTAAAGCATTCTTATCTTTATTAAAAAAAGCGTTATTTATATATACATTAATTTTTAATTTTAATTTTTTCTTATTTTAGCTTTGTTTCGGCCACATATGGACGTCCTAATATGATTGATGAGTCAGATTGTGATGTTGATGTGCCTGATATGCCATCAAATCTATATCCAATGGATGAAAAGACTAGACTTGAAATAGCTTATATTCATTTAATTAATCTTAGTAGGATCTGTGCAAGAGTACGCAAGTATGTGCATGCAGCGTCAAGACAAAGATTTTTAATGCAAGAAGATGAAAATAAATTTAGAGTCTTAGATGCCGCACTTGCAAGTTGGTTCCATTCCTTACCAGAATGGTTAAGGTTTAATGAAATTAATAAAGATTCAAATGGAGTCTTATTAAATGGAATTGGAGGTTAGCTTACAATTTTAAATCAATTTATTTTGGTAATTATTAATATAAATTATGTATATTTTCTTTTTAGGTGATTTATATATCTTTTACTATGCAATTTTGATTCTTTTACATAGCAAATATTTAAACCCTCCAGAGGAATGTGATATAACTGCATCAAATTCGCACACAATTTGTATACAATCTGCTACGATTATAGTTCATTGCCTTGAAATATTACTAGAAAAACACCCAGACTTTTTTGCTTTTGCGGTATATGGTCCATTTGCAATTAATCCAGCAAAGCGAGTATTTTCTTGGCAAGCAAAATATTCTGAAAATAAAAAAGCTGGGGAAATGCTTAAGCGACTTGAACTTTTAAAAAATAGAATCGCCATAGTTTCTAAAGGTTATGATCGTGGTAGAGTTGATGGTGAGGAAGGAATGAATGAAGGTTTAACAGAATGGTTAGGAATTCCAACTCCTCGAAATAAGATAAATGGTGAAGTAATTATTCCAAGAGAATGGGAAGTTTTCATTGCCGATGATGATAGAAATTTGAGAAGACAATATAGTTTGATTGCCAGGAAACAATCTGGCGGACCTTTTATGCCCAGAAGGAAAACATCAAGTTATTCAAGAGCAATGAGTATGAGTAGTAATTCTTCAATTTATATGAAAGGTGTTAGATTAAATTCGGGGTATGATTATATGAATTCAAGTCAAAATATGGATGATCTTAATTTTATATTTAAAACGGACAAAAGTTTTGATTTTTCAGCATTTTCGCAACCATCAGATCAAAATTTTAATTTACCTCGAGTGACATTAGATGGTGTACTTGTTGAAGAACCAGAACAATTTGATCATAAACAATTTGGTGGAGGTTCACAATATCACACACCTCTACAACAATCACCTCAATTACAACCACAACAATTTAATTCACCTTATCATTCACCACCTCAACAATCTCAACAATCTCAACAATCTCCACAACTTCATGCTTCAGATTTTTATACGCCACTTAATCTTTCACCACAGCTTAATCCTCAAGATTATAATTCTCCTTATCAACAATCACCTCAGTTACAACCAGAAGACTATGGCAATTCTTCTCAGTTGAACCATTTTGGTTCTCCACATTTACAAGATTCATCGCAGTATAATTCACCACAACTTCTCCCACAACAATATCACTCGCCACAAGTACAAGATCAACAACATAGCACACCATTGCAACAGTCACCACTTTTACCACATGAGGAATTTGATTTAAAACATACAATCATGATGTCGCCAGAGCAATTTTATGATCAGATTGATAATAAAAATATTTTAAATTCCAATAATGATAACAATAATTTGGCTTGGACACCTCCATCTGAATGGAATCAATCCAATAATAATCATGATGATAATATTAACTCTTCGTCATTATTAAATTCTGGAGTAAATACATTGTTAACGCCTCCATCAGATTTTTTATCTGAAACTTCTTTAGATGATATCACAGATGATGGATTTTGGCACGTATTACATAATGAGAATAATAATCATCTTGGAAATTCACCTTTAATAGATGGTAGTGGACTATCAGACGGTTTAAATGAGAATGAAAATGAAGATGGTTTAGGAATTTCTATAGAGAACAAATAGGTTAACCTTTCTTTTGAAAGACTTTTTTACAATTTATTTATTTATTTAAATCAAGACTTTTTTACATTTATTTAAATCCAGACTTTTTTTTCAATTTATTTATTTAAATCCTTTCTCTAAAATTATTATAAGTAAAATAGAAAAAAAAAAATTTTTTGTAAAATTCAATTCGTCATACATTTATTTAAATTATTTATTTGTATAATTTATTGAAGTAGATAAAATAAATTTCTGCAGCTTATGTATAATATTTTATATATTTCGGGCAAATCCAGATTTATAAATCGCGCATTTAAGTATAATTATCCCTACTATGCTCGCGAATTAGTAATATTAATTATATTATGAGAAATAGAAATATTAGGATTATAATTTAAGAAAATTGTGAAAATAGGAGAGTTGAGTATTGAAAACAATATGAATTAAGTAAATTGGGAGACTAACATCTAAGCAATATCTCGCTAAGCCCCACGCAAAGTTATAACTTTCTCAAACTAATTAAGTTCGAGTTCTAAGAGAATCTATTTTATTTCCGCCTATTTTTGCGATCGTCATGTTATCCCACTGCGTTTCTACGGAAAAAAATTGTTTTTCTACATGAAAAAAAACATGAAAAATGAGTCTTTTGTTCAACGTGACAAAAAGCTTGAAATGAGAATTTGACAAGTGGACAAAACGCGTTAATCGTGGTTATCATATAAATTTTTTTATTTTCATCCAATTAAAATATGCCACGAAACAAGGCGAAAAAAGTATAAAATTATGTTAGATATTCATTCGCCTTTTTCTTTACAAATCCTAATTTTTAGTAAATATTGATTAAAAATGATACATTACTCAATGAAAACGCTTTTAACTGTAACTTTTTTATTATTATTTGTTAGTTTACCATGTATTCTGGCATTATATGACCCAAACGGTCCAGTTACATTAGTAACAGAAAAAAACTTTCGCGACGAAGTTTTATTAACAGAGGTAAATATATACATATATTGTTTGTTCTAAATTGTCCAATTTAACGTGTTTTATTTATTTATATGTAATTTTAGCAAGTTGTTTTAGTGGAATTTTTCGCGCCTTGGTGTGGACACTGTAAAAAGTATAGTATTTATGAAAAGTACTTTAATTTCTATTGTTAAGCAAATTAAGTTAACGTGAAATTTTTTGATTTTTTATTACAGCCTTGCACCAGAATATAAGAAAGCTGCGGAGAATCTTAAAGGTCTCGTAAAAGTGGCAGCTATAGATTGTGATGATCAATCAAATCGAAATGTTTGTTCTGCTTACGATGTTAAAGGTAAATTAAACGATGCTTCATTTATTTCATTTATTTACCTATTTGAATAAAATATATATATATATATTGTTTTAGGATTTCCAACGATAAAATTGTTCCCAAGTCAAGCAGTACCAGATAAAAAGAATCCCGGTTCATTCCTTAAAAAACCCAAAGGTACGCAAATAAATAAATAAAATAAATAAAATAATATATATTAATATTAGCATTTAAATTTCTTTAGATTATAATGGAGCAAGAACAGTAAAAGCGATTGTAGAATTTGCACTTTCTGAAATACCTTCCTTTGTACAGCCAATTTCCGATAAAAACCCGACAAAGAAAACGTTGACTATGGATGAATTCTTAGCCAAAGATGTATGTACCGTTAACCATATTTTATATATAGAAAATTCTGTTTTTAAAGAATCAATTATAACGTACTAATTTTAATTTATTTAATTATTTATTAGAATAAAACATTATCAAAAATTATATTGTTCACAAATAAAGAAAAAACGACCCATTTATATAAAGCATTATCAGTAGAATTTCATAACCGTTTACTTTTAGGAGAAGTTAGACAAAAAGAATCTGAAGTTATTGAAAGATTTAATATAAAAAAATTTCCAACATTAATCGCAATTGATAAACAGACCGGTGAATCCACAGAATACACAGCAGGTAAAATATGTTAAATTTTTTTTTTTTATGTTGTAAATATATATTAATATTAAATATTTTGATTATTTAGAGAAATTTAATTACGACAACTTGGCCAAGTTTTTAAATAAATTTGCTTTGCCCAAAACAAAACCTTATTCTGAAGAGAAAAAGGAGAAAAAGAAAGAGCCTGAAATAGAAATTGAACCATGTAATTCTATTTTTTATTCGTTTAGGAAAAGCTTGAATCAAATCTAAAACTGATTTTAAATTTTTTTTTTTATAGACAATCCTGAAATAATAAACGCAAATTCACAGGAAATATTTGATAAAGAATGTTTGTCAAAGCCAACAGGACTGTGCATTTTTACATTTTTACCACTGGAATCAGAATTTGAAGAATCCATTAAAGAACACGAATCAAATATTCAAATATTAAAAACGGTTAAAGAAAAACTTCACCAAGAATTCGGAAATTCGATTTATTTACGATTTTTATGGTTTAATTCTATAGATCGCGGTTCAAAAAAATTAATTCAGGATTTTAAGTTGGCAGACGTTTTTCCAGCTTTAATGGTATTAAATCCAAATAGAAAGGTATATAAACCCTACCTTGGACCATTTGACGAAGAAGGTATTGAAAAGTTTTTAAAAGATGTAGTTAAGGGTAAAGTAAAAAGTTATGGATACAATTTTAATGTTACTTTAAATAAAGACGATGAGAAAAAGGAACATAAAAAAGATGAATTATAAAATATTTAGCAAAAAAAAAATGGAACATATATAAGTAGAAATTAATACCGTGATATAGTAAAAAATGAACATTTAATTGAATTTCAATTATAAATTGTAGGATTGTATTTTATTTTATTTAAATTTTGTATTAAGATTAGAATTTAATGTAATTATTAAATGTAATAACTATTTCTAGTAATAATAAAAAGTTCAAATTTTACGAGTTTCCTTTGCTGTCTAGATATTACAAAATCTTTAAAATATTCAAAATTACTGATATTATTTGTAAAATATTAGGATTAAAATATAAAGAATACTAAACTAAATGAGAGAAATTAAAAAATTAAGAGAAAATTATATTAATTTTGAATTTTGTTAGTAAAAAGATTAAATAAATAAAATAATCTAACATGGAAAAAGAAAATCTATATAGGTAAATCATTAGTAAAAAAATTTTTACTAATAAAACTTTCATAAGAATTATTATTTTTTGAACTCTTTTTATATTTACTCATTATCATATTAATATCTGATGATCTCTGCAAATAAGGATGCTGATAAGTTGTATTAATGCTTGCACGAAATGCATTTATGGCAGTCATTCTCACTAATGGCCCTAATAAATTTTTTGTAACCACCATGCCATTTAATAAAGGCCCAAATGGCGGGATTTTATTATCCCGATAAACTTCTACATTGTATAACTCTATATTTTGGCTACCGGTATTCGTAGATAATGGTGATATGATTATTTGAACGTTACCAAAATCTCCTCCTATTGTAGATTTTCGATATTCCCTATAATGTTCATTCCATATTATATGCACATGATCATTTCCTATGTGCCGTTTCTAATTAAAAGAAAAAAAAAATTATTGATAAAATTAACTAACAAAGTACTTTTAAAATAACAATTAAAGACACTTTATAATACCTTTCGAAGTTGTTTTAAATCTGTAGGATCTGTTGGCATTCTTGTTACATCATGAAATATTATTTCCAAAGTTGAATTACAATAATAAATTGAAGTTGTTCCATTTGTGGAATTTCTTTCTAGTCCACCAAGATATCCTGGATGAGTGGCTAAATCAATTTCCCACCCAAGACTTGTAACGAATTCGTCATATTCATTACTTCCATTCGTGTTATGTAAAATAGACTGTTCATCTTCTTGTCCTGATCCAACATATAATAAAGCAACCTTTATACATTCACGTGAATATTTTTTATCAAGTAATCGGATATCTCGGTATAATGCTGGACCTTTATCAAGCATACTTATTGATCCATCTTTAAATGTATCAGGATTTAACCATCCAATATGACTTAAGAATAATCGACATTGCTGATAAGGTTCCAGTGGTTTTTCAGCTTCTGGAGGTATAACTGGTAAAAATGCTTTTGATAATGAAAAGTCTGCACCAAGTGATAAATGTGACGTAGACCTTGAATACAATGGATTTCTTGAAAGTTGTTCGGAAATTTTATTTCTATTATTTCTATTACTTTTATTTTCGGTCACTTGGTTCATGTTATTTCGTAGCGACATAATATTTTCGTACCAAGATGATCTAAAAAATAAAAAAATTATAATTAATTAATTATATTTATCGGTTCGAAAAAAACCTGTACAATAATAAAACATTATTCGATTCAATAATAAGGCTTATAACTTACGCTTGACTGTCTGTAGAATTAACATAAAGTATTTCTTCCTGAATGTGCCTATCCAATTCTTCCTCAAATTCAGTCTGGAAGCCATCTGTTATCGTTTCCGATGAATCTAATAAAGTCTCTGATAACGATGTGTTCTCGCTCACGCTTTAAATAACAATGTTTACATTAATTTCGTTAAAGGACAAAATTATTTTGAAAAATAAATTCCCATACTTACTAATATAACAAATTACTCAACATATCAGATTGTTCGTTATTACAATTTTCGGCCCAAACAGGTATTCCATTTTTATCTTTGTAAAAATTACTTGTTCGATTACGTGATTTTGTCTTTGAATTTCTATATTAGTAAATACAATATATATATATATATATAAGTACAAAGGACGTGGTATTAATTGTTAATTTAAATGATTGTTAAAAAAAAAGGCAATACAAATAAAAAAACAAGATTAATAAAACGTACGATAATTTTGATTTCGATGATGTTGGTTCAACTTTGATATTAGGTCTCAATGTCATACATTTTGTAATTTCAGAATGTTCCGAGTCACTACTTTGTTTTGAATTAGGAACAAAATATCCTTTGTAAAACAACTTAGTATCCCAAGTATAACGGCCAGTCATATCACGAATTATCAAACGCGATCCTAAACAAAGATTCGGAATATATTTTAGATAAGAATCCTTCCAAATTATGAATATAAAAGAATTGTACATACTTGAACTTTCATCTGGCATTTCAATCACAGTGATAATAGTCCTATCATTAAAAGAAAAATATTGGTAATGTTCGGCACATTCATCATCTTTAGTGTCGGATCCTATTGGGCCAGTTAAAGTGCTGTATGAAAGAATTTGTTTAAAGTATCAAAGTATTAACAATTAATTTCATGGTTTTTTCCTGATTCTGAATTATCGAATAATCCAAATTACAAACCTGTTTATTGTTGCAGGACCATAAAAAGGAGCAAAATTGTCAAAATGATGTGTCAAATGCAATAATACACACTCAGCAACTTCCTATAAATAATAAAATAATTCATTTAATATAACTATTCAAAAGAATAATAAATATGATATTATGATATTAATATACCTTAACAAAATTTTCATCCTCAATATCATTTTCAATGCCAATTTGAACATAAGTTTCGCTACTGAAATTTATTCCTAATGAAATTCTGCGCGCCGATTTTTTGAATCTCAATTTTGTTTTCTTTCCTCGATTTCTAAATGGAGCAGGATACACTTTCTTGTAATAATTTAGTGATTCCGCCTAATAGAAAATAAAACAAGAAATTCAAACTCAATAATAAATACAAATTAAAATAAACAAATAAACTTTTAAGGTATAATTTTTCTCATACTCCACGATCTTCAAATGCCAAGTCGATCACATCAAGAACTAGCTGACATAAATCAGTGTCTGTGAAAATGGATGAAGGAATCACCATCAACCACTCAAGTAGACAATAAAACAGCTTGGCTATTATGAATCCTAAATTTAAAAAAGAAGTTAGTATTGTCCTTTCTAATCAAATTTAGTATAAATATACCTCTTCCATTTCTCACAGTTGCTTTTTGTATCGTAATATGTTCATCCAGAGCTCCAATTAAATTAGCAAAAACATCTTGGAGAACCATGATATATATCTATAAAATGATAATACACAAGTTGTATTATAATTAAGAAACCAATTCCAAATCAGATAAAAAAAATAGTTACCTCTTCATTATCGGACCACATTGAAAAATTTTGTGCAAATGCAACTAAGCAATCTGCGGCTGCTGAAACTACTGACAATTGACTCCAATATAACTGATCCAACATTGTTCGAAAACATTCTTTAACGACAGTCTTATGTGGCCTACAAATATTGATTAGTTTATGGATGTAATTGTATAAAAATACGGGAAATAGACAAATACCAACCAAATTATTGCAGTAAGTTCATCAAATGCAAGTGTACAAATGCCGTACAACAACATATTATGCATGTCATGATTTTTTATCGAATCTTCTGTCGACAATGAGTTGATCAATGCTTCTTTCAACATTAATCTTTCCTAAAGTTCAAAAAGTGACGATCAGTTATTAAATAACAGTTAACCAAATAATAAACATTGATTTTTCATTTCACACTTACCTCAGCACATTTTTGACTATCCAACATACCGAAACCTGGTTCATCCAAATTGAATTGTTTAAGTTATTTAAATTTTTTGCGGAATAGGAATTTTTACAGATTTACTTACGTATGAGTGAACAAAGTACGGTGATAGCATTTTGTCTTGTAGAATCAGGAATCCTCTTCGAATCATGTTCAGATAATAAATTTCTTATTGATTCAATAAAAGGACGATAAAGAATATTAATTCCTGGAAGACCTTGAGAAAATAGCTTTGTGGAATTATTTATTATTGCATAAGTTATAGTTCTATCAGAATCAGTTAGCCCCTTCATCATAGTACGATAGAAATCAGGATAAGATTTGTTAGATTCATGATGCCGACGAGACATAATTTTGCAAAGTCCACCATATGCTAATGCTCGCCCGGGTGCAAAGGCTCTACAAAAAAAAAAAAAAATAATGGATACAATTTTTTTTAAAAAAAATTAAAATGCGCGAATGTGAGAGACTTACAGTGGCAAGTTGCAAGCTTCGAGAAGCCAAGGAGCAAATTCATAAATCGGAGGAAGAGGAACATTCCCAAATTGATTATAGCAAACCTATTAATATCACATAAATATTTATCAATAAGTAAAATTCAAAAAAGGACCAAAAAATGATATAAAAATTACCAATTCAAACATATCTAACATATCTATTAAACACTTGATAGCATCAGTGTGATATGGAATAATTTGAATACAATTCAAATTACCCAAAGAATAAAGCATGCTTTTCCATACTAATAATGAACTTTCAGCAGTCCATGATAATACATCAAGATGAACAAATTCTGGACTTCTAAAATTAGCCAAAGACATTGATAGTTTTTCGTTACTGAAATTCGGTTGAGTGAAAAATACGGCCGAGGTTCGGTTTGACTAATTAAAAAAAAAAATTTAATTTTGCGAAACAAGATTTCAAATAGCCATAGCAAAATAATCAAAGAAAATATTACCTTGGCTTCATTACCAATGTCACTACGAGCGTCAAAAAAATCATCATCATCATCATTTTCGTCTTCATCTGACGAAATGCTACCAGAATGCAAAGAGGAAGCAGTAGGTCCATGATTTCCAACACCTAACAATTTTGTATCAAACTGGTTCGTATCTGAATGCATGCTCAAAGTTCGTCTTCCGGGTTTACCATGCTCAATAAAGTTCTTAGATGACCCTGGCGATGATAAATCGAAATCTTCACGTGAAGAAGTGCTGCCTGAAGATTTATGTTTTAATGAAAATTGTTTTGCACGATTCTTGGAAGGTTTTCGACGATGTTGATGGCGTTCCAATGTTGAAAATTCTAAAAGACGTCGTTGTAACTCTACTTGATTAAGATCTACTTGATAAACATGCTTTGAAAGAATCTTTGTCAAACGCAACATGATTTTCTAAAAAAGAAGAATTTGATTGAATTTATAGATTGAATTTGCATGACTAAAAATAATTAAATAGTATAGGAAAAAAGTATTAGATACTTACAGTCCACTGTGAAATTGTTTGATACCATCTTACACTAAAACTCAGTTGAATTGCCAATTTATTCCATAACTCTGGATCTTGAAATTCTGACCGAGTAAACGCGTATAATGTAGTCTTAAATAATAAAAAAAAAATTGAATATACTTATTGTTATTAATTGATATTATTAAGAATTTTTCACTTACTTCAATCAAATAATCGGCCAAATCATCAGCCAACATTACAGAAGGTATTGAAGCATACTTGTCACTTTGATTCATAATCTTTCTCTGAACATCTAAAAGTGACCTCAGTAAAGTTTCCCTAATATACAAAAAAGTCAATATTTAACATAAAAAGATATAATTATAAATTCAACGCGTACCAAGTTCCTAACTCCAATTCAATAGAACTTTCAGTCGTCATCGAACGATATAAGGACAAAACATCTCTATAAATAGAAACTTGTGCCTCCACCTCAATATTTGTCATTCCTCCATCAATAGTTAGGAATGAATGATCATCGAACACGAGATTTAGTAACTTTATATATCTTCTAAGATAAATATTTGCATCTGAATAAGACATAGCTGATGTCGGCGTCAGATTTGGAGTTGTGGATACATCACTTTGACTTGTCGAAGGGGATGAAAGAGGCAAATTTTGATGAGATTTACGTAAAAAGGCTGGTCTTTCTTCTTCCTACAAATTAAAGAATTTTATGAGTTTGATAGAAAGTGGGAATTACTTAATCTAAAACTCTAATTAAAAACTAACCCCACTTAGAATCCATACTCCTACTATATGAACTGCACCTCTAACGATATCTTTATAAAGTGGACTACCAGCTGGCAACATTAATGACTGCCTTACTATTTCATGTGCAAATTCACGATTCTCTGGAGCCAACACTATGGACTTTAAAATAGGTGTTGCAGGTGAAGGATATGAAGAAATTGTATCCGATGCACTATAGTTATCGAGGCAATGATGTATGAAGAATGTAATTAAAGCTCTCAAAATTGTCGGTGGACATCTTTGAAAACCATATTCTTTAATAGGTGTTTTTTTTTTAACAGAAAATTAGTATATTAAAAATATAATTTAAAATGAAAGTGATAAAATTTGAATACCTTGATCTTCAGGTAACAATCCAAGAAATTTGGCGCATTGAGGAAAAAGTTTTACAAGATATTGCTTTTTAATTAATTCAAAATGAAATTTGGCAGAAGCAAATGCTGCGTCAATTCCCATTCCTATAGCAATACCGTTATCAGGTTCAATACTTTCTATTGCAGGAAATTCATAATTTTCTGATGGTGGTATTGATCCAGCTGCTACATGTGCTAATCTAACTATACTGCCTAAATCTATTTGAATTAAATTTACCGCATCAGTAAATGTTGGTTGATGTGGATTGGGAAATAAAGCTCCTCGAGGATCACCTGGTAAAAAAAGGGGTTATTTTTTTTTTAAAAAAAAAAAAAAAAAAAAATTCTCATTCTGTATTCTTCTTACCTCGAATTAATTCTTGGCCTAGAGCAAGAGGAATATAACTTTTTCTCCATCCTTTGTCTTTTGTATGATACGTTTTTTCATCCATACTTTTTATTTGATCGAAAAAAAATATATCTAACGAAATAGCATTTGAATATAAATGTAGGCATTCGTCTAATTCCATTGTTTGATCATTTAACCATAATATCAAAAGTTGAAATCCTTGTATTCGAACTCGGGGATGATTTCCATGATCGAGCAAAATTGATAATATATTGGCTTATTGTATTAAAAATAATTCAAATGTAAATATATTATAACCAAAAAAATTGAATAAAAATTTCTTTTATAGAAAAAAATAAAACCTATATACCTATTTGTTTTTTTTGCCATCCAAGCCTTATTCTGTCAGGTATAAATAAAAATATTTTACGTAATAAAAGTAAGATCTTATTTAAATTCAAAAATTCCTTTGATGTAAATGACGACGGACGATCTGTTTTCTCTGTTTATAAATTATAAGATCAATACTTTTTTAATTTATTTATTCGAATTAATTGTTGAAAACAAAATTTTAAATTCTCACGTTTTATTTTATCCACTTGATTCATAAATGATTTATAAATTACATCGAATACATCTTCAGCATTTTGTTGAAAAAACTGAGCCTGATCAAATTCACTTGTGAAATCTTACACATGAAAGATAATTTTTTTGAACAAAATAAATTGAAAAATCCGGAAATAAAAAATAAAAAAAACAATTTATTATTAGAAATTTGAAATATTTTCATATTTTAATACATATAAATTTAAAAAATAAACTTACCTGTAAAACTCCATAATGATGCGATCCTAGCTTTTGGCCTTTGCTTTGCATCTAAAAATATCTTTGCTTTTTTTAATAACTTTTCATCTTTTGTTTGAGATGTTTGAGATGATATTAATAATTTTTGTTCTCTACTACTAATCTCAAATAGAAATTGTTTTCTTGGAGAAGAAATTGACGAAGCACTAGAATTAACTGAATGATTTGAAGAAGAATTTGTCCCATGTTGCATTCGCTTGTTATTTAAATTATTATTTGAATCAATATCAGACAAACTATCACTAAAGTCTTCTTCAACTGTTGGCGATAAAGGAGAGGACTGCGAGGGGGAAACCGGAGAATACTGTCCGTTATTAGAAGTACGTATACTTTTCTTTCGTAATAATCGCTGAAAAGGTGGTTGTTGTGTTGAATGCGAGGATTGATTTTGAGAAGGTTGATTTTGAGGCTGCTGTTTAATTGGAGCATTAACGGCAACTGGACTTGGAGGAGAAGCGTTTTGTATATTATTAGTAGTTTCTAATCTATTTGTATTTATTTCAGCTATTAAATCCTTTGGTCTTTGTGAAGAAACCGAAGCACGTCTATGTAAGATTTGATTTATAGCAGTGGCGAATGTCTGTTTTGTTGAACTACTGGAGCCATCTCCATTACTGTGAGTACCTCTTCGTTTTCTAGCAAGAGACACTGTTTTTTGTACTTTAGATCGTTCCCGCTGTTCATTATTTGTAGAACTTTCCTTAACATTATCGCTATTACTATTAATTATTTCGTCAGGATCCATCCGTTTGTTATTTTGTTAGAAAACGGTCGTGTCACTTACCTATTTTTGTGGTAATCAGGTTTAATTTCTGCTGTGTCACATGAATTAATACAAATCATGAACATGAATTCACGATATTTTACACGGTTACACGGAAAAATTTTAGATTCCTATCTGATTAATAAAGCACAATAGCATACACTTCAAAATATGATAAATCAAGATACATGGTGAAAATCTGTAGTAAAACGTGCGACCAGATTTCCTGAAAACGTTTCCCAGGGAACTTTGAGAAGTAATTATATCTAGTATTAAGACAATCCAGGGAGTTAATTATTAATAGTGTACGATTTTCACGGAGACCACAAACTTTTTGTCAATTTTTCAAATCATAACAGGTAACAATAGATCACATTAAATAGATTGAAGATAAAATTATATGTTCAATATGTTAATTGCTCCAAGTTTATCAATATCGCATACAGGACTTAACAGGAGTAGTCAGGGAAGGTAGACGCGTTCTTGATCTATTTAATCACGTGATACAGAAATTTAAACAAGAAAAAATAATGATCAAACTTGTACTTTTGGAAGTAATTTATGCAAATAAAACATTAATCTAACCTTTTCGCATGCTAAATTAAAGTGCTCAAAAATCTAATCAACTTAACGATATTAATGAGATTGTACGAACTAAACGAGTTCTAGAACCGGTCGTACCGTAAATTACATAATAATTTGGTTCCTTTACTAAAAAAAAAATTCAGATTATTCACTTTCTAACTTTCTATAATAACTTTTTTTGTTTCATCAGCATTATTTTCTTAATGTGACTATCCTACAAGGAGATTAAAGAGTAATCCTTCCTTGCTTTTCTCCATAATTCTTGAAATGGATACGGCGCATCTCCCATAATTAATACCCCCTGCTAAGTCCATATAAATGACAAGAAAAACTATATACCATGTTTAATTTTGTTAATTCCGATTAATTAAATAGGCTATTCATTTCTATTATAGATCAGATAATCAATGTTTATACTTGTCCATTTACAGTAAAATTTGTAACAATCTATATTTCTTTTTTTCTCATACTCTAGAAAATCCTCGGCTGTATTAACTTCCCAAAAAAGTCTTTGAAATGCAATCTGATATTAATTAGCCGATTTAAATATCATTTCATAAAATTTATTTGGTCGAGTTTTAGTAAAGATGAACGTATGCTTCATCTATGAATTAATGCCTTAAATTTCACCGAAGAATATATCACACCGCCCATAAATAAGAATGATATGCTAAAAAAGGATCGGTAATCGATAAAAATATGTCTATTTTTGTACACGTATAAAGTAATTGTCACTAACGTTGGTACAAACTTCATTTAAAGCATTTATTAAGTAAATTAAGGCTGATCTGATCCTCGTCCATGGTAAAAGACTGAACCCAATCCTAGCTGAGTAAATTTTTAAAAATGATCTAATGATAAATATAGGGTGAATATACAAATTATTTGTGTTATATATAATATCATTATTAATACACGCTCATTATCAATTTATAGTTAAATGCAATATAAGATAAAATAGTAAATTAGATTCTAATGATATAATACAAATTTATTTTTTAAAATAGCTTAGTAATAAATGAGCTAAACTAGATCTTTTAACCTGTATAGCCGTTATAAATTAAATAAGTCATTTCAACTTAATTGTTTATTTAATAAACACTTATTCAGTGATTGAGGGGGAAGATTTAAAAAGTTTTGAAAAATTACGATAGAGTTTAAGCAGCAGAATCAAAGAGGCATAAGAGGGTATTTAAACAAGGAAATATATATATATTGCTTATTCTTTTAAATAAAAATTATTACTTTTAGATAAAAAAACAATATTTTGTAACTTTTTCAATAAATAAGGAGGCGAAGGGAAAATGTCGAATAATATGTGTTACGCTGTTACGCTTACAAGACCATACAATTAGGAGAAACTAGTAATTGTTTGACCCTGACTACATTCAAAATACTACATAATATGTTATTGGAAATAACTACAAATAGTTGGGAAATTTTATACTTAGTTGTTATATTCATTTTACTAGGATAGAAAAAATTGTGTATTAAAAATCATGTTTTTGTTCCTCTCTATATATTACATAATAAAAGAAGGTGAATTAACGTTGCAAATTTCAATATTATTAAATCTACATTTTATTGTAACTGTTTTTAACTTGATATTCCTCAAAAAAGAATAATACACGAGAGATATAATGACAAAGTAAATTAAATAATTATAATTACAAATCGTCCTAAGTCCTAACAACTTGGTAATGAACATTATTTTGGCTTTTACATCTTTCAAAATATCAGAATTTGAATTGTAAATGATATAAAGTTGAGTGAATGTTAAGTTCTTATTTTCACTGAAAGTAAATTCAAAATATTTAGTGAATATCATGATTCCATCTCACTTTTCCGTCAAACGAAGTTCTCAATATTATTGTAAGTTCCGAAAAAGTTTATAATTATTATTTATTATGCTTCATAAAATATGAAGATAGCCACAGAGATGCTTTATCCACTATCAATTGTAATAGATCAAAATATTTTATCCGGATCTTACCATTTAGATAACTTCAACGATGGATTAACATCTGATAAAAAAGTATGATTCTGATAACGAAACCAAGAGCAATATATATATATATATATATATATATATATACAGTATATATGAAACAATTCCTCAAAGCTTCCTTTCAACTTGCATTCTTTTAATCATGAGTCTGTTTCTACCTCATAATCAAAGCGGTAAGTCCTTTTCTGATCATTTTTCTATTATCTGTGATTGTAATAGTTATAGAAACACGGGTTTTGTTTTTGTAGGTAACGATCCGGTCGATCCGCCGATCTAGTTGTAGGTTGTCGTGTCGGAACTTGTGTAACATTCGTGCACGCGTTTACATATAATTTGTTTGTAAACTTGACTAGACTAAATTGACCGCAGTTAGTATAGTATGACGAAATACTTTTATAAATGTATGTATAAATGGAGTAAAAACTTGAAATAAACTTACCATCGATCTGAAAAAAAATTTTTTTTTTCTTTCATAATTTATAGCTTTTTTTTTATCCATTTTATTTCTTTTTATATAGTATAAATTAAAGATGGCACAACCAATAAGCTCTGAAGAATTTCGTAAAAGAGCCAAACGATTACTTGAAGCGTTCGTTTATGATTATTTGAGAAAATCTGGATGTACTGATACAGCTAGAACATATTTCGAAGAAGTTGGCCTTGATAATTGGCCTCCTGAATGGTTAATTAATGTAATTAGAAATGAAATTATAACAAAAAAACAAGAAAATGAAGTCATAAAAGAAAGAAAGAAAAAAGTCCAAATGCATCACGTAAGTTTATCAAGTATATAGTGATGTTGTAAAAAGTAAAAGATGTACAAAAAAAAGTTCATCTAATAATGAAATTTATGAAGAGGGGAAATAAAGGAGAACATGCTAACGATGATGATGGAAATAAGAAAGAAGAAAATGAAGAGCATATTGAAGGTGACATAGTAAAAATGATGTCAATAAAATAATTTTTTAAATCAAATTTTTTTAAAAATACAAGGATTTGTAAGTTTGAAGATTGTTAAAAAGTAACAAAAGAATTTTGAACTTACAGTGAGTACGGGAGAATCTCAGAAAGAAAATAATGAAGAAATTCGGAAAGATACAAATTTCAAGGATGTAGAAGAACACGTAGAAGACGATACAACAACAGGCGATGCCACCAGACATAATTATCATTGTTCTAATGAATTCATGAAGTCAACTTCAACTGATACAACTCTATTACCACCTTTTAATGCGTTTTCAAATAATGAACTTCCTAGTATACCATTACCATTGGATGTTCCGGGTGGATTTCTCAATGAGTGGTGGTTAACTTTCTGGGATTTGTTTAGTAATTTGCAGGAACGTAATTCGAGAATATCTTACGGTAATTCCTTTGAATAAATACTTAGCATCTAACTCTCCAAAGAAATTAAATTCCGGTCACTTGCTTTTTAATAAATAAGAAATATATCTGTGATACAGCAAATTCAATAATAACGGTGTTCGGAAATCTGAATTTTAAATTAATTCAAATTACTATAAATTAATTTTATTCACCATAGATAAATTATAAAATAAAATAGATAGTTGCACCGGGGGATATCTCTTCATCTATTTATCATATCCTTCACCTTTAATCCTATTTGTCACCTTTATATAATATTGCTAATTTATTAGAGTAGGTTATTAGAGAGAATTTAAATATCCCCCTGGTTTAAGATATAAATAATTAAATTGTTTAAACATTATTATATAAATTAGAATAAAATATTAATATTATTATTATTAAGCTTTATAATTAGAATTATTAGATATTTTTTTTTTTTTTAGCCTACTTTCTTTGCCCATATCCTATGTTTGCAAAAATAAGATTCAACCTTATTTACCTCAATCATCATTTTTTTAGCTATATCTTCATAATCTTTTTTTCTTATTGATTTTTTAGTTATTAAGGTTCTTAAAATTAAAGAAATAACTAATTCTGCACCCCAGTTACCTAATTTATAATCCCAAACACCAACTGGACATTTACGTATATCTTTTTGAATATCCTTCACTTGATTCGTTGAATTTAATATCTTTGGTAATTCCAATACCAAGTAAGGATTTACTTTATGAGATCTCAATGATGCACGAACTATACAGAAAAAGAAGAAATTAATATTCACAAATTTAATCAAAAAAAAAAAAAAAGATAATATTGATGTACATACATTTTTCGATATGTTTGGTCAATATGGGAGTTTCAGGACCTTCACCATATAATTTTATTTCAGCTTCCATAATTTCCAAGTAACCACCAGGTTTAAGTATACGAATTAATTCAGGTATAATAATTTCTTTCCATTGAGAACTAGAATACCATAGTATAGCGGAATGTACAAATATAAAATCAAAAAAATTATTTTCAAAAGGTATTTTATCATTTAACGTTTTTGATTTAATAAATTCAACGTTTAAAGGTTTTTGTAATGGAAAACATGATATTGATTCTACTCCATAGAATATGGAATTTTTGAAGTCGCTTGACATTTCACAAGCCCAAGTTCCCGGGCCACATCTTTAAAAAAAATCAAAATACAATTAGATTGAGACAAATTAAGGAAAAAAAATATAAAAGAACACATTAATAGGTCATTAATAGGCCATGTACCTGAAGTCTAAAACTTTAGCACCTTTTTGTAAACATTCAGTTACGGGAGAAGAAAAATTTCCATCAAATATCGTTCGATACACATCATGAGAATATTGTAATCTATCTATTTCTAATTCATCTAGATTTAATAATCTTTTGGTACTACTACGAAAAATATGAAAAATGCTAAGCTTTGGTATGGTTGATTTTAATAATTTCATTTTATTATTATTATTATTTTTTTTTTTTAAAAAAAAAAAAAAAAATTTTTTTTTTTTTTTTCTTCTTGCGTGTTTTTTTTAATAAAGTTAATCAATTAAAAGCAAGCCATGTATGTTAGGATTTTTATCTATTACAAAAGTCGTAATGATTTTTTTTTTTTTTGAAATTTTTAGTCAATGACATGAAAAATGAATTTTTATATATAAAACTTAAAATCATTATTTTTATATATAAAACCTAAAATAATGGTTGATATTAATTTATTCTTTTCCTTTTTTATGTCAATTTTAATTTATAGATTTTCGTGGATTTTCGTGAATCTTATTTTATTTTTGAATTTGACTTTAGGTATTCATACGAAAATCATTGTCGATTAAATCCAATTCTTTTCATTTAAAAATTACTAATTGTGAAAATCGAATATCGCATTTTTTTTTTAAAAAAAATTCATATCTATTTAAGTCTGTAAATAAACAAATAATTAAAAATAAAAAGATCATTACCATTAAAGTTATCATTATAAATCAGTCGGGAAGAACGGGAAATCGGAATTTGTCTCTATTCTAATAATAGCAGGGAATGAATTTTTTGTTTCACGATTATTATAATGAATTCTCGATAAATAAACTTTGATCGATCTTTCTTCCAAACCAGGAATCTTTTAATTATACCGGAATCGAACGCTAACAATCTTCATTTTATCATATTATGTACCATCATTGAATTTTATATTTGATCATATGCGTTAAAAAAAAAAAAATCGAATATCTGAAACATCTGAATCACTTGGTAACTCGGATTATCAAAATAATTAAAATAATTTACATTATGAGCATTATAAATAATCTAAATAATCTTAAATTATAATTATATATATACAAATTTCAAAAAAATTATTCGACTCGAATGTAGTTCAAAGAATAATGATTTATTACATTTTCTTATATATTGTAAATAAAATAATACAATTTCCTATATTATAATGATTTAATTATTTTTTTTTTTTATGAGTAAAATAATAATAATGAATGAAATCTAATTTTATTATATTTCTCAATATATGTGTATGAAACTTTTTTAGGTTATAAAAAAAAAATCCCGAAAGAAAAAAAACTAAAAAAAAAAAAAAANTATAAAATAATATGAATAATATATAAATAAAATGTGTAAATAATATTACATAACACTTTTTTTTTTTTTATCTATAATCAAACAATATGTTTTAATTTATCATTATCGTCAGGATCAATAAATTTTTGTAAATCATCATTATTAAATCCAAAGGTTTCCTCTTTTCCTTTAGGTTTATCATGTTTAGAAGGTTCACTTTCGTTTCTTCCCATTCCATCTATTCCATTACTTGAAGATCCATCTGTTTCATCTTGTCGAACGATTTGAATTTGTTTATAATTAAGATCATTCTGTTTAACACTTTGATATCCATCACGATTACCTCCTCCGCTATTAAATGCTTGATATTCTTCGTCGCCATCATCATTAAATATATCAATTAAAATTTCTTTTGGAATGATCATTGTAATACCAGTCAAGAGTATTCCCATGAACATGACCCACATACAAATTAAATTCGCTAACCGAGTTTGGCAAACATATCGTAATCCTGGTTCCCCATAATCATAATTTGTTGGACAATAAAATGGAATATCACCTAACTCATTTATTGTAAAGATCGTATAAATGACTGTTAAAAATAAACGAAAAGGTATTAGATTTGAAAATCTTTTTTTAAAAAAAAGAGAAAGAGGAACATATAAATAGTAGTAAACTTACTTGGAATAACTAACCATAATACTGTCGTTAAACTAAATAAATAAAAATAGGAAAAAAATATATTATGTCAATGTTTTATTTTTTTTTTTAAAAAAAAAATAAATCTTAATCATATTTTTCTTTTTTTTTTCATACATAAATTCCTTGCTCAAATCTTCTCTAGCAAAATAGCAGCAACAACAAAAAATGAGGAACGCTAATACTATAATAATATAAAAAATAAAATTTTAATTTAGTATCAATCGTATCAATCCAAAAAATTGTATTAAATGAACCCTTAATATATATAACTCACAAAGTTGAAATAAAGTAAGAGATAAATATCTAAAATATTGAGTATACTTTCGTTATTATTATTAGAAGAATGAAGTCAAGCTTTTTTTAATTTAAAATACTTACGTATATTCAATATATTTACTATAAGGGATACTATACTCATCAAATAATCTTAATTTTTGTATTTCTATAAAAAAAAGGAGCAACAAATTTAATAAATAAAGATCAAATAAAACAAAATAAAATAAAAAAAAAAAAGTTTCTTTGTACCTAGAATAGGACAAATAAAAATTAAAGGAAGTTCAGCAAACATTAAACAAAAAATACTACATATGATGGGACAAGCTAAAATATCTTTTAAAGCCATTTTATTATACATGTAATTTTTTTTTCTTTAGGAAAAAAGGTGAAAAAGGATCATAAAGATTGATGAGTAATATAAAACTTAAGAGTAAACAATAAAAAGTTTTAGTTAAGAATATTAATTTGATGATCTCTTTTGTAATTAAACTTCCGATTTAAGATTGATTGATCACGCCAAAATCAGTATATTACCACAATAGGTATTGGTACTCGTATTTGTCTTACCTATCCTTACCTGATAGATAATGCATGTTATAGTGTGTATAGTGTGACTACGGTTGTAACACTATACTATACTTGATTACTATATATCAATGATGTATCAGATAATATTGGGCTGTTTATCATGCCCGTTTTACTGTTTTATATTACCCCTGTTTGACAATTTTTTGACAATCACAATTGTTAAAATTTTAGTTTATTTTATTTAAATCTAATAAAAATACAGTAAACTACACGTCATACACGTCACTTTCTTTTCTCTCGTCATCATTTTTTATGTTCGATTTGACACCAAACAAATCATTAATCTTACGTTCAGGAATAAGAGCAAGCACAGTAAAAAAGAATGTAGTCAAAAACATTATCCACATAAGCATTAAATTTAAAAATCTAATCAAACAAGCATTATAATAACTTTTTGAAGGATTAGGATAAGAATAATCTTTTGGACAAGAAAAAGGAATTGGACTCAATTCATTAATCGTAAAAGATGTATATAAAACTTTTATAAAAGTGGTGTAAATGCGTAATTAGGAATCTGATATATAACACTTTTTATAAGGATGAAATTAATGAAAAACTTGCCTGGAATTAACACCCATAATAATGATGAGATTCTTTGTTATTAGAAATAACAAATATTAAATATTGATAACGAAAAGTTCAAGAAATACATTAAATGTTTAATGACTAACCTGTTTATCCATTTTACTACTTTTTGCCAATTATCAAAACAATTTTGAATGTATACAGTCAATGCAGTTGAAACTAACGATGATTAAAATCGATTAGATAAAAAAAATAACGCATATATACATATATATATATTTTTGTACTTTACCAAGTGTAAAGATAACTAGAGCAAGATAAATATATTCAATAGGTTCGTTAAGAGGAAGTTTATGTTTATGAAACAAATTAATTTTCATGATTTCTGTTTTTTAAAAAAAAATGTATGTATAAGTTATTGCGATAAAACATTATTTGTTATTAGATATCTAGATAATCTAATTACCAAAAAGTGTACAAAGGATGACTGTAGGGACCTGGACTAAGTATAAACAACTCGTACAACATGCATAAAAAATTGTTGGAGTGTAATCCATTTTTTTTTGTTTTTCAAAAACTCCTTTCTATAAAGCATTCGTTTTTTAGAATAACTTTTTGGAAAGTTGAAACGTAAACGATTCGTAAAATGCCACACTATTAAAAGATACGTGTAATATAAGCCATGATCTCCTTTTACTTTTACTTCTTTTACTGCGTGTTTATCACGTGAATTATAATAACCAGAAAAAAAAAAAACTGATAAAAAGCGCTTATCAAAAAAAAAAAAAATGTTATTCGTCAAAATTTAAGGACATTCTATAATACAATTCTATAAAAAAAAACACTACAATTTTTTTTTTTTTTTACCATTCAATTATCATCATTATTAGACTCAAAATCGACATCATCATTGACATGGACATCACGAAATATTTCAGAAATTAATGAATATATCCATGAAAATAGAACAGAAATTGAAGCTATCCACATCAAAATGAAATTTGATGTTCTTATTTGACATATAAAACGAAGTCGAGAGAATTTATAATCGTAATTTGAAGGACAAAAAAATGGGATTTCACCTAAATCATGAACTGTTTTTACTGAATAAATAACTATTTAATTATTACATTTTTTTGTGAAGGATAAAAAAAAATTGAGTTGTTAAATTGTGTATATGTATGTGTATATATATATATATACGTTAAAAATATCTTTTTTAAGAAAAAATAGTGATTTTATAGATACGTTAATTCTTACTTGGAATAATTATCCACAAGATCGCTGAGATACTAAATAACAGAAATATTTATATACATGTATATATATACACATATTGCAATCAATAAATTATTAAAAAAGTGATTCTAAATACCTTAGAAAGAAATTTGTTAACGCTACATCTGGAATGCAGCAGCAACAGAAAAGAGAACTTGTTATCAAAACTATTTAAAAAGTAAAAATATATATTAAGTAATTTAAGTGACATGAATGTTATATCTGTCAAATTCCTTACCTAATTGAAAAATTATAAGGAAAAGATACCTAATATATAATTTATAAATTTAAATAAATAAATTATTTTTATTATTATTATATTATGAGAACACCACTTACAAGAATTCAATCGTGTATTCAAGTGGAAGTTTATATTCATAATATAATATGATCTTTGTATATTCTATAGTTTAAAATGAGTTAAATAATTTAATAATATCTTTATAATATTTTTTAAAAAATTAATATTTCCAATTTTACCGAGAATTGGACAGGTAATGAATAATATGCACTGTATTAGACAAAAAGGCGTCCAATTATCGATTATTGTACGATAAAATTTTTTTAAATCTTTCATGATTTGTAAAGAATTCTAGGGTAATTAAAGAAAAGAAGAAAGAACTCGAGTAAAAGTAGTCAATTATTTCATTATGCTTATTATATATACACACATATTATATTTGTTTCATTGATGATTCGTTTGAAGTTTTTTTTTTTGATGATGTGTATTATGATTTGGCATCGTTAATTCTTTTTTATTTTTTTTTTCAACTGAAGTTTCGCCACATATAAAATAAATTTATATGACACGTTAATTTTATTTATTTTTTTTATAAGCCCGTCCGGAATAATGTCGAATACTGCGGACTTTTTTTTTTTAAAAAAAAAAATCCTTTCCTAATTTGTGTAATTAAATGTATCATTTTTATGTATACAAGTAAATCATCTCGTTGAGTTGATTAAGGATTATATTATATAAGTAAATCTTTTTTTTTTCGATCTATCGACGTAAAAAAAAAGAATCTATAGCTTTAATTAATAACAATCTCTATAAAATTTTCATTATTATAAACAAATAAACGTTATGCCTGCCTTCCTCTTGTTTCTATTGGTAACATAAATACTAAAATTGCCAATATACCAAAAACAAATGAGGTTACATATAATGGTGCAGAAACACTCAGAGAAATTAAAGTTCCGGTAATAATAGGCGAAATCATACCGGTACTATAAAAATTAAAATGATGATAATTAAAGTTAATATATATTTAAATACTTTTTTTCTGTAGAATCTGATATTTATACTTACATTCTAGCAAAAACAGAAGAGATTCCACAAGCAGTTCCCCTTATTTTAGTCTCAAAAACTTCAGGAGTATAACAATAAATTACGGACCAATTAACAGATTTTAAAATACCAATAATCATTGAAAATAGAACTACACTATAATGATGATGAAAATTCGCAAATAAAAATGTTGATAAAGAAACTCCGGTTGCCGCTATAATCATTGCACCTTTTCTACCTAAAATCGTTTCAATTAAATATGATGCAATTATAGCACCCGGAGCTCCCCATATTGAAAAAATCATAAAACCCTTCAACCCTTTCCTAATAGCTTCGCCACCTTCACTATGTTCTTTATTTTCTTCTTTACTCACAGTTTCAAGATATTTAGGAAGATAAAGATTAAACATTACACTTCCAAATGATATTACTCCCCACATACTCCATACAATCATTGTTGTTGTTATCCATTGCTTCTTAAATAAATATTTCAAATCATTAAATAATGAACTAAATTTTTGTGTTGAAAGAATGCTAGATTTATTGAAATTTCTATTTGATTCTGGTGATACGTTTGAATGTTTAGGTGATGATAAATTATCAAGATGAATTTCAATTTCATTTCCATTAATTCTTGCAATTTCTTGAAATACAAAAATTGCTTCTTGTTTTCGATTATGTGATAATAAAAATTTAGGTGATTCTAAAAGTCTAAAGAAAAGAATTCTGATGATCAACATAATTAACGTCTAAAAAAAAAAAAAGATAATTTGGTTAGATTCATCTATTAATATTATTAATTAATAAATATATAACCTACGCAAGTTCCAAGAATCATTATTACGTATCTCCAACCATTATTTTCTTTATAAACATCACAACCTTCTTTAAAACAACTATATGAAGGTAAAATTAAATATCCAACTAAAGCTGTGAATGCAGCTCCAAATTCAAAGAAAACTGATAACAAAGTAAGAAGATATTGATTCTCTTTTGGTACAAATTCCAAAAATATCGCTCCTAATCAGTCGGTAAATAAAATAAGATTTTTTAATAAATAAATTTTTTTTTTTTTTTTACGTAAATCCTTTAATATAACATACCATCTACTGGTAAATTTCCTCCAACACCAAATCCTAACATGAAAAATAGAAAACATAATTGTTCAAAGCTTTGAGAAAGACTTGCAATATAACCAAAAAATACGGACAATCCTAGTGTCCAGCTGAACGCCTGTTTGCGTCCATATGTATCTGAAATTATTCCCCAAAACACGGCTCCAAACATCATTCCAAAATATTGTGAACTTGAAAGTAATCCAATAATTGAATTTGGTACTTGAAAGTGAACTAAAAAGGTTGTGAGTAGATATTGAGGAAGCGTTAGACTTTATTAAAATTAAAATAATTAAATACCTTGAACTCGAGGTAATATTATTGCTACGCACTGAAAATTATTAAATATTTGAATTTGAAAGTAAAACATTAAAGAAACAATATATAAATAACGCACTAAATCCTAAATATTAATGTACCATCATCCACAACTAAAAAAAAAGATATAATTTTAAAATCAGTAAATCTTACAAAGGCAATTTAACAATAAAGAATCTAAAAATTGAAACACATACAGCATCTGATAACCAACCAAATCCACAAAGTACCAATAATCGTTTTTGAAAATTTCCCATTCCGATGCTTGAAATAATATTATCCAATTCTTCGTATTGATCTTTTACAATTTCAATATCTGCCAATAAATTAGAATCAATATCATCATTTTCTTCACGTATTATAATATCCGCATTATCATCATCATCCGAAAAAGAATTCCTTTTAGTAATAATATTATCTGGACTTGATGGTACAAGAAAACGTTCTCGTTCCTCCTCCGAAATTCGTATATTTTCTTCAGACGAACGAAAATTTTTTTTAGAATTCATTTTCTAATTTAAAAAAAAAAAGAATAAAGAAAATTTTTATAAAAATGATAAAAATGCAACATTTTTATATTTAATACAAGAAATAAAATGCCAAAAAAGGATAATTTATGCAAGTTTTGGATTCTTTATTTATGCATTGTACAGTACAATTTCCATTTATGATTGGTACCATAAAATCGAGGCGCAGAAATTTAGGGAAAACCCTTTTCTGTAGTAGCTTAAATTAATTAAGAAATATCATACCATAAATATTTATCATATTAATTTATCATATATTTAATTTACATCAGAATTAAAAAAAAACACTAAATGTCCCTAATAAATATTTCACGCGTCATTTTTTATATATTAAGTCTACTATTTGTAATAGAATCAAGTTTTTGTCTCATTTGCCACAAAGTCATCATTAATTCTTTTGATTTATCACAATTTACCAACGTATTCAATCGTGTATTTAACTCTTTGTCAAGAATTTTCAACTCTTCGGATACACTGTCAGGAATGTTTACTTGATTTTGAGTAAGTTTCTCAAAGACCGTTACTAAATCATTCATGTTAGCTATCAACCTATTTGTAGCAAATGATAATTCATTATTCCAAGATTGAGTCACTTTATCTCTTATTGTTGAACCCATTAAAGAATTTGTAAAAGATGAAGGTTGCTGTGTTGAACTTGATTCGCCGATAACGATCGAATTTTGTACCAAAGATCCTTCGGTTAATGTTGAACTTGAAATTGAATTTGTTCCCACTCCAAATGACCATTTATCAAGTCTCGTTGGCATATTTACATAAGGATCAAAAAAATCTACATTATCCTCAATTTCACTATCTGAATCACTCTCATCGTCCATATTTTCCATAGAATAATTTTGTAAAGGAAATACTTTTCTATGTTTCTTAAATTTCTGGTCATGTAACTTTTTGAATGCTTCTTGACGTGAATTTAATTGAATAAAAGGCATTTCCCAATGTTCCAAATTATCAAAAAAAGTAAGATCTTTTGGTTGTAGTCGCATCCAATTAACGATATTGATGGATGCTCGTATATGAGAGCAAGCACCTCCACGAAATAGGAAATTAAAACAATGACAACTTATGAATGGAGTAAGACAAACCATATAATAGTCCATATTTTCTTTATCTGGAACATATTCAGGATTTATTACATTACATTGAACTCTAACAAAAAGATAATGTCCATTAAATTCGATAAATTTAATTTTTAACAAATTTGCTTCCTCCTTTTTTCGTGGATCAAAATCTTCAAATGCAATGGTGTTAATATGATTATCTAATAAAGCTCTTGTAGTACCTTCTGCAAATTCTTCATCTTCGGCTAATTCTTCTAATATTGATTTTTTATTTTTCAATATATCATGTATATTATTCCAAAGATCACGTTGAATATTACAAATAGGTGTAATACATTTTACTAACATGATAGCCAAAACATCTAATCGTAAGACGTGACCTTTTCGCTGAAATCTTAGTATACGTTTTGGATTAAATTGTCTTCTGAAACCTTCCAAGCATTCTGGGGTCCATGGAATAGAGTCAACATCAATTCTTAATATATTTGCCGCATTTTTTCTTCCATAAAAAGTCCACATATGCATCAATTCATTTACCCAATCTTTTTGTAAATAATTAATGAATTCTAATTGTCCATCATATAACGCTAAAATTTTTACATTTAAATTCTTTCTAAGAATTTCATCATAATTATTCTATAATTTCAAAATATTATTAATTTTTTTTTTTTCAATATATATATAAATAAAGAGATATAATTTTTAATTTTTATTACCTTTATGATTTTTTCCATTGATTTAATTTTAGAACGAATTTCATTTTCATTCGCGTATTTTTGTAATCTACGAAAAGAACAACAATTAATTACAGTCCAAATATATATACAATAACATATTACTTACTCGTCTATCATATCAATTAGTTCTTTTTTAATTTTTTGACGATAACTCATAATTTCATTATCCCCATCAGTTCCTAACAATTGATTTATTTTATTCATCCAGCATTGATATACTTGAAAAGGAGAATACACGAGATATATAGAAGACCAGACTTCAGAACACGCAAGACGTTCCTTAAAACCAAAATCAATTATCGCAACCTGATAAAATAATTTAATATATATAATATTATTTTATTATCAAATGATTGAACGTTCATTATAATTTATTACCTTTGGGTTAAATAAATTATCACCAGTTTCATGACTTAATTTATTTTTATACATTTCCAATAAATGTCTCAATATTCCATATTCATGATTTGAAGCTCCTATTAAATCAGTATTACCAGGTCTTAAAAATAAAAGGTATCCAATTGGTACACCTCTTTTGTATTCATCTATAACCATTAAAACATACATTTGTAATTTTTTGTTATCAGTTTGAAAAGTTCCATTTAATATTATATAATTTTGATGACCATATTTCCATGCTTGTAAACGTTGTTCTTCTGTTGCTAATATTAAAAATGTATAATCATAATGATGATCTCTTGGTTTATAATAAATAATTGCGTCTCTTAATTCTACATCGGAAGAATTTGGACCAAATAATTCTTGTAAATTATGATGTACGGATCGTTCAACATTAACATTCCATTGAGGTTGAGGATGATTTTTGATCCAACGCCTAGCATCTTTTATATCAAAAGCAGTTATCAAGAAATGTTCATCTTTACATTTTAATTTATTTCTTAAAACTAATCTTCCACCCAATTGATCCTTTATAAATTGTAAATTAAGTGATAAAATATCATTAGTTGAAGCATAAGTTCTTACTAATAATTCAGTCATATCTCTAATATTAATATTAATTGATAATATAGGATAATTTTTCTTTGGTAATGCACGATGACATGCTTCTGAATGATTCAAATAACCATGAGCTCTTCTAAAAATTTTTTTATCAACATCAATTTCTAATCTTAAAAAAGCCAAACAACCATCAAATTCATATAATTGTCTAATAGGTCTTTGTTTTTGTACAGGGGTCTTACTAGCAGCTTGCATATCAGAACCACAACTACATTGATAAAGGGTAGCACCATTTTTTTTATCACTCCAACGTATTTTCCACCTATTCGTAGGATCTTTATGTTCTCTATGTGTAGAATTTGTTGGGTCATCCAAATCAACAGGAAGTCCTTGATAAATTAAAAAATTTCTTGCATTTTTTTGATCATCAATTGATTCACTCCAAATTTCTGTAGTAAAAATTTCTTTACCAGGTAAATCGGATAAAGTGAATAAATAATTTAATTGATTTCGTTGTTTTTCTGTCAAGATCAATTTACTTATTTTAGGTTTTGCATTTAAACGAAATTTATCTTTATGATAATATTCATGAGCCATCATGTTAAATTGTCAATATAAATATATATATATAAACATATATACAATAAAATAATAATAATAATAATTATAATAATAATAATAAAATAATAATAATAATAATAATAATAATTTTTTTTATATTAATGTTTATTTACGAAATAAAAAAAAAAAAAAAGGAATTTTTATTAAGTAGATCTTGATAAAACATTCCAATAAAATTCAATAAAATTCAGAGAATATTTATAATTTTTTTTTTTTTAGAAAAAAAGAGATACTTTTCAATAAGGACGATTTATATGGTTTAATTTTTATGCCGAGTGATATATTGTTTATGTCATTGGTTTATAAAAAAGTTACGATTAACACCAATTATACAAATAAAAAGTGTCACAAGGATACAAAGACTAGACATTTTGCATTTACCTAAAAGGGAAAATTTCGGGGTAATGAAAATAGATAATAGGAAAATGGATAAATTGCATGATTTATGATAAAATAAATTATTAATAATTAATCTTAAACACACCAATAAGTTGTTAATTTGGTTAGTTTATGTTTCTCCTCAAAAAATTATTTTCAATGTAATAAAAGAGAGATTGGAAGGATTGGAAATCACTTTTTCTTTTTTAACATCCTTGTCAAATGTTGCTGCACAGGGTACAATCCGGTACATCCTAAATTTGGAAATCTAATTCTTTGTATAAGATAAACGCGTCATTGCGTAATGATGCAAAATTTAAAGGGCAAAGCGTTAAATCTTTTCCTGGAAAGAAAGATGGAAAGTCCGAGTTGCAAAATAAAGAATAACATTTTTTTTGTGCATCCCTTTCATTTTAATTTTAATGTCTATTATGTAATTTTTTTTGTCATATATTTTATAATAATATAAAATTTATGCATATAATCAATTTACTGCGGTCAATAGATTTATCATGCTGTACAATGTACATTTAACCTAGAGGAATGTTTCCGTATCCAAATTTATTTCATTTTTTTTTTTACTGTTCTTATTATTTTCATGTTTTTACGCATTTAAAGACTACGTTGTACTTTCCCGATTTTTTAATATAAATCTTTAGTTATAGAAAAATCGTAGGATGAAATGTTCTAATAAATAAATAATAGTATTAGTAAAGTTTTTATCACGTAAAGTCGTAAATTATTTAAATTATTACACTTTTATATAAAAAATACCGATTTTTTTTTATATTGTATTTTTTGCTGACTGAGTCATATATATATTATTATGTCACTGGATTTAACCTCAAGAAAGATAGTAAAGAATCACTAATAAGTAGTCTTGTAAATTTACGATCGATGATTATCGAAACATTTACTCTAATGGATATAAATCCAGCCTGTATTATTTTATATGAATAAAAAGAAATTTGATTCCGTAAACTTTGTGAAGTTCATTATTTTATATGGTTCCTAAAAATCTGATATAAATCAAATGTATGATGTCTTTCTTGGTTAAACATATAATAATATATTTTTTTCTTTCAATTCTTCCTTTGACATTTTTAATCAAGTTATTTAATTGTTGGTGATGTTTATTATATTCCATTTTAAATGCTATTTATGTATGTAGTCTAATTTAGACTAGTAAATGAACGATAAATCTTGTTAAAACCGGTATGATTGTCAATATGAATGAAAAAAAACCTAAAAAAAATCATTTTTTTTTTCTTCCTTTAACTGTTATTAAAAAAAATGGATTTTCCAAAATATGATGGAAGTAAACATCCAGATGAATGGTTGGACGATGCTCAAAAATATTTTTGTGTTCGTCAGGGCAAAAGTGAAGAATATATTGTATATATTGCACTATCATTAATAGATTCCATTATTAAATTACCAACTGGAATTGATAATATTGAAAAACTTCGTAATGCACTCAAAGAAGATATTTCTTTTACAGTATTTAAGAATACGAATAAAAGAAAATTACAATCATTAAAATATAATCCTGAAAGAAAAGGTGGTGATACTTCATATTTTATTTCAACCTTTCGTAAATTATGTTATAACGCTGAGATTAATAATATAGAAGAACAAAAAAGATATCTTTATAAATCACTTCCTAATAATCATTTTGATTATATATCAAATGAATTTTATGAGAAAATGAAGAATGTAAATTCGATTAATGAGTTAATTAAAAGATTTGAAGAAATTGTTTTAGAAGAATCGAATTTAATTAGAAATGGGTCTGTTGTAGCTTTAAAACATATTGCCACAGGAAAATATTTAAGTTCTATTAATAATTTATGTTATACAACTGGAAGCAAGACTCAAATAGTATGTTTTATATTATAGCTCCAATTTTTTTTTTTTTTAATCGATTTTAATATAATTTTAATATGAAATAAAGCTTTTTGTAGGAAGCTCAGAACCAGTTCCAAATTCTTTATGGAAAATTGAATTTGGTGGCGAATTAGCTACTTATGCAAATAATTCTATAAAGCTACAACACGTTAAATCTGAGAGATTACTTGGAATATATTGTATACAGATTCGCTATGGATATGATTATTGCAAATCTCCGTCAACTAATCATACAGAAGGTAATAAATTAAATATATTTTTGTATATTGTTATATATAAGATAATATTAATATTTATTATTTTAGTGAGCTGCAGCAACGATGGATATTTGAATGGAGATTGGAAATTTAATCATAGTAAATTAAAAAATCATCAAGGATATTTAAAATCAAATGATATTATTAATCTTAATATTGAGAAAAGATATGATAATAACAAAGTTGAATTTTTACGTAGTCATGATATTCAATTTACTATTGGGAACGATACTTTTCAAGAAGTTGTTTGTCATAATGAAAGATTAGGAGGAAATGACGAAGCAAGTAATTTTATTTTATTTTATTTAGATTCGTATAAAATATTAAATCTTTTCTTTCCTTTTAGTGGTGCATCGAACTTATTCACGAAGTTAAAATTTTCTAAGTAACGTTTCCGATACATATCTTGCCTTTTTCAAATGAATAGTATATAGTATCTTTTAAACATGCACTTTCCACAAATATGAAATTGAAATTAATGAAATTTTGGGATTATGTAACGAAAGTACGTTAAGACCGATAATTTAATGTTCAATTATAACAAAAATTTAGGATAACATACATAGTTCAATATTGACTATATTTATTGTATTATAATTTTATTTATGAAATTATAATTAATTATAGTAGACCACGCGTCAATTATTGTGATACTCTCAAAAATATTATTTCTCTAAAGTTGAGAATATCATTTCTAACTTTTATATGTATTTTATATACTGTATGTAGCGCCCCCTGCGAGCCCTTTTATTGTATTTAAGCAATATTTATTATATATAATATGTCGAATTACACCATTGAATTGTCATAATGTAATGTCATAATGTCATAATGCTGTGCGATTTGATTTTAAAAATTAACAATTGATTTAGCATTAAGGTAATGTGATTCAATTCGGTAATTCGGCCATTCGACATTATGGTACGTGGTGTAATTGGTGTAATAGTTATTTACACCGCCATAATAATTTGATTTTTGGCATCACTTGAATTTAATTCAACTCTTTGTATCGTACAGTAGTTATAAAAAAATTGAGTTTACCATATTAGGCAAATTTGATGTCAATTTTTATACGCTTTTTTTTGAATAAACTTACCCATTGAGTTAAAAAAATATTCATTCGGACGAATAGATGTATTTTAATATTAAATACAACTTAATAAATATAATAATGCCACATGATTAGTAGGTTTTGCAACCGGGGTGGAATTGATGATTACGAGCAATTAAGAAAATATTTCCTCTAAGAATGCAAAAATGTTACAAACACTTAAAAATAATCCTGAAAAAAAGGTGGTAACTCATCATATTTTATTTTAACCTTTCTAATCTTACAAGAGATTCATTTCTAAATTAAATTCGAATCCCCTAAAATAGAAATTCGAATTTTTTGATTAATTCGCTAATTGAATTTACATTCTTAATTTTCCCATAAAATAACTTGAGATATACAGTAATCAAAATGATTATTCGGAAGTGATCTTTCTTTTATTCTTCTATATCATTTATTTCAGCATTATAACACGTTAAATTTGTTATGCAAGTATGCAACTGTCTCAAGTGGTATAATTTATATACTGCAGCTTTAGTTATTTTTGAGAAAACTTAGGTTTTTATAGGCCTGATCCAGATTTTTTATATGTTGTTATGATTATGGGGAAATCTCCGATAAATTTGTTAATTTACAATATAATGTAACACCGATTATATATTGTTACATCATTGTCATGTGAAAAAATTGACGATATTGGTATATGGTATAACAATTTCTAAACTATATAAATAAGCGAAATTCCCAAAAAAAAACTCGCATTCTTTTTGACCATTTTAAAAAAATGAATCACCCAAAATATAATGGAAATATTCATCCAGACGAATGGATAAATGACCTTCAAGCTTATTATAATATAAAACAAAACTTGATAAATATAAATAACGTTAATGTAAATATTATATCATTAGTAGATTCTACTATTAAACTTCCAACTGGAATTGATAATATTGAAAAACTTCGTAATGCACTTAAAGAAGACATTTCTTTTACAGTATTTAAGAATACGAATAAAAGAAAATTACAATCATTAAAATATGATCCTGAAAGAAAAGGTGGTGATACTTCATATTTTATTTCAACCTTTCGTAAATTATGTTATAACGCTGAGATTAATAATATAGAAGAACAAAAAAGATATCTTTATAAATCACTTCCTAATAATCATTTTGATTATATATCAAATGAATTTTATGAGAAAATGAAGAATGTAAATTCGATTAATGAATTAATTAAAAGATTTGAAGAAATTGTTTTAGAAGAATCGAATTTAATTAGAAATGGATCTATTGTAGCTTTAAAACATGTTGCTACAGGAAAATATTTAAGTTCCATTAAAAATTTATGTTATACAACTGGAAGTCAGAAACAATTGGTATGTTTAATATTGTAATTCCGAATTTTTTTTTTAATTGATTCTAATATAATTTTAACATAATTTAAAGGTTTTTGTAGGAAGCTCGGAGCCTATTCCAAATTCTTTATGGAGTATTGAATTTAGTGATGAATTAGCTAATTATACGGATAATTCTATAAAGTTACGACACGTTGAATCTGAGAAATTTCTTGGAATATATTTTAACTATAGACGTGATTATTACAAATCTCCGTTAAATAATTATACAGAAGGTAATAAATTTAAAATATATTTTTGTTGTAAATTGAGTTAATATCAGATATTAATATTATTTTTTTAGTGGGCTGTCGTGGTAACGAAAGTTATTTTACTAAAAATTGGAAATTTAATCATAGTAAATTAAAAAATCATCAAGGGTATTTAAAATCAAATGATATTATTAATCTTAGTATTAATAAATCAGATGGCCAAGTTGAATTTTTACGTAGTCATGATATTCAATTTACTATTGGGAACGATACTTTTCAAGAAGTTGTTTGCCATAATGAAAGATTAGGAGGAAATGATGAAGTAAGTAATTTTATTTGATTTTATTTTATTTAGATTCGTATAAAAAATATTAAATTTTTCTTTCCTTTTAGTGGTGCATTGAACTTATTCACGAAGTTAAAATTTTCTAAGCAACGTTTCCGATATATGTTTTACCTTTAAGTTGTTCTAAAAAGGCAATTTCCATCAAATATGAAAGTGATATTAATAAAATTTAAAATTTTGAAATTATATACTTACAGATGCGATTAATAATTTCATTAGCTAACAAAAATACTGTACGTTAGTATCAGCAAATATAGTTTAATATAATTTAATATCGATTGCATTTATGAAATTATAGTCAAATATAATAATTACTTATAGTACGCGTCAATTATTGAAATTCCCATAATTTTCATACTTTCGAATATTATTTCTTTAATTGAGGTTAAGAATATCATTTTTGACTTTTGTATGTGACATCTTAAATATGCAACGCTCTTTGCGAGCTCTTATATTTGTATTTAACTAATTTAATCATATACTGTATTTGTTTTATATAGTAAAATTTATTACGCGTAATACATAGAATAGACATTTCGTCAATTGCATCACGGTAGTTTGATAATCCTTGTAATGCGATTTGATTTCAAGATTTTGGTTAATTTTCGCAATTTGATGGTTAATAATTGGTGTAATAGTTGTATCACATCACAGTTTATTCTAATTTTTATTTTTATTAACAAGGCAAACAATTTGACGGTGGGAAGTACATAAAAGTCTATACAAATAAGACAAAAGTAATTCTGATAAAACTGACAAATAAATCACGAAATGGCGATGCTTCCTTGGTGGTAAAAATAAGGTGTGCGAAGCAACTCCACAGACGGACTTAACAAACTAAAAAGTAAAAGGAAAAAATACATCACTCCTGTGGTACTCTTACTGTTAAAGTTTAATTGTAACTTGTAAAAAAAAAATTTCGTTGATCATTTTTTTTTCTTCGATCATCGAAGAGCTAAAATAAAAAAAAAACATATTCTGAAATAAAATAAAAACCCCAGTGGGGAAAATTAAACTTATTTACGTAACGCTTCTAAAATTTCCGCTAAGATCTTAGATCGTGAGGCCTTACTTCCTTTTCTGCTTCTCGGACGTTGTATTACATCACCGTGATATTTTTTTTAAAAATTTTTTATTTCTAAATAACCAAAATACAGTAAAATTACAAGAACTCTATATACTAAAGTCAGAAGTAATTTATGAAACTAGTATTTAAAACACGACTAGGCCTATCGGACCAGTAAAAAGCTCGGCTACGTGACATGTCTCCAACAAATATTTCACCATAATCACGTGTCCGAGCTTTTTTTGCGAAGCTATATAACACGAAATTGAAGTAAATTTTTTCGTATTAGGCAAAATTGATGTGATCGATTATTACCTATAAAAATTTTCCATTTGCCTTAAAAAAAGGATTTTCAAAATATAAACGACCTTCAAACTTACAATTAAAATGATTACTATAAAGATAATTCTTTTTTTATTCATATCATGCAAATGGAAGACCGTTATAATTTTTTACATTGCAACTTTAAAAAATGTTTTTTTTTGTTAATTGTTTTATTTTTTATACAGTTAATATTTTTGAACAACTTAGGTTTTGGTAGGATGATATAGAAAGTTCAATTTAAGATTGATATATCATATGACAATTATGACATGTAGAACTTTAACGTATAATGACTCTTCCATGTGGATACGCCCATATGTACTATTGATTATTTATTTTTACATCATTGTCACATGCCAGTAGAATTTGATAATAACAATTTCTAAATATAAATAAGCGAAATTCCCCCAAAAAAACTCACATTCTTTTTGGCCATTATAAAAAAATGGATCTCCCAAAATATAATGGAAATATTCATCCAAACGAATGGATAAATGATCTTCAAACTTATTTTAGTATTAAAAAAGACTCAATAGATATAAATATTGTTATATCCTTAGTAGATTCCACTATTAAATTACCAACTGGAATTGATAATATTGAAAAACTTCGTGATGCACTCAAAGAAGATATTTCCTTTACAGTATTTAAGAATACTAATAAAAGAATATTACAATCATTAAAATATAATCCTGAAAGAAAGGGTGGTGATACTTCAAATTTTATATCAACCTTTCGTAAATTTTGTTATAACGCTGAGATTAATGATATAGAAGAACAAAAAAAATATCTTTTTAAATCACTTCCTAATAATCATTTTGATTATGTCTCAAATGAATTTTTTGAGAAAATGAAGGATGTAAATTCGAATAATGAGTTAATTGAAAGATTTGAAGAAATTGTTTTAGAAGAATCGAATTTAATTAGAAATGGATCTATTGTAGCTTTAAAACATGTTGCTACAGGAAAATATTTAAGTTCCATTAAAAATTTATGTTATACAACTGGAAGTCGGAACCAATTGGTATAGTTTTTACATCACAACTTCAAAAAAATTCTTTAATCGATTTTAATATAATTTTAACATAATTTAAAGGTTTTTGTAGGAAGCTCAGAGCATATTCCAAATTCTTTATGGAAAATTGAATTTGGTGACGAATTAGCTACTTATGCAAATAATTCTATAAAGCTACAACACGTTAAATCTGAGAGATTAATTGGAATATGCTATTATTATAATGACAACGGTAATTGGATTTATGATTATTCCAAATCTCCGTCAACTGATCATACAGAAGGTAATAGATTAAAATATATTTTTATTTATTAGTATGGTAATATTAATATTAATATTTAAAATTTTTAGTGAGTTGTTACGATAAAAATATAAGTTATAGGATTTTGGATTGGAAATTTAATCATAGTAAATTAGATAATCATCAAGGATATTTAAAATCAAACGATGTTATTAATCTTAGTATTAGGAAATCCTATCTCGTTAACTATGGTAATATTATTCAAAACGGACAAGTTGAATTTTTGCGTAGTCATGATATTCAATTTACTATTGGGAACGATACTTTTCAAGAAGTTGTTTGTCATAATGAAAGATTAGGAGGAAACGACGAAGTAATTTTATTTTATTTTATTTTATTTAGATTCGTATAAAATATTAAATCTTTTCTTTCCTTTTAGTGGTGCATTGAACTTATTCACGAAGTTAAAATTATCTAAGCAACGTTTCCGATACATATTTTGCCTTTTTCAAATGAATAGTTTCCACAAATATGAAATTGAAATTGGGATTATGTAACGAAAGTACGTTAAGACCGAAAATTTAATGTTCAATTATAACAAAAAATTTAGGATAATATTATCCGCAATACATAGTTCAATATTAACTATATTACTATATTTATTGTATTATAATTTTACTTAAGTTATAGTAAATTATAATTAATTGACGATCCGCGAGTCAACTAGAGAAATTACATATAAAATTTGACGCAGATCATATACTAATTTGTCGTAATACGCTGACTTTAATGATTTCTGATGTAACAAAAACTATAAGCATAGTTTACTAAAAATAGCACAAACAATAAAGTAAATGTCTCACTTTTATTTTTCAAAGCTACCAAGCGTAAAACTTTTTTTTGACGAAGTTTACCTTGGAAGCACGCGGCATTTACTATGTTATTAGATAAACTAAGGGTTTAAAAGTACAAATTATGGAAATTTTTTTATATTTCACTAAACTTTCATGCATATTTGCTTTATTTTTGATATATTTTATTAGTAAACTATGCTGTAATAACTTCTAACCTGACAAATTCAAGACTTTTTCGCACTCATTATACAAGTGATATGGTATGATAAAACTAGTTTTTGTCTTTCGAATCTCAGATCTCTTAGAAATTGGACTTTTTTCGAACGTCACATTATGGTTTTTTTGCATGAGATTGGTGGGAAAACTGTGGAAAACCATTTCATTAAAGCAAAATGGCGTTATTTAAACATTTGGCTAGAGAAATTCATGAACAACTCCACATCGGAAATGCGGCTTTTAATTAATAAATTTCCGTCGAATTTTATTATCGTTTTCGCTACTTAACTCGCGGATCACCAATTAATTATAGTAGACCACGCGTCAATTATTGATACTCTCAAAAATATTATTTCTCTAAAGTTGAGAATATCATTTCTAACTTTATATATATTTTACAAACGAAATAAACTGTATAAATTACTATATATATAAAATGAATCGCATTATAATGAATTTTTTTATACCAAAATTTTTTAATTGTAACGAGATTTATCGTAGGATGTGTTTTTTTATAAAAGATATAAGGGATGTTCGCGTCTTATGTTTTGTATTAGTTTGCATATTTTCTATTCTTTTTTTAAAATACTGAGTGCGAGCCCTTTATTGTACATTACAGAAACCTGTTTTCCTTAATATGCAGTAACTGTATTGTAACTGCATCGTAGTCATACAGTAACTACATAGTGTAATAGTAACTACATAGTGAGAATATTGTAAATACGCAGTTACTGCATATTAAGGAAATTAAGTTTCTGCAATGTATTTAAGCAATATTTATTATATATAATATGTCGAAATGAATTGTCATAATGTAATGTCACCAATGCTGTGCGATTTGATTTTAAAAATTAACAATTGATTTAGTATTACAGCTGATTTCATAATATACGGGACACTCATCATTTTTACTTCATGTCGAGAGAAACTCGATAAGATTCGAATAAAATAAAAACTACACCACTGTGCTCGGACCAGTGTTCCGAATCTAATAATATAGTTTTTATCTTATTCTAAACTTTACCGAATGTACCGACGGTATGTGACCATGACATTATGGTGGTGTAATTGGTGTAATAATTATTTTACACCACCGTAATATGGCACCACTTGAATTTAATTCAACTTCCTGTAATCGTACAGTAGTTTTAAAAAAATTGAATTTACCATATTAAGTAAAATTGATGATAAATTTACACCAATTACTTATAAAAACTCGCATTTTTTTGAACGAACTCGGTTAAAAAAAAAGGATGATCTTCCAAAATATGGTGGAAATACTCATGCAGACGAATTTGGTAGATGTATTTTTAATATTAAATACAACTTAATAAATATAAATAATGCTACATAATTGGTAGGTTCCGCCATCAAACTTCCAACCGGGACGGAATTGATGATTGCAATTAAAGAAGGTATTTCTTTAAGATTACAAAAATGTTTATAAACATTTAAATATAATCCTGGAAAAAAGGCGGTAACGCATCATATTTTATTTTAAACTTTCTAATCCTACAAGAGATCCATTTCTAATTAAATTCGAATCTCCTAAAATAATTTTTTCTGACTCTTTTGATTAATTCACCAATTGAATTTACATTCTTCATTTTTCCATAAAATACACTTGAGATATAAAGTAATCAAAATGATTATTCGGAAGTGATTTTCTTTTATTCTTCTATATCATTTATTTCAGCATTACATCACGTTAAAAATTTGTTATGCAACTGTCTCAAGTGGTATAATTTATATACTGCAACTCCAAATTTTTTTTTTTGTTATTTTTTGAGCAAACTTGGGTTTTATAAGGAATCTAAAAGATCTAGATTCTTTATGGAAAGTTTAAAGAATTAGTAACTTACAAGATTGATCTCATTACAAGATTTTTATATGATATTATGATTATGGGAAATCTCCAAATCAACGAGATAAACTTAATTATAATGTAACACCGATTATATATTTGTTACATCATTGTCACATGAAAAAATGGTAGAATTTGACGAATTAAGAAATGTTGGTATAACAATTTCTATATAAATAAGTGAGATCCCCTAAATTGCTTTCTTTTGACCGTTTAAAAAAATGGACCCTCAAAAATATAATGGAAATATTCATCCAGACGAATGGATAAGCGATCTTCAAACTTATTTTAATATAAAACAAAACTTACAAGACTTGATAAATATAAATGCTGTTAATATAAATATTGTTATATCCTTAGTAGATTCCACCATTAAACTTCCAACTGGAATTGATAATATTGAAAAACTTCGTAATGCACTTAAAGAAGATATTACCTTTACGGTATTTAAGAATACAAATAAAAGAAAATTACAATCATTAAAATATAATCCTGAAAGAAAAGGTGGTGATACTTCAAATTTTATTTCAACTTTTCGTAAATTATGTTATAACGCTGAGATTAATGATATAGAAGAACAAAAAAAATTTCTTTATAAATCACTTCCTAATAATCATTTCAATTACTATGTTTCAAATGAATTTTTTGAGAAAATGAAGAATGTAAATTCGATTAATGAATTAGTTAAAAGATTTGAAGAAATTGTTTTAGAAGAATCGAATTTAATTAGAAATGGATCTGTTGTAGCTTTAAAACATGTTGCAACAGGAAAATATTTAAGTTCCATTAAAAATTTATGTTATACAACTGGAAGTCGGAAACAATTGGTATAATTTTTACATCGCAACTTCAAAAAAATTTCTTTAATCGATTTTAATATAATTTTAATAGGATATAAAGCTTTTTGTAGGAAGTTCAGAGCCAGTTCCAAATTCTTTATGGAAAATTGAATTTGGTAATGAATTGGCTACTTATGCGAATAATTCTATAAAGTTACAACATGTCTTGTCTCATAAATTTCTTGGAATATATTATTATTATTATGACAATACCAGTCGTTACTATATTGGAGAATATTCCAAATCTCCGTCAACCAATTATACAGAAGGTAATAAATTAAAATATACTTTTACTTTTATTTATTAGTTAATATTAATATTTGTTATTTTTAGTGAGTTGTTATAATAACACTGATCACAGTCATAGATATTGGAACGGAGATTGGATGTTTAATCATAGTAAATTAGAAAATCATCAAGGGTTTTTAAAATCAAATGATATTATTAATCTTAATATTAAGAAAATTTATGCTAACAATGAAGTTGAATTTTTACGTAGTCATGATATTCAATTTACTATTGGGAACGATGTTTTCCAAGAAGTTGTTTGTCATAATGAAAGATTAGGAGGAAATGATGAAGTAAGTAATTTTATTTGATTTTATTTATTTAGATTCATATGAGTATTAAATCTTTTCTTTCCCTTTAGTGGTGTATTGAACTTATTCACGAAGTTAAAATTTTCTAAGCAACGTTTCCGATACATATTTTGCCTTTAAGTTGTTCAAATGGATAGTACATATCTTTTAAAAAAGGCACTTTCCACAAATATGAAATTGATAATGAATTTCGACATTATATAACAAAGTACGTTAAGACCGAAAATTTAATGTTTAATTATAACAAAAAATTCAAGACAACATTGTCCGCAATACATAGTTCAATATTATTTATATTTATTATAATATATTACTTATGAAATTATAGTCAATATAATTACTTATAGTGAATACGCGTCAGTTATTGATATTCTCAAAAATATTATTTCTCTAGGCTAAAGTTGAGAATGTCATTTCTGACTTTTATATGTATTTTACATATGTAGCGCCCGCAAGACTTTTACTGTATTCAAGCAATATTTATTATATGTAATAAAATTTATGACGCGTTTTACATTATACCATTCTTGATCCAAATAGCCATGTCGAAATGAATTAGTACACCATCGAATTGTCGTAAAGCAATTTGATTTTACAATTTAACAATTCGGCAATTCGAAATATGGTGGTGTAATTGGCGTAATACTAGTTATTTTACACTGCCGAACTTGATTTTAATTCAGCCAGTATTCAACCCTGTCACGTACAGTAGCTATAAATAAATTTGTCATAACAGGTAAAATTGATATAACAGTTTTAATATCGATTACTTGTAAAAAATTCGGTTTTTTTCTGAGCGAACTTACCATTTACTAGTTAAAATCAATGGATCCTCCAAAATAGTTGGAAATACTCATTAAGACGAATAGATGAACGATTTTTCTATTTTAGTATTAAATACAACTTACAAATATAAATGATGCTAATTAATAAAACTTCCAAACGGGAGTTGATGATTATGTGCACTTAAAAGGAGATATATACAAAAATGTTGCAAACATTGAGATGTAATTCTGAAAAAAAGTGGGAACTAGTTCATTTCACCAACAATCATTTCACTGACAGTTTTGAAATCTTATCCTAATATTATCCTAACCCTAACCTTAACCCTAATTTCCTTACCTAACTTGCTAACCCAACTCTAATTGTCGAGATGTATTATTGTCGGCGAAACATTTATCTGCAAAATAACCCTGTCGGCGAAACGTCTGTCGGTGAGAATGCGATTATTGGAGACAAAGTGGGTTAATTTAATAATATAATGTATGTTATTTATTTATGTATGAAGCGCCGTACTGATCAAAAATCCCGGGTAGTACGGCGCTTCATAATAATGTAACACCGATCATATTGTTACATCATTGTCACATGAAAAAAATATATAAATAAGTGAGATTCCTTAAATTGCATTCTTTTGACCATTTTAAAAAAAAAATGGAACTCCAAAAATATAATGGAAATATTCATCCAGACGAATGGATAAACGATCTTCAAGCTTATTTTAGTATAAAACAAAAGATAAATGTTAATTTTGCTATATCCTTAGTAGATTCCATTATTAAACTTCCAACTGGAATTGATAATATTGAAAAACTTCGTAATGCACTTAAAGAAAATATTTTCTTTACAATATTTAAGAATACAAATAAAAGAAAATTACAATCGTTAAAATATAATCCTGAAAGAAAAGGTGGTGATACTTCATATTTTATTTCAACTTTTTGTAAATTATGTTATAACGCCGAGATTAATGATGTAAAAGAACAAACGAGATATCTTTATAATTCGCTTCCGGATAACTATTTTAAGTATGTTTCAAACGAATTTTTTGAGAAAATGAAGAATGTAAATTCAATTGATGAATTAATTAAAAGATTTGAAGAACTTGTTTTAGAAGAATCGAATTTAATTAGAGATGGATCTATTGTAGCTTTAAAACATGTTGCAACAGGAAAATATTTAAGTTCCACTAAAAATTTATGTTATACAACTGGAAGTCGGAAACAATTGGTATAATTTTTACATCGCAACTTCAAAAAAATTTCTTTAATCGATTTTAATATAATTTTAACATAATTTAAAGGTTTTTGTAGGAAGCTCAGAGCCTATTCCAAATTCTTTATGGAAAATTGAATTTGGTGACGAATTAGCTGCTTATACAGATAATTCTATCGTGCTACAACATGTTAAATCTGAGATATTTCTTGGTATGTATTGTGTTAACACTGGCTATGGATATGATTATTGCAAATCTCCGTTAAATAATTATACGGAAGGTAATAAATTTAAAATATGTTTTTATTTGTAAATTAAGATAATACCAGATATTAATATTATTTTTTTTAGTGAGCTGTTACGGTAACGATCGTTATTTTACTAGAAATTGGAAATTTAATCATAGTAAATTTAGTAAATTAAAAAATCATCAAGGATATTTAAAATCAAATGATATTATTAATCTTAATATTAAGAAATCCTATGATAACCGTAGTTATACTATTCGCCACGGACAAGTTGAAGTTTTACGTAGTCATGATATTCAATTTACTATTGGGAACGATGCTTTTCAAGAAGTTGTTTGTCATAATGAAAGATTAGGAGGAAATGATGAAGTAAGTGATTTTGTTTGATTTATTTTATTTAGTTTCGTATAAATATTAAATCTTTTCTTTCCATTTAGTGGTGTATTGAACTTATTCATGAAAGTTAAATTTTCTAAGCAACGCTTCCGATACATATTTATCTTTAAATTATTCAAAAAAGGCAATTTCTACAAATATGAACTGATAATATTAATAAAATTTAAAATTTTGAGATTATATACTTACGGATGCGATTAATAATTTATTAGTTAACAAAAAGTACGTTTAACAGTGAAATTTAATGTTTGGTTAGATCAAAAAAATATAACATTATCTGCAATATAAAATTTAATATCAGCAAACACTTGTATTATATTTATAAGCATGTGACCATGAAAAAAATAGTAGCCTGGATTTGTTTCTGGGTTGCACATGACCTGTGCACATGATACGGATATTTCGATCGCAAAACAATTTGTATGTATCATCGGCAAAATAAATGTTTAAAAAAAAAACTTATTTTATGCATTTTTAATTTATTATAATAAACTACCAAGGTACTATATTTTACTTTCTCTTTTGCTAATAGATTGCGTATTTTATTTGTCAATATTATAATTGTTGGTAGATTTTGTTCTTAAATTATTTTGATACTTTACAAATACCATTAAACATGCCACAATAATATTCCCAATACATTGTATTATGGTTCAAATCTAAAGATGGTCATCGGTCCTAAAGACCACGGTCTCGCGGTCCTGCACCTTAAAAAGACGGACCGGTCCGTCTTGATGTAGGACCGCGGTCTTTCGATCCTGTAACACGTACAATAAGACCGACGGTCTTTTTAAGGACTGCAGTCTTTTTAAGACCGATCAGTCTTTTTTCTTTTTTCAAATAAAAAATTTTTCTATTACTTTACTAGGAACAGTCTTCCTTTATAAATGAACATTAATTGTATAAATTTATAGGAACCATTCCAGACGTATATTATAAGCAAATAACATGTATAAAGACGGATTTATTATACTTTATTAACGTTAATTTTCTTTTTTTCCTTGGAGGCAGGGAGACAGTCTTTTCTAGAAGTTTCAATATGCATTTAATAAATTATATATAAAGACCGATACAAAGACCAGGTCAGTCTCAGGACCGGTCCTACTGCGCCAAGAAAAAATGAAAGACCGCGGTCCGGTCCTACAAGTCCTGGGACCGAGTAGGACCTGTAGGACCGATGACCATCTTTATTCAAATCTCTCCAAGTTCTTTGTAGTTTGGCGATTTTTTAGTACTCTAATATCATTTTCCAATAATTTATAATTTGGGCGAATATTTTTTAACCATAGATGATATTTTGGCTTATTATTTAATTCTTTAGTCTTGAGATGTAATAGAGAGAATAAAAATTATTATTAATCCTTTACAAACCTTATTTTGTAGTTGATATGAGTCATATGACACGTCAACAATTTTTTAGAAAATAAAAATAAAAATAAGAAGGATCGGTCAGATCAATAAAAAGTTTATAATTACCGAAAATAATCAAATAATCATCCGGATCATGTGTGTAACAATTCTTTTATTATGTTTGGTGGAGGATTAAGATCCGGCTACCAGATTTTTCAGAATGATATCTCCTGTCACATACAAAAATTGGAGTAAATTTGCCATAATGGACAAAATTGAAATACTCATTTGGACGAATAGACGATTACAAATTAATAAATGTAAATAATGTTACATCATTAGTAGATTCTACCATCAAAACTTCTAACCGAGAATTGGTGATTATGAATAATTAAAGATATTTCTTTAAGAATATAAAAAAAAAGGTGGTAACGCATTATGTTTTATTTTAACCTTCTAATGCTACAAGAGATTCATTTCTAATTAGATTTAATTTATACACTACTCTTCATTTCCCATAAAATTCACTTGAGATACTATAGGGAGTTGATATTCAATGATTCAATGGTTGTTTTGTTCATCTATATCATTTATTTTAGTATTATAACACGTCAAAAATTTACGCAACCGGAAGAAAGTAGTATAATTTATATAAAATTTTTTGGTTGTTTTTTGAGCAAACTTGGTATTATTTATGGAAAATCAAAATAGAAAAATTCAATTTAATTAGTAACTTACAAGATTAGATCTCATTATAATATGTTATTATGATTATGGAACGAACCAACGTGATAAAATGGGTTAATTTAATAATAGTCTACTTCAGAATTTATTGATCGTGATTTTTGATCGGTTACACTGAAAATTATGACCAATAAATTTTAACTGTAGAATGATCAACTGACCGTTCAACGTGAACCACCAAAAACGTAGGTCGTTTTGATCGAGTAGATAAAACATACTGACGGAAATAAACAAAAACAACAAAACACTAACTAATTGGTTGGTTAATAGTTTATCACGATCAATCAATCATCTGCTCAAAATTGAACTTTAATCGCAAATTTTGGTTGGCTGAAGTAGACTAATATAATGTAACCGATCATATTATTACATCATTGTCACATGAAAATGATAAATTTGACGAATTAAGAAATATTGGTGTAAAGATTTCTATATAAATAAGTGAGATTCGCTTAATTCACCATTAAAAAAAAATGGACCTCCAAAAATATAATGGAAATATTCATCCGGACGAATGGATAAATGATATTCAAGCTTATTTTAGTATAAAACAAAATGGTTTTATTAATTTTGCTATAATATCCTTAGTAGATTCCACTATTAAACTTCCAACTGGAATTAATAATATTGAAAAACTTCGTAATGCACTTAAAGAAGATATTTCCTTTACAATTTTTAAGAACACGAATAAAAGAAAGTTACAATCATTAAAATATAATCCTGAAAGAAAGGGTGGTGATACATCAAATTTTATTTTAACCTTTCGTAAATTATGTTATAACGCCGAGATTAATGATGTAGAAGAACAAAAGAAATATCTATATAAATCGCTCCCGAATGACTATTTTGATTATGTTTCAAACGAATTTTTTGAGAAAATGAAGAATTTAAATTCAATTGATGAGCTAATTAAAAGATTTGAAGAACTTGTTTTAGAAGAATCAAATTTAATTAGAAAGGGATCTATTGTAGCTTTAAAACATGTTGCAACAGGGAAATATTTAAGTTCTATTAAAAATTTATGTTATACAACTGGAAGCAAGTTTCAATCTTTTTTATTTATTATTTTATTTTTTTTAAAAATTTTTTTTTTTTTTTTTTAATCGATTTTATATAATTCTAATATGATATAAAGGTTTTTGCGGGAAGCCCAGAGCCTGTTCCAAATTCTTTATGGAAAGCAATATTCGATGATGAATTAGCCACTTATACAGATAATTCTATGATGCTACAACATGTTAAATCTGAGAGATTTCTGGGAATATATTGTGTTTATAATAGCTATGGATATGATTATTGCAAATCTCCGTTAAATAATTATACAGAAGGTAATAAATTTAAAATATATTTTTATTGTAAACTGAGATAATATCAGATATTAATATTATTTTTTTAGTGGGCTGTCGTGGCAACGAAGGTTATTTTACTAGAAATTGGAAATTTAATCATAGTAAATTAAAAAATCATCAAGGATATTTAAAATCAAATGATACTATTAATCTTAGTATTTATCGTACTCAAGATGGTCGAGTTGAATTTTTACGTAGCCATGATATTCAATTTACTATTGGAAACGATTCTTTTCAAGAAGTTGCTTGTCATAATGAAAGATTAGGAGGGAATGATGAAGTATGTAATTTTATTTGTTTTATCTTTATTGGGTTCGTATAAAATATTAAATCTTTACTTTCCTTTTAGTGGTGCATTGAACTAATTCGTTTCTAAGCAACGTTTCCGATACATATTTTGCCTTTAAGTTGTTCAAATGAATAATATATATCTTTAAAAGGCAATTTTCACAAATATGAAAGTACGTTAAGATCGAAAATTTAATGTTTAATTATGACAAAATTTTAAGATAACATTATCTGCGATACATGGTTCACTATTAATATACAAGTTTACGTTTACTTATGAAATTATAGTCAATTATAATTACTTATAGTAGACTACGCATCAATTATTGATATTCACATTATTATTTCTCTAGGCTAAAGTTGAGAATATTATTTCTGACTTTTTTATGTATTTTACATATATAGCGTAGCGCTCTTATATTGCATTTAAACAATATTTATTATATATAATAAAATATCATATTACACGTTATATATCATTCTTAATCCACATCAAATTATCGTAAACTGTCATAAATCATAAATCATAATGTAGTATAATTCAATTCGATTCGACACTAGTACACTGTGACGGTGTGGTGTAATAGTGCCGTAATATTTTGATTTTTGGCACTACTTGATTTTAAATTGAAATCATCTCGTTTCTGATTTTTCTAGAACTTGCATTTGTTGGGTTTTCTGATAGTTTGGACGTTGAGTTTTATCTATCATTCTCATAATTTGATCAAAACATAATTCAAAAATATCAAACGTTTGCTCTACAATAGTTGCCTAATGAAGATCATCCTTTTTTATAAGCGAGTCGTTCGAAGTAAATTTCGTATTAGGCAAAATTGATGACAATTTTTATATCAATTATAAAAACTCGTTTTTTTTTATTTTTTGAACGAATTTTCCTATTTAGATAAAAAAATGGATCTTCCAAATTATGATGAAGATACGAATAGATGAATGATTTTTATTTTAATATTAATCACAAATTGACAAATATAAATAATCCTACATTATTAGTGAGCTTCACCATCAAACTTTCAATCGGGAATTGATAATTACAAGCAATTAAAGAATATATTTCTTCAAGAATACAAAAATGTTGCAAACATTGAAATATATTCCCAAAAAAAAGGTGGTAACGAATCATATTTTATTTTATTGCAGTTACACTGTTACAGTAGAACAGTTCTGAAAAATAGTGATAATCTTTCTAACAATAGATTATTTTAATTAAATTTGAATTTCCTAAAATAATTTCTTCGAATTTTTTGATTAATTTACTAATTAAGTTTACACTCTTCATTTTCTCATAAAATTCACTTGAGATATAACTAAAATGATTATTCGGAAGTGATTTACAAAATATATTTCTTTATTCTTCTATGTCATTATTTTAGCATTATAACACGTCAAAAATTTACGTTACGCAGCTGGAAATTTTTTTTGGTTATTTTTTGAGAAAACTTGGGTTTTTATAGGAAATCTAAAGCCTGATCCAGATTCTCAATTTAATAAAAAATTAGTAACTTACAAGATTGATCTTATTACTAATATGTTATTATGACATGACTTGATAATATGGGAGGAATTTATAAATCGAACTATCACGTGTCAGATACTTTTTATACATGGGTCTAGGGTAATAACCTGGAGTCTAGGATAAATTCTCCTTTCGTATAATTGTAAAGTATTTTATGCCTGTAGCAATTAAAATTTTTAATTTTTTATTCCTTCTTATTTGATTTTAATTTTGATGGATCTTTTCGTTTTGAATCTTTTATTTAGATTAAAAAGATTTGTAGTTATGTGATTTCATATTATTTATACTGTATTCATGATTGTAAAGTAATTTTATTATAAAATATATTTTGGTTAATACAAATTTTATTAATATTCTTAAACTTACACAAATTTACAGTATATAGAAATTTTATATATAATATGGATTAAATTATATATTTATATAATTATTATTTAACTACATCAATTTATTTTTAAATAATTCTATCTCTGCATAGCTTTACATAAAATATTTGCGTAAATATTGATTTGACTATATATCATATATAATAATTTTATATCTGTATAAACTTTACATAGTAAATATAATTTATAGAAATTACATAAACTCTATAAAAAATATAACTGCTGAATTGATCTGATGAAAAATTTTTTCGTTGTATATTTGCGCAAAAATGTTGATCAAACGGTTATGAACTGGCCTGTTATTTAAGAGTTGGAGGTAACTAAGCTCATTATTTAACAGGACCCAAATATTTAATTTACTACAATATTTCACAGAAAGTTTCACTTACTTGTACAAGTCGAATAAAGGATTTACTAACTAATCCTTTACCCTTTTATATAATTTGCAGCTTCTTAATTTACCACATATAAAGATCAAAAGAGGGAACATTTTGCATTAAATTATTAAAATTTTCGGAAAAAGATAGCATGTAGTGATAATAAGATGTTACATATGCGAATCAAGTGGACGTGAAGAATCTTTTCACCTCGAAATAAATTTATAAATCACTCCTGAGTAATCATTTTGATTATATTCCAAATGAATTTTATTGAGAAAATGAAGAATGTAAATTAATATTTTATTATCATTATGACAATATTGACAGTATATATATTCGTGATTATTACAAATTACAATTTTCCGTCAACTATTCATACAAAAGGTAATATAAAATTAAATATATTTTTGTATATTAGTTAGTTTTTTAGTGAGTTACAAAAATGTTAATTGATGGAGAGGTTGGATAGTAAATTAGAAAATCATTAAAGTCTGATGATATTATTAATCTTAGTATTAAGAAAAGGTGAATTTTTACGTAGTCATGATATTCAATTTACTATTGAAAACGATACTTTTTAAGAAGTTGTTCGTCATAATCAAGAATAGGAGAAAATGGTTTTGAACTTATTCACGAAGTTAAAATTTTCTAAGCAACGTTTCTGATAAATGTTTTACCTTTAAGTTGTTCTAAAAAGGCAATTTCCATCAAAATATGAAAGTGATATTAATAGAAATTATATACTTACTAATGCGATTAATAATTTAATTAGCTAATCAATATCAGCAAATATAGTTTAATATAATTTAATATCGATTGTATTTATGAAATTATAGTCAAATATAATAATTACTTATAGTATACTACACATCAATTATTGAAATTCCTATAATTTTCATACTTTCGAATATTATTTCTTTAACCAAGATTGAAAATATTATCATTTCTGATTTTGTATGTGGCATTTTAAATATGAAACGCTACTGCGAGCTCTTATATTTGTGAATCCATTTATTACTATGAGTAAATTAATTTTAAAAATACAAACAAAAATACGTGTTTATCCAATATTCAACTTAATTGATAATTAATATTCTATTATAATTTATTAAAAAATAAACGCTTAATACATGTAGTTTGATAATCCTTGTAATGCAATTTGATTCAAAATTTTGATTAATTTTCGCAATTCGATGGTTAATAATTGGTGTAATAGTTATATTACATCACATGATGTATGACACCTAAGAATATAAGATATTAGTTAGTAGTGTGAACATTTTATTTAGGATAAAGGAAGGTACATAGCTGATTCTTCATATTAGAACCAACAGACCTTTACCAACTACAAACTTAAGTCAAACTTAGGACACCTCAGAAAGAAAGAAATTATACCAATCTATCCAAGTGGTTCTTACTGTCACAAAATGATACCATGCTACCTAAGTGGTCCCTACTGTCATGGTCCTTCAGGATACCACTGTTACAGAAAGATAATACCATGCTACCTAATATATGGTCCCTACTGTCATGGTCCTTCAGGATACCACTGATGCCTAAAGTCCTAAGCCCCCTAAGTTTGCAAAATAAAAAATACACACCTTTTTCTTTAAATCCAGCCCAGTTTCTTAGACCAAAAAAGTATGAAGAAGAAGCAATAATGATATCCAAGGTATAGATATTAATTTTCCAAAAATTGCAAAAAATGTTGGATTTTCAAAAAAATGAATCACAAAAAAAAAAATAAATTACAAAAAATATTGTGCAAAAAAATAATTTTGGTAAATTGAAAAATAAATTGTAAAAAATATTGGATTTGAAAAATAAATTGCAAAAAAATATTGATATTGGTTTGAAGAAAAAGTAAATTGGAAAAGTAAATTGGAAAAAGTAAATTGCAAATTGCAGGTCTTTAAATAAAAAAAAAAACTGTCTTTGCATGCATGAATAATATTGCATCATCTTTATTGATATTCCATCTTTTAATAATTATGCATTGATATCACAAGAATGTAGCTTAATTTAGAAATAATAATAAAAATTCATATAATGTCAATTTTTTTTTTTTACCAAAAAAAGAAAACAAAAAATCTTACAAAAAATTAATAAATATGACTCATATTGATTTTATATGATCTTTCTATATTTTTCATTATTACTCATACATAGATAGTTACACATTTTTTTTAATCATATTGTGTTTATAGTTACACCAATATCTTTTATAATGATTGATAATAATGAAATAATAGCTTATAGTTATGACTAATAATAGATTTCTAATGTTCCATCTTTTTTTCCGTAAAAGGCTCATATTTCTGGAATTAATAACCTTATATCATGGAATTTATCGAATTATTTACATTTTCCGTTAAAGGCACGGAGTTTTTACAGAAACAACGGATAAAATTTTTATAGGGGTGATAATAAAGCTCAGCCACGTGATATTCAACCAATAATATCTCCTAAACATAACCCAAATTCCAAACCAGAACATATATATTTCACTATAATCACGTGCCCGAGCTTTTTTATGGTGATGTGGGAAAGTCCACGAAGTTATATAACACATAAAAAAATTGAAGTAAATTTAGCCGTATTAGGCAAAATTGATGTGATCGATTACCTATAAAAATTTTCCATCTGCCTTAAAAAAAAGATTTTCAAAATATAACGACCTTCAAACTTACAATCAAAAAGATTATTATAAAGATAATTCTTTTTTAATTCTATGTCATTTATTTTAACATTAGTTCAAGTTCATTTAAAAATTTATGTCATGCAAATGGAAGACCGTTATAGTTTTTTATATTGCAACTTTAAAACTTTTTTTTTTTATTTTTTATAGTTAATATTTGATGATAAGATTGATCTGTCATATGAACATTATGACTTTAACGTTAATGTGACACTGATTACATCATTGTCACATGTCAGTAGATTTAGGTTCTAAATATAAATAAACGAAATTCTCAAAAAAAAACTCGCCATTCTTTTCGACCATTTTAAAAAAATGGATCTCCCAAAATATAATGGAAATATTCATCCAGACGAATGGATAAATGATCTTCAAACTTATTTTAATATAAAACAAAACTTAATAAATATTGATATTGTTATATCATTAGTAGATTCTACTATTAAATTACCAACTGGAATTGATAATATTGAAAAACTTCGTAATGCACTTAAAGAAGATATTTCTTTTACAGTATTTAAGAATACGAATAAAAGAATATTACAATCATTAAAATATAACCCTGAAAGAAAAGGTGGTAATACATCAAATTTTATTTCAAACTTTCGTAAATTATGTTATAACGCTGAGATTAATGATGTTGAAGAACAAAAAAAGTTTCTTTATAAATCACTCCCAAATAATCATTTTGATTATATTTCAAATGAATTTTATGAGAAAATGAAGAATGTAAATTCAATTAATGAATTAATTAAAAGATTTGAAGAAATTGTTTTAGAAGAATCGAATTTAATTAGAAATGGATCTATTGTAGCTTTAAAACATGTTGCCACAGGAAAATATTTAAGTTCTGTTAAAAATTTATGTTATATAACCGGAAGCAGGTCCCAATTAGTAAGTTTTATAATTGTAACATCAGTTTTTTTTAAAAAAATCGATTTTTACTGTATATAATTAATGTTATAAATAAACAAATTAGGTTTTTATAGGAAGTTCAGAGCCTATTCCAAATTCTTTATGGAAAATTGAATTTAGTGGCGAATTAGCTGCTTATACAGATAATTCTATAAGGTTGCGACATGTCAAATCCGATACATTTCTTGGAATACTTTATTGTTATTATGACAATATTAGCGGTAGAAGTATTCGTGATTATTACAAGTCTCCGTCAACTAATCATACAGAAGGTAATAAATTAATATATTTTTGTATATATTTAAAAAGATAATATTAATATTTATTATTTTTAGTGAGCTGCAGAAGTGGTAATGATGGATACTACTGGAATGGAAATTGGAAATTTAATCATAGTAAATTAAAAAATTATCAAGGATATTTAAAATCAAATGATATTATTAATCTTAATATTATGAGAGTATGTGATGTTAATGGTAATTATATTCAAAATGGTCAATATGAATTTTTACGTAGTCACGATATTCAATTTACTGTTGAAAATGATACTTTTCAAGAAGTTGTTTGTCATAATGAAAGATTAGGAGGAAATGATGAAGTAAGTAATTTTATTTGATTTTATTTTATTTAGATTCGTATAAAATATCAAATCTTTTCTTTCCCTTTAGTGGTGTATTGAACTTATTCACGAAGTAAAAATTTTCTAAGCAACGTTTCTGATATGTATTTTCCTATAAGTTGTTTAAATATCCTTTAAAAAGGCAATTTCTACAAATATGAAATTAATTTTAGTATTATACTTTTATAACGTGATTTAATTTTTTTTTTTTTTTTTTTTTTTTTTTTTTTAAAATTTACAAAAATTTACATAATTAGTTTAAAATACTTAGAGCTTGACATAAAATGACTAACCCTATAACTAATCATTTTGATTATATTTCAAATGAATTTTATAAGAGAATGAAAAATGTAAATTCAATTAACGAATTAGCTAAAGAATTTGAAGATATCGTTTTAGAAGAATCAAATTTAATTAGAAAGGAATCCATTGTAGCGTTAAAACATATCGCTACAGGAAAATATTTAAGTTCAATTTCGAATTTACGTTATACGACCGGAAGCAAGTCTCAATTGGTATATTTTTTATGTCGCAACTTCAAAAAATTTTTTTAATTAATTTTAATATAATTTATAATTCAATTACTAGGTTTTTGTAGGAAGTTCAGAGCCTGATCCAAATTCTTTATGGAAAATTAGTTTTGGCAGTGAGTTAGCTACTTACACTGATACTTTTATAACTCTACAACATGTTAAAACAAATAATATGTTTCTTGGAATAAATCATGGATATATTAATGATTATGGTTATTATGGTTTTTGTTATAGCAAATCTCCATCAAATAATCACACAGAAGGTAATAAACTGGTATTTTTATTTATTTTGTTTGTTTACAATTATAAATTAATATTTATTATTTATATAGTGAGTTGTGATAATTCCAATGATTATCGTAATGGATATTGGCTTAATAATTGGAAGTTTAACTATAGTAAAGTCGTAGATCATCAAGGATATTTAAAGTCAAATGATATTGTTAACCTTAGTATTACGAAATGTAATATAAACGACGGTAGGTTTCAAGATAATCAAGTTGAATTTTTACGTAGTCATGATATCCAATTTGCTATTGGAAACGATACTTTTCAAGAGGTTGTTTGTCATGATGAAAGATTGGGAGGAAATGATGAAGTGAGCAATTTTTTTTATTTTATTTTATTTATGTTAGTACAAATATTAAATCTTTTTTTTTTTTTTGTTTATTTAGTGGTGCATTGAACTTATTCACGAGGTTAAAATTTTCTGAGCTGGCATAAAACAATTATCAGTCGAATTTGTATTTTCTTATTTTGCTATATAAGTGAATTAAATAAAAGAATCGCTATCGTTATTATTGTTATATGAATGATTTATACAAAGTTAATTAGGGATTCTTTGAACATCGAATTTGTATAATATCAAATTTTGAATAAATTTATGAATAATTTATTTTAAACTTTTCATTTAGTATATTTATTACGCTAACACAAATTTCATGACGTGAACTTCAAATATTTCATGCAAATTTTCACGATAATTTATGTCGGAGCCGAACTCATAATAGCATTCAAACTTAAATAATTAGTTCACAACTTTCAAAGAAAAAAAATCTTATAGCTCACTTCCCATTTATAACCAATTATGAGCAACCTTCACGTCTTGAAGGGAAATCGAAGCTTAATACAGTATCAATATAGTCTTATTTACACGAAAAAATTAATATATGTTTATTATAAAAAAAGAATTATTTCTATATAGTTAATTATCTTTTATTCGTTTATTTATATATAATAAAAGAAGAATCTTTATGGTAAATTCATATTTAATAGTCTATCATCGAATATCGAATGACGCAGAAATTACGAATGTTTGCGAAACCCAAAAATTTAGTTTTTTTTATGAAATGACAATAAGTAATTATAAATTTTTTTTTTAAAAAAAACTCAAGACCAAATTTATTTTTTGGAATTTAGTATAAATTTCACCATTGTATTTTTATTATCACTCACCAAGCATTCACGGGAAAATCTCCCAAATAAAGTAAATAAAGCTGACTTTATTGTGGCACAGTTATTATTAAAATATCCATGATTTTGACTCTCATTTTGAAAATTGCTTGTTTCCTATTCTATCATTTGAGGAACCAGAGACTTAAATAAATTATTATGAAGTTTACAATTGATAAGCATATTTATTTTTTATTTGTTGACAATAACATCTCTATTTTTGCTGTTATTGAAGGCGCAGCATTGTTTTTTTTTATTAACTCGTAAATGTTTAAACCTATTTAAGCCACTAAACTAAATTAATATGTAGAATCCGATCATCATGTTGGGTTTAATTGTGACTTTTATATATTTGGCATATACATGAAGGTCACTTACACTTGTACACTTATTTATTTTTTTATTTATTTTTATTTTTTTTAAAAAAATTCGTAAAAAAAAAAAAAAATTTATTATTTGTAATTTATAAAACAAAATAGAAAATAATATTTTTGCCGATTTTGCCGTAGTTTATAAAAATTTTTTAATATATATAAATAAAGTACAATATTTATTTTTCTTTAAAAGAATAATCATATTTATTTTTTTTTTAAAAAAAAAAAAAAGAAAATGGATCTTCCAAGATATGAGGGAAATATTCACCCAGACGAATGGATATGTAATATTCAAAAATTTGATTATTATTGGAGGGCTAAATATGGTTTAGGATATTTGGATATTGCCATATCATTAGTGGATGCTACTATTAAACTTCCAGATGATATTTTTACCGGAGAAGAACTTCGTAATGCGCTTAAAGAAGATATTTCTTTTACAATATTTAAGAATACAAATAAAAGAAAATTACAATCATTAAAATATAACCTTGAAAGAAATGGTGGTGATACTTCAAAATTCGTTTCAACATTTCGTAAATTATGTTATAATGCAGAAATTGATGATATAGAAGAACAAAAAAAATATCTTTATAAAACACTTCCTAATAATCATTTTGATTATATTTCAAATGAATTTTATAAAAAAATGAAAGATGTAGATTCAATAAATGAATTAGTTAAAAGATTTGAAGATATTGTTTTTGAAGAATCAAATTTAATTAGGAATGAATCTATTGTAGCATTAAAACATGTTGCAACAGGAAAATATTTAAGTTCAATTAAAAATTTAAGTTATATAACTGGAAGCAAGTCTCAAATGGTTTGATATTTTAATATCTTTTTTATTTATTATTTTATTTTTTTTAAAAAAAAATGACGGGAATATTTAAATATTTAATTAAAAATTTTATATTAATAGGTTTTTGTAGGAAGTACAGAACCTGTTCCAAATTCTTTATGGAAAATTAAATTTGATAAGGAATTAGCCACTTATCCTGATACTCCTATAAATTTACAACATATCAAATCTGAAATGTTTCTTGGATTAAGTTTTAATCGAAATACTCATTATCCTCATAATTATTATTATCTCAGGTCTCCTTGTACTAAATATACGGAAGGTAATATCCTTTATATATATATCTATCTATAAGAGTAATTAAAATAATTAATGTTAATTTATTATTATTATTATTTTTAGTAAGTTGTAATGGAAATGATAAAGATTGGATATTTAGGCATAGCAAATTCGAAAATTATGATGGATCTTTAAAATCAAATGATACCATTAATCTTAGCATTAAGAAAACGAAAGTTATTAATGACAAAGAAGAATTTTTATCTAGTCATGATATACATTGTTCTATAGGGAATTATACTTTTCAAGAAGTGGTTTGTCTTAGTGATAGATTGGGAAGAAATGAAGAAGTGAGTGATTTTATTTGATTTTTGTTTTAATTGAGGTTCGCATAAATATTTAAAATCTTTTCTTTCCATTTAGTGGTGCATTGAACTTATTCACGGAGGAAGTTAAATTTTTTTTCGGTATATGTACATAAAATATTTATTTGATTTAGAGATATTAATACACTTTTTAAATTGTTATTTATAATATAATATTTTATGTATTATTTGTTGAAGTTGAGATATTTATTAATAATTGAATCAGGTTACATGTTTTACAAGTCATAACAACGCTTTTTTAGTCTAAGATGAATAGATCATTTTAGACATAATTTGAATCTTTATCGTACTAACGTACTAAACGAGATATATGATGTGATGTATAGTTATCGGGATGTCACGACTGTCACGTGGCGATAAATATGATAAATATTTATTCCAATACAGTAATCACGTTTACATACATATCTGATATACAATTAATCTGTCATATGAAATTTGTCCAAAATTGGCATGAGATTTACAAATTGGGTATATAAATGAATGCGATTTTAGCGGTTATTGTTCTATCATTTTTGCGGTTATTGTTCGTCGAAGAAAAAAATGGATTTTCCAAAATATGATGGAAATATTCATCCAGACGAATGGATAAATGATATTCAAAAATACGATTCTTTTTGGAAAGCCAGATACGGTATAGAATATTTTAATACTGCTGTGTCATTAATAGATCCTATAATAAAATTACCAACTGGAATTGATAATTATGAAAAGCTTCGTAATGCACTTAAAGAAGATATTTCTTTTATAATATTTAAGAATACAAATAAAAGAAAATTATTATCATTAAAATATATTCCTGAAAGAAAAGGTGGTGATACTTCAAAATTCATTTCAACTTTTCGTAAATTATGTTATAATGGAGAAATTAATGATATTGAAGAACAAAAGAAATACCTTTATAAATCACTTCCGAGCAATCATTTTGATTATATTTCAAATGAATTTTATAAGAGAATGAAAAATATAAATTCTATCAACGAATTAGTCAGAGAATTTGAAAATATTGTTTTAGAAGAATCAAATTTAATTAGAAATGGATCTATTGTAGCGTTAAAACATGTCGCTACAGGAAAATATTTAGGTACATTTGAAGGTTTAAATTACGAGACTGGTAGCAAAAATCAACTGGTATATTTTTATTTTGCACGCTTCAAAAAATTGTTTTTTTAATAAATTTTAATATATGTAAATTTAATATTTTAAACAATTTAGATTTCTGTACAAAGCTTAGAACCTGATCCAGATTCTTGGTGGAAGATTCAATTTAGTAAAGAAATAGCAACTTGTACTGATACTCCAATAACCCTACAACACGCAAAATCCAATGTTTTTCTTGGAATATATTACTGGGGTGGTTATTATTATATTTGTAATAAATCTCCATCAACTAATCACACGGAAGGTAATAAACTAATATTTTTGTTTATCTTATTTATTTACTTTGATAACTAATATTTATTATTTTAGTATTTTGTATAAAATCTAATTATAATGTTAATATGTGGTACGTCAAGCACAGTAAATTAGAAAATCATCAAGGATATTTAAATTCAAATGATATTATTAACCTTAGTATTAAGAAATGTGATAACAATGGTAATATTCAAGATGATCAAGTTGAATTTTTACGTAGTCATGATATTCAATTTACTATTGGAAACGATGCTTTTCAAGAGGTAGTTTGTCATAATGAAAGATTAGGAGGAAATGATGAAGTAAGTAACTTTATTTAATTTTATCTTTATTGAAGTTTAATGTTTAGGTACACTCATTAGAATATTGCTTTAAGAGAGTCAAATAAGAGACTTGAATTTCCGCTTTATTATATAAAATAATCGAAATGATGAGTATTAATATTTTTTTAATCTTTCTTTTTTAGTGGTGTATCGAACTTATTCACGAAGTTAAAATTTGAATTGAATTGGACCGCATGGAAAAATCTCTCTAGTTTACAGGGTGGACACGAATTTATTTTACGTAGGGTGAATTGATAAATTTCATTGAAAATTATTTAGTATATAATCTATAAAAATTTATTCTAGTACGCTTGTTCTGTTAATCATTGAATATATTAATATCGAATTGAATAAATTATAATAAATTAACAACATAAAAAGAACTATATGACTTCTGTCGATAAAATTAACTAACCGATCAAGTTGCAATGTCGTGAACAGTGAGCTTCATATATACAGTCGATATAATGAATTTCACGATAAAGCGATTTTTATATATAAACATATAAAATTCGTTATATTGAACTTATAAATTTCGATATAGCGATTTTTTTCAGTGAACCGGAGGGTTCGTTATGTCGAGTTCTGACTATATTTTCATATTTGAATATTTTATTGTTTATTTTTAGGAAATAAAGAGTCCTGTACAGACCGTGAACCGGATCGAGATGTTGAATACTTATTATTTTTTGTAAGTTCTTATTAATTTACGTGTAAGTCTGTAGTATTTGTTCTTTCAAAAGAATGAAGTATTTATAGATTAGTTTTAAAATTCTTAATTTAGCATGATAATTACAACGAAGATAATATCAATCAAAAGAACAAAGATAATGCTATTGTGATATATATAAATTTCGGCTAAATGAAAAAATCTCAAATTAGATATTGACTAAACTAAAATAATATATAAAAAATCCCCCGAATTATTTTATGTGATACACATGTATGTATGTAACACGTCTCCTTGATTTAATATTGTCTTGTCTGCGTTGATCGGCGAATGATTATGATAATGATTTCATTATTATAAATAAGAGCGATTTTTTTCTTTTGTAAAAACTCATATTATAAAACATCTTTAGTATCTTATTCTTGTATAATTACAAAAAATGATAAAAATATCAAAATTCACTAAATCTATTACAATTTTCAAATACAATTTAAATAAAATGAACACTAAATGTAAAATTCATTTTGAGGGAAAATATAGCTCTCAACGAATTTATGTTATATTCTCCTATAACGAATCATCTTGAATAAAATTGGTTCTTCTTTGATCGTATCTTGATCAAAGAAAAAGACATGCGTCGAGCTATAGTTGTTACGATAAATTACTAGATTTTATTCATTCATTTATTTATTTATTATCCAATTAGTATTTTTCAACTTTTATCTGATGATTTACGTAACAAATATAATTATAGAATAATTTACAAAATAAAGATGCTGATTGTAATATTTTTGCAACAGTTATTCATGTCTTTCATATTTTTCTCTTAAGTTCCCCCTGTCGCTTATAGTTAATTTACTCAAAGGTCCTAATATTAATACGAATTGAATTTTTATCATTTTATTTTTAAAATTTTCGTTTCGCCCCTATAAAAAATTTTTCAGAAAAATGAGCACGTGTCTGAGTTTCTTTGGAATAAAAACTAGAAAAATGATCATTTATCGGAGCTTTTTCCAGAATTTTTTTTATAGAGATCGTTTTGTCGTAATTTCTTTTTATTTTTTATTATTTCAATATTTTTTTTTTTTTTCGTTTTCGATCATTAGAATAGAATTTATTTATTAATAAAAAATTTTTTTACCGAAATACTAAATGACTAAATAATGAAGTAAGGTATACCATATTATATCGTATAAAGGGATTATGGTAAAATTGGTGAATGATGACGTACGTTGCATAAGCATGCTATAATTTCCAAAATAACGGTTGGTATACTAATGATAAAAATGATAAAGCTCTCGTTAGTAAGTTTAAATTTCATTATAAAACTGTCAATTGGAATTAATTTAAAAAGGTATCGGGACATTTCTCCGAAAAATAATCTCTGACCTGATAATGCTGTATAATGTTGACCCTATTTTTCGGCAAAACGTTCTTTCGACGAAATGTTCCACAACCATTTAAAAACAACTATATTAATAGTTATTATGGAGTTAAAAAACAAATATTTTAATATTTATGTAAAAAACTTACTATAAGAAAAAAAATTCTGGAAAAAACTCCGATAAATGAACATTCTTTTTAGTTTTTATTCCGAAGGAAAAGCTCAGACACGTGATCATTTTCTGAAAAATTTTTTATAGGGGATTATCATAATAGCGAAATTAATATATTTTTGGTTTGGTATATTTATAAAAAAGAAATCTTGACGTAATCGTTTGAAATCCAAATTTTTTATTACATTTATGCAGTAAAAATTAGGGAAATAAATGAAATAAAATAAATTACCATTCTTTTAAATTTTTTTTTTTACTTAACTTATTCACGAAGTTAACAGCAAATAAACTAGGAAACGGAAACCGTTGTAAGTCCGGAGCGAAAATATAACTAAAATTTGCGATTTCATTGGATGACGTCATGTGAGGGACAGAGAAATTCACGTGATTGATCATTTTTCGTAGTGGCGTAGTCATTATAAGACATATATAGTCCTTCGCTTTGCTCCGGACAATTATTTGTGTAATAATATATGTGATCAATCAAATACTCGTAAAAATAAACGTAGGATGTATTTGTACCATGCAAACAAATCATATATGCTTACACTAGTTCGTTTGAGTTGATGAGCAATTAAAACCAAAAATTATTAATTTAGACAATAGCATTATATGTTCTATTTCATGTCCTTAATCTTTGAAACAAAGGATACCTAGAATTATTTTCAAAAATAAATAATTATAATTTTTGTAATATTTTTTTTTCCTTTTAAAAGTTTCAAACTCAGTCTTCCGAATTTGATTTTTTTTAATTAACGCATTAATAATTTTGTCGGATAATTTCTTATACTTGTTATTACTAATTAATATTGTAAATTAATTTTGAATTCCAAAAAGAATTCCCTCTATTTCATATGTTAGAATATTGCAAAAGTAGAAGCAGATCTTTTTTTAAATTACATGAGAATCCCCGATGATACTAACAAATACTAACAACAAATCCGATACTCACAATTGACGATCCTGGGGTTATTTAAAAAATTATATCTTTATGAGACAAAAAAGTACATTATGACCAATAAAATCAATAAAAATTGATAATAAATAAAAAATAGTTATTGGGTAGGAGAGTTGAAATATCACCGAACTGTGAAGCAGTTCAGATGATATTTTAATCACCATACCCTTATTCCAAGATCATGTTCCATATAAAATGCATAGTAAACAATAGTTATTTTACCTATAAAAATTAATATTTGTGATATTTAGTCTAAATGACGTAATGCGTCAAAAATATCAAACTAATCAAAGATACTTTACGCAGTAATAATTTATTTAAAAAAATATCAGTATTGTATGTTAAAAACGACATGATCCTATTTGGCTGCATAACAAATAATATTTTGTTTAAAAATAAGAAAATTTGTTATCGAAATTTTAATAAATCATTTTTTATATATGTATTTTTACTTTTATGATAATCATTAAAATATAATTGTTGAATCTTTCAGGATTTGTAGTAAATCCAAATACAATAATTTATTCTTTGTTAACTAAATAATAATTTAAATATAATAAAGTTCAAAGTACAAAATTTACATAAAAAACATAAAAAGAATTTATGATAAATTGGTATTACTGTTATTATTGAATATGTAGTATTATTTTATTATAAAGATTTTATGTAACTAAAACATAATCCAGTTATCACTCTTTCAAACAAATAAAAGCCTGTGCCACTGAGAACCTTTGCAGATTGAAATTGATTATTACGCAATATTTATAATGTCAACATAACACACACATAAAAATCATAGAAGCCACCGTACTACATAAGCCATTTGGGCTATGGCACACAGCCATTTCTGAATAGATTTTATGATAAAATTTAAATATAAATAAGATGCAATTTTATCCTTTATAAAACTCTTACACTTTAAATATAAATTTTATAATTAAAAAATATTTATAAAATGTAATATAATAAATCTTATTAACCAACTTATAAATAGATGATGTCAAAGGCATGATAATTAGGTTACATATTTTTTTAAACAATAAAGAGTCTATAATTTAATATGGTTTAATTAATTCTTTATTTATTTTACCCTTGATATTTTTTTTTTCAATACAAACCCAAAACATACTATCTAGTTTTTAATAATTTATTTAAACTGTTTATTCTACATTTCAAAAACCATAAATCATTTAAAGAAAGAATAAATCAGAAATATTATAGATTCATTATATAATGTGTTTTAGAACTACTACTATTCCCAGACATATTTACAGATGGGAAAGGCCACTTTCATGATACTATTCAATAATTTTGGTAATTTTATTATATTATATTCCATTGAACATATCTTGTCAAAATTGTCATCCTTGGAGAGATCTTGCAGATAAAAAGTGATTTTGATAAATTGGGTATCACAAATATTGGAATTAGAATAAAGCTAAATAGAAAAGCTAAGCAATATTGTAAATAGAATTATAATAAAGTCTAGAAGCCTACCAGTAGTGATTTTCACTGGTTTATTTATTTTTTTTCGCTAAAGATAACTTATTGCAATTAGGAGTTAAAAATAGACTAGGTAAACATGACTTTATCAGACAGGACTTGCAGATAAAGTTGATCAACTGAAGAATAAATCTGGTGACCAAGATTTGATATCAGTAATCAATTAATGAAATTAAATTAAAATATATATAGATGAAGTTCAGTGGATAGAGTAAAAATTCATTATTATTGGCCACAGATGTTTAATGATGTTTGCCAATATATATGAATGTGTGATGAATGTCAATGGAAAGATAAAAATTGATATACTGAACCTTTACATCCTATAAAGGTTGGTCAACTCTTCGACAGATTGGGAATGGACATCGTAGGACTACTCTAAAGATAGTATTGGAGATATTTCAATTCCATAATTTCATTGCTTCAGCATTTACTCTTCAATGTCCTTAAGGTACTGGAATTGGCTATATTTAAATTAGATCCAGAGATCATTCTTCAAGGATCAACATGTTTGTACAAAAGATATCAACTACACTAAAAATTTTTTCTTGTTATTTTGGCATTCTGATAAAAAGTTTTGTTGTCCATTATATGCAAGGCTAGGAGAATTTATACTTTCTGTGAGATAATTCAGAATCAATACGAATCAATACATAAATATTTGGGAGTTTGAGTGATAGGATCAATGTTCTGTTGCTATTATAACCAGAACAATGTCTCACAAGTACTCATGTCAGTGGCATACTCTGATGAAAACATGGATTTTAGTTGGAGTATTTGCATTATTCTTTCAGATATCTGTGATATAGCTATTGTAGAGTTGTATAGTAGTTGTAAATAGAAAAATAAAGATAAATTAGTACTTTGGTTGCAAGAAAAAAGCTAATATCAGGAACTACAGATTACATTACATGTAGAAACCTATTTGGCACATAATGGTTTTCTTTACTGGACTTGGCAAGCAGATTTTGGCAGGTGGAATTAGACACTGGTGACCACAAAATCAATGTTATCACTAAATTTGAAATGTACAAATTTACCATATGCCATTCATCTGTAAAATACTTCCATAAATAGCCGTGTTTAAGTATGTTATACAGTCAAGCAGCTTGAAAATATTTAGAGAAATCGAAAGAGCTGAAAGAGCTGGAAGAGAGTGAGAAAGAGCATGAGAAAGAGAGTGAGAAAGAGCATGAGAAAGAGCATGAGAAAGAGCATGAGAAAGAGAGTGAGAAAGAGCGTGAGTATGTGAATGCTCTGCTACATTATTCCAAAGATTAATGGACATGGTATTGCAAGATATTCTTTGGCTAATAAATATAGTGTTAAAAGCTTTTGAAAGATTTGAATTGATAGAATTAAGAGTAATTTTAGGTATTAATAAACAGCAAAAATTTAATGATACTATTTGGAGTTAATACTAATAAATGATTTGAATTCAGTTGAATATGAAGTTAAAAAGATACTGTACATGTGATGACAATATATTATAATATAATTTTATTAAAGAAATCAACTTAAGCACATTCAATCAGACTATATGAGATTAACTATGAAAATAATGAGGAAGTACTGGAGAAAGATAAAAACAAGATGAGGAAAATAATGAACAAAGTTGGCAATGTATATATTAAGAAAAATAATAGTACATTGCTTTTTTTTTTTTATAACTGGGATTACAAGCAATGTAGTACATTGCTTTCACACTCTTTTAAAAAAAAATTTTACACTTTAATTTTAATTTCTAATGCCTGCACAACTATCAACCATTCTTTATATTTCAAAATATAGGAAGGTGAATTCTTCATGAGAATATACAAGACTTGAAGTGCTAAGGAAAACAAATGTCTAACTGAAGCTGACTCATCATGGGTTGTTCCATATATTTAGTTCATCAGCCAAAATCTTCACTTCAATATATAACTTTTTAAAAACCTCTTCCTTAAATAGAATAACAATTCTAATATAATTATGCAACAATAGAGTTGCATAGTAAATTTCCAGAAAGCAAAATAATAGTAGAAAATTACAAATGGAGTAATTGTAAATGAACTCCTCTATGAAATCAAAGAATTTTAAAGAGAATTAAATGTTAATTATAGAAAACACAATCATATTACAAACCAAGTCTATTTGGTAATAGAATTTACAAGTTATAAAATTTTTAGACAATTATTGGGTCACAATAAGAAATATGATTTTAATCATAAGTAGGCAATATATGATAAAAATTAGTTATTATTTTATTCTTCTATTTAAACAAAAATATGAACATACAGTAATGAAAATGGGTAAATAAATTTGCTATTCCTTTATCACAAAAGGTTAAATTAGAATATTCCTTTTGTTAAGAAAATCTAAATTATAATATGATATTCCTTTCATCATGAAAGGCTAAAATATGGTATTCTCCTAAATTCAATAGTTGTTGAAAATGTACTAGTAACTGGCAACTCTGTAGTCAAAGGGGATGAAACTTATATGAAAGATGTTGTTGAAACTGGCGAGTCTTATAATTTGATAGTTGACATAGATCCATCAGAAAATATGACTGAAATTTTCAGCAAATGGGATACTGAAACTATTAATAGATTGCAAAATTTCTTGTTATTGTTTTGAATTTTATTATTCCATGAGAACTCTGGGTAATAAAACCAATAAAACCATAATTTATGAAATGGTTACAGTGTTTATTGAGCAAAATCAGTTTGAATGTTTATCATTAGAATAACCACTTCTTAGAATTCCAAATGCTAAATGGTTTTCTGATAATTATGCAAAGTTCTCCTTTAATTATTTCAAAGTTGGAAGTCTGGATCTGATCTAGCATTTATTAATGGAAAAGAAATGAGTATAGCTTTCAAGATCACTCAGTTAAACTTTAATGGTTACAAAAAATTGGTTATAAAAGGCAATGATGTATTCTAATAGAAATCTAAGAAAACCAGAAAAAAATTTCATACACCAATATTAAAATAGAATCTGAATTTAAAAGAGAATTAGAGAATTTGAATCATGAGTTAAAATACTCAATGGAAACACAAAAAGCTGGTCAGCAATTAGATTTATTCAATTTTGGCAAACTACAATTTGTTATCTCAAGTTAAAAGGAGCATATTGAGATATTATTAAATATATTAAAAATTACCTAATTATTAATCGCCTAATTATTGCATCAAACTATATTTTACTACCTAATAATAAATATTAAGGTCATAAGCGACAAACTATATGGGTTATTATAAAATATACAATAATAATAACCCATATAACTTATATCCAAGAAACAAATTAGAAAAAGAGAGACGAAGTGAAAGAATTTTATAAAAAGGCTAACCATATTGTAATGGCAAGAGATCTTTTCTCATAGTAAGGACTTTGTCTGGCTCCAAGGAGAACATGTACATTTTTGTTGACAACTCGAATTTATATATTGAAGGGAGGTCCTATGTAACCGCCGAATATGAAAATATGGGTTCATTTGACCACAAAAGAAGACAATAACCAAAGTTAATACTATCAGTCATATTTATTAACTGGATAAACTTTCAACACTGAATACAAAAATGCAAATGACCATATTATTGTTAAAAATTCTATATTAGAAAGAACCTTCTTCTTCTCCTGTTTCTCAACCTTTGGCTGACAACTCTGCTAAGCGTACTAAGGTTACTGCCTATAGTACTATGGACCAAGATATTATTATTCCACCTGACTAAATGTATTATTTAATTCTCAACAATTATTACTTATTATGCAATGCAAATTCTGATAGTCACAATTTATATTTAAAAATCCAGACTGAGTTAACCTATTTATTCAAGTAGATGGAATTGAAAATTCAACAAGCAAATTAGCAAATGCAACAACTTGCCTTCAATTATGCTAGTATTTTCTCCAAAATTATGACTCAGCAAAGTACCTCTCAAATAATCTACAATCCAAATACTATTTACCATATAATAAATTCAACATTACTTTTATACCAATTATTTGGATATGCATAATTCTGAGACTTGGATCTTAAATACTTATAGGTCTCAGAGATTATATATTAAAGTGTCTTATACAATAGTAATATACTGATTTTAGATTACATATTTAATCTATATATGACAGACATTATTATTCAGCTTATTAAAAAGGAAAACAGTTTATTCTTAAACAAAATAACAGCAGTTTCTAATAAACATTAATTCAAAGAAAACATACTCTCTATAACATCCTTCAGTATAACATTCAAATTTACTTTCTAAGGAAGAAATTGGTCAACTGTATAATTTAATATTAAACATATAATTGCTTCCAAATAGAGGACCTTCTACTTTGGAAACATTTTTCCATGATTTCATCTGGAATACACGAAATTCTAGTTCAGAAAATTAAAGGATTTAACAATTAGACTTATTAAAAGATTATCTGGCTTAATCATTATCTTATAAATACCCTAAATAGAAAATTTTTATAGACTTAAAAATAAATGGACTATCACATTGATGCTCATGAATTAAAAAGATAAAAAAACAAGTCAACTCAATATGATAGTTTAGCACATTCATTTATAATTGACATGGACGATTTAATTATTAGAAGAATATTTTTTCCTGCTGAATTAGACGAAATAGAATCAACAAATATCAAGGAGGAATAAGAATTAAGTGCTGAACTTTATGAAAACCTTACAAAATATTATACAAAGTTTGTACTTAATGATAAGGAAAAAACAATCAAACAAATGAAGTGTATTTATTTATTTTGCAGCAAAAAACCATACTTCATTAAACATTATTCTGGTTAAACTTTGGCCATCTAAAGTTATATAGGATAATTTACAATTAATGGAAAATGCATGTAAGCGAATAATAGGCAGGTTGTCTATAAAAGAGCTAAAAGAGTGGAGTGTGAAATAGAAGTTGTTGAATAAAAGTTGATTGAGATAAATAGGACAGTAGATTGCAACCTAACTACTAATATGATTTATGGAGAGAAGATTAAACAATGCAATGATTTATCCTTTTTATTAAAAGTGTGTAAATTTTTTTGAAAAAAAAAAGGAAATTGATATATCATGGATTGTTCTTATAGATTATATAACAAATGACTGGAAAAAAAGCTATATTTCAACGTACTGCAGATGTAAAGCACAAATGGATATATAAGCTGATGGTTGCTTACATAAGAAATTGGTAAATAGTGATTATTTCATCCCTTATATCAAAAGAGAAAGGAGTGCCAAAGATTAGCTAAGCCATATGAGCAGCAACAGTGAGTCTACTGAACTTTCTACATCTTGACTAAGAAATTTATTTACAAAGACATTATATGCCAACATGATTGCCATTATTAGATGATACTTTCAGAAGGCAGATAGCTGTATAACATGAAATAATTTGATATTACCAATCCTTATTATTTATTGTCATGTTGCCATTATGTAATAAAGAACCTGCTAAATAATTACAAGAAATGATGATCAATATTTGAGATTCATCTAATGTGTCAGATTTAGATATTTTAATGCAATTTCTTTTATTATAAAGAAAGCTCTGCCTTGATGCAGGTGAAAAGAGTTTTAACAGAAAATAATAATAAGATTTGAATATTGATATTATTGTGATTGACGATAGAAACACCAACATACCAGTGCTATTACTTTCACATTTGAATTGATATTATAATTTATGTAACTATAACCTTGCTTCTTTTTTTGGAGTGTTATTGCTTTTACAAGATTGTTTCTTTTACACTATATGACATTCTCAGAGGCTAAATATATATATTTTTAGTGAAGAAAAGATGAACTTAGGATCTAAAAATAGAAAATTTTATTCTAGTAATCGATTATGGAAATAAAACTATTTATGGTAGAAAATCAGATTTTTTCATAAAAGGTAATTAGAATAATGTTTTTCTATTAACAGAAGTTACAGGTCCACCATGTAAAAAAATCAAAAAAAGAATTTTTTGATTATGGCAGTAATCATCGTAATGGTAAAGATGAATTTGAATATCAAAATTTATCAATTATATATAATTATGGTTCATCTTTAATTAAAAAACTTGTTAAAGATTTAAAGTCATCAATATATACTTTATTGCAAATACATAATTTTATCTTATTATTTACAAATTTAAAAATGCCAATAATTCTAAATTACTTAATAAAATGGCACTCAATTTTAAATTCAATTACCCTAATCTCTCAAAGTTGGATTTTAAAAGAAAAATAGGGAAAAGTCATCAAAAGAAATATTATAAAAGGAAAATTAATAACATGAATCGTCCTAAAGAATGAATCAATATTTTAAAAGTTAATATCTTGGATCAATCAGCAAATAATTTATACCAATCAAAAAGTCTTATTAAAGAAATAAAAATACCATTACAGCATAATAAGTATGAAGTTGTTATTTTTATAAAAACAATGATTTATATCAGTATAAGTTAGATTAATAATTTATGAAAATATAGAAAAATATAAAAAAATATACACCAAAATGGACAATGCAAGGAAATGGGTATTTGCAACTAGAACCATTATGGAAGATGCGATTTACAAATTTGGACTGTATTGCACATATTATACGGTATATTAATATAATATTAATTTATTTTATTAATTATATTGGAATAAAGTTATACAACACTATGTGATCTTACTTTGAAATATGCCACTGAAAATAAACCGTAGCCATATTAAAACTGCTTGCTACAGCATCTCACCCAACTCTGGATAAACACTTTGCAAATATTTTCCTATGCCCAGCAACTCCAGCTATCAGAATTATGGGTCATTCACTTTTCATGAGAGGATAACCTATTAACTAAACCTCATTGGCCTAGCAAGGTACTCCAACAAATACTATGATATATTTAATAATGATATATTATTAAGTTCTTTAATCCAAGATGGCAGTAGAAGTCAGTCATGTAATTATGTTTTAAAGCCACTTTCAGCACATACAAATCAATTATTATTTTCATTAGAATTAACATTCCCAAAACCAATATTTTCACCAGAATGGGATTTTTCACCTAATTCTTATATGTTATTAAGTAATCAATCTTTTAATAATTTACAAGAATTTCAAAATCACATAGATAATAATGATAATATTCAAAAAAATGTAGCTTTCACCTTATTTAGATTGGACAAAGAAGATGATATTCCTTATGAAAAAATTTAATATATTCTTAAAACTAATATAAATTATTAAAATAATTTGCCACAAGATGATTCAATATTTTTATTTATGAAATTATTATTTGGATATCCATCATACCAAAACCTAAATTTTAGCATTAGTAAATTTAGTATATTTGTAGTGTCCAAAATTTACTACATATTTCTTGCAAATTGCAATCATTTATTTTATAAACCTGAAAGAACTGGCATATATAACACTATTAATAACTAATAGATTAGTTGAAAAATTTATCTAAATAGTAGGTTGAATCATCAGTATTATTTATTAATAATACAATATGGTTTAATCATCAATATTATTTATCAATAATACAAAATATTATAGTAAACTATAGTAAATTTTAATATCAAGAAATTTATTCCTATATTATTATTTTATGAGGATTGCTTATTACATACACTTTTTACAAAGCCCTACTTCTTCTCATAGAATCACAAGAAGGAAGAAGTTCTTGGATGTTAATAAAACCAACAAAATATACAAACACAGTCATTATTCTCTAATGATACCAAATAACTTTCTAACCTAATACTTTCAAGCAAAATTTTATAAGTCATCAATCCTTTAGAATTACCATCTCAAATTATATTTGATGGGTTGGGCCAGAAAATTTTTAATACATAAATTCAATAGCGTCTGGAATTTGTAGACATTACTGAAGGAGTAGATAATGTGATGAGTCTCTCATCAGTAAAAGCAAAGCAAGTTCTCGCAGATGTTGAATTAAACAATCCAGTATTTTCAAAATATATGAATACTATATATACTATTGTAATATAAATTTTTATATAATATTTTTAGTTTTTTTGTTATATAATAATTTTTATTTAGCAAAACAACCAGCCATCCTGCCCTATTATTTAATATTGTGCTGCATTAAAGCTTGTTATAATAAAAAGTTATTAATGAGTTCCAAAAGAAAAAGAAATCGAAATTAAAATAATCTATTATATATTATAGCTTGAATTAGAATTCATTCTATATAATAGATGAGAAGCTCATCTATAGATTTGGCTTTAAAATAAAATTAGTTCATTTTTTTATTATGGCATTTGTATAATGCCTGTATATATCTAAGTTTCACTGTAAGAGTCTAGTATACTATATCATGAATATATTATAGAAATAAAAAAACATAATAATAAAGCATTCAACTTAGCAAGAAACAAAAATATAATAATGATTATACAAGATCGAATAGAATTGTTAACACTTAATATAAATATATATATGCTTTTTTAATAATTGTTTCAGTAATATTTTAGCATAGTAATATTTTTGATTTTTGTATTAAATCATGTTTTACCAAACATGAATATTTATTTACAAACAAGATTATATTTATTTTATTTTATGTAAATGGATTTGATTTTGAAAATATATTTGATTGTGATTTTTTAAAATTAATTAATAACTAGTAAAAGTTGTTCAGTAGTCAGTACTTAATATATTTTTATTGTTATAGAAACTTCTTGGGATCTATTATCTATATTATGTAGTATAGCAATCATGTAAATATTTGAATAATAAACTTATAAAAGAAATCAAATCATCAAAATATTATTGTTTGATTATAATAATTAAGGCTTATTAATTAAGCAAGATTAATATTCAATATTAACAAAATAAAAAATATTAAGAAAAATTATTAAATTTCTGGGATGAAATAAATTGATTATCTGTCGCATGAAATTTGGTTTAAATTTGTATACCTTTATAGTACTTATACATGAAATAAAAGCTATATAACAAAATCAAGGGAAAATACATGTTTTAAAAGAAATGTTTTAACATGATTTAATATGAAATCATATTATTAAACCTACAGTATAAATCCATGCGAGTTACTATTTTTCCTTGGTTCATTTTAAAAAACTCTATTTTTTTCGTGTAATATTTATGG